AGTTTCTAGGAATCATGAGTGGGGACTTTTCCTGTTGCGCTCGGGTCCTTTTTGTGGGGTTCCCACAAAATGGGCCCCTGGTTGGCCGCTGTGAGACCAGGACGCTGGGCTAGGGGGATCATTGGCCTGATCCAGCAAGTTCTCCTCATGGCCTTTATATTCTACCACAGCTACAGCCAACATGGCGTCCTGCAGGCCTCCAACTCCCCTCATCCCCAGCCATCACGGCCCAATGGTTGGGAATGAGGGGAGTTGCAACAAATGTTGGAAATTTAAAGAGAAAGGGAGAGAGACCTTTTGGAATGTAATGTAAAAGTGCTGTCTAAAATGTATAAAATATTATTGGAATGGGAGACCAAGTAAAATCCTTAATGATACATTGGGCAATAGATATTGGTCATAATATAGATATGGAAGCACGGGAACGATTGTGGAATATGGATATAAAATTTACAGCATGTTATGGTGTAAGAGAAAATTATATGAAAATGATATATTGATGGCATCTAACTCCGAGTAAACTGGCAAAAATGTATGAATCCAAATCAAATAGAGTGTTGGGAATGTAAAGAGAAAGAATGTTCTTTTTATCATATGTGGTGGTCTTGGAGTAAGGTTAAGGCTTACTGGGATATGATATATAATGAATTGAAAAATATGTTTAAAATAATGTTTGTTTAAAAGAAACCAGAAGCTTTCCTTTGGGGAATTATGGGAACAGAACTACCCAAACTGTATAGAAATTTATTTATGTATGCTACTACAGTGGCAAAAATGTTACTTGCCCAAAAGTGGAAAGAAGCAGAAGTCCCAGCAAAGGAAGAATGGATACAAAAACTTATGGAAGATGCAGAAATGGCGAAACTTACTGGAAGACAAAAAAATCAAGACAACAAACTCTTTATAAAAGAATGGAAAGAGTATATTGAATATTTACAGATAAATTGTAAACCGATAAAAACATTAGCAAGATTATGGTAGTAACCTACAGGTTTGTAAGAGTATATCTTTAAAGTAGATGATTAAACGAGCACATTAAGTTAATGTGGATATACAGAAGATATTAAAAATATATTTAAGGAACCACAGAAAGAAGGGGGAGGAAGTCAAATTTTGAAATGATAAATTGATTGTAAAGCTAATGAAATGTATAAATTTGAAAAGTGTATGTGTATGAATGACAGAAGTTCTAGTCCCTCAGCACCAGGAGGACGCCATCTTGACTACCCCCTTTCTGAAAAATAAAGCAAAGTAAATAACCTTAACCGACAATAGTGGGGGAAATCGACTATCTTGTTGTTAATTCATTTTGGTAAAACAGCCTCATGAACCGAAGCACTTTGTAATTCTCCCATTTTACTTCATGGTTGTTTTTTAGGTCAGGAGAGCAATCTATGCCCCCTGTCCATGTGTGAGGTAAAAAACGAAAAACCTTAGTTGTGCCTTTTTATTTTATCTCCAGATCGCCTCAGTTTAGCTAACCACAGTTGTTTGTTCATAATCGCTGTGGAATTTGGTTTCTTGGGTGGTTAGGATAGAAATGGCCATAAATATCTGGCTCGGCATCACATTTTACCTCAAATTTTACCTCAGAGTGTAATGACACAGGTCACGCTAACAGCGTTCCCCTTGTCAGTCAGAGAGAAATAAATTCACATCTTCCTCTTTCCTTATTGCGATCGCTCCCGGAAGATTATAAAGAGGTGTGGAGCTTTTATTTTAAAAGGGCCAGTTTTTTAAAAACATGTTTTTGTTAGCGGGTAAAAGGGAGTGACTTTGATCCACGTCAACCAAGCGATTGTTCATAACTGACTTCTTAAAATCCAAGAGGCGACAGGAGTGTGACTGGTGTGTTAGGCCACATTGCTATTGGGGTTTGTGATTCTTAGTGTGAAATTTGGCCTCCATGAAAAGGAAATCTGCAGCTCTGCAGTCCGGTGTTTGTTTGTTTTGCAAAGTGACTGTTTTCTGTCAGCCTGACTAATGAATGGGGGGATGGATTTGTTTAAAGAAGAATTTGTTTTATTCACATTTTCCAAAACAAGACAGGAACTGAAATGCAGCCCACCTTCCAAATTTGCATTTTTCCATATTTTGCAATGCACTTCTCCAGCCATGTGTACCAAAAAATGCATATGCTGAGGTAAAGTGTGTGTAAAAATGCATACAATAAAACAAAGATGGCATTCAAAAGTAGAGAACCCTGCCTGTGGGTTTTCCTTCGGCGCTTCTGTGAGAAGAGGAGGCTGGACTAAATGGGCCCCCTTTGGCTTCTTCCTATGTTCTTGTGAAATTTAAATATATGTGGAAAAATAAACATACGGGGGAATGTAAATATTAGGGAACATAGGCTTTGCAAAAATAATAATAATAGGGGAAACTGAATGCATAAATGTATATATTGGGAGAAATCCACACTGAACTGCTGGTGAAATTTTCACGAAAGCATTTTAAAGACGCACATCACACTTTGCACACTGATGTGGCAATGCAGAGAACTGAAGACTGGAAAAATGAAAGAAACTGAGATGGACAATTTCACCCATCCCTAGGCCTAGTAGCCTTCGTCGATCCGGTGCCCTCCAGATATTTCGGACTATGGCTCCTATCAGCCCCAGGCAGCAATTGGTCGATATTTTGAAGTAAAAAAAAAAAGACCTGGATGTCACCAGGCCTAGGAAGGAAGATGGAGAACAGTTGTGGCCCTCCAGATGTTGATGGACTCCAACCCCCATCAGCTGCAGGCAGCGTGGTCAGGGAGGAGGAGGATGGGAGTTGTAGTCTGGGATCAGCCAGAGGTTTGCCAGCCCAGAATTAAAAGAAGGCAGAGGGGGAATGGAGGGAGCCAGGGGCAGTGAAGGCATGTGAGGGTCTAGTTCAGGGATGGCGGAAGTTGCGGTCCTCCAAATGTGGTTCGACTCCAACATCTACCAGCCCCGGCCAGCAAGGCCAAAGGCTCAGATGGGTGCCAGACATTCATGCCAGACATTCAAAGCACTACGATGCCATTTGAAACAGTCACGGCTTCTGGGAGCTGTCATTTGTGACAGGTGCTGAGAAGTGTTAGGAGGCCAACTTGGGGCTGAAAAATAACAGAAAGTCTGTTTTTGGATGCAGAAAGAGATGCTGATGGCAAGGTCTAGGAATGAGGAAAGGAGATTACAAAAAAGGGAGCCAAACATTTGCCTAAGAGAGTTGGGCAATAGAAACCAGCTGCCGGGGGAAGTTGTGGTATGGTGTTTACTGGATGACAGAAACAAAACAAAATGTCTTTCTATTCCAGGGAAGATGTATTGCAGATCTTACACAGTGTGTGACCTCAGATAGGTGCTGGGGCTCAACCTAGACAGAATTGCTCAATTCCACCATTAACAGGAGCAGAAATGGCCAGGTTTTGCCTATTTGTCCCACTTCTGGAAGGGAAATCAATCTAGCAAGTACAATAGGTATTTACACTGCTTTCCATCTGCAATTGATACATAATTGATTGTTCCCCTTCCCCTCCTTTGTACTGTGCACTGAAATGATGAGGTGGAATAACATAACAACAATGCAATTCATGTGATTAATTATGGGTGTTATATAATTGTACCACAGTGGACAGTGGGACAAACAATGTAGGGGTTTTGGGTTTGTTTGTTTGTTTGTTTGTTTGTTTGTTTGTTTGCAAAAGGCAAACTGAGGTGGAATGGAAATCGAACTGCAAATTCAAGGTGGGATGGAAAAGGTCCAGAGTCACCTGCACTCTGATAACAGTTTACCTGCACATACTTGCTGTCACAAAAGTCTGTCTGCCAGGAGCTCATCTAGACCTGCAGAAATTTTAAAAACTTGCTGGCTTTCACGAGCCCCATCAGGAAGGGAGCAGTAACTGAATCTTCTCAGTTGGTTATGTTGGGATGTGTCCAAGGAAACGGGGGCAATTTGCAGGCCCCCCAGCTGGCTCCAGCCCACCGGCTGGTAGCTGGGCGATCTCCGGTCCTTGGCACAGCATAAATCAGTGACCCGCAGCTTCAGAACTCTTCAGAAGCTGGAGCACGCTCTAGTCAGCAGAGTAATTAACTCTTTGCGACAGAAGGGCGGACAGAGGTATACATAAAGCATATTTACAAGCAGTTTATTCAGCATAGATCAGGACAAAGAAAACATGTCTGCTCTCTTTCATGTCCAAGAGCAAGCAAAAGCTATATATAAGGCAAAAGCTATACACAAACTGGAAGTTCCCAGCAAGCTGTGCTGGAATGTAAACAGACATGTGACGTACAACAACTCCACACATCTACTTAGGTGAAATGGAACATCAATATCCTAACAGGTTACAGCATGGTGCTGATGACGCCAGGCTTGCAGGTTCAAATCCTGTATGGGGCAGCTGCATATTCCAGCATTGCAGAGGGTTGGGCTAGATGATCCTCGGGAGTCCCTTCCAACTCCACAATTCTTTGATTCTTTGATTCTATGATTCTGTCCTCGCCTTCAAACAGGGCAGCATTTCCAAAACCTTCTTTTGGCTTCTTTCTGAACAGTGGGACTGGCTAAGAATAACCAGAAACCCTGCAGGGAGGAAAATGAGACAGGTAAACCTCAGGGTGGAATTTGGGTCCTCCGTTTAGGTGCCCATTATGGGAAGCCCACCAGCAGGACATGAGTGAGACAGCAACTCTCCTCACCTGTGATTCCTGGCAAGTGGTATTCAGAGGCATATTGACTCCAACACAGGAGGTAAAACACTGTGACTAGTAACCACTGATGCCCTCCCTGAATTTGTCTAATCCCCCTGTAAAGCTTTTTCGGGAGGCTGCAGCCCTCCCACAGAGACTGGGGACAGGGATAAGGCTCTGTGAGAGAAGCCGGCAGAGTGACTTTTTCAGTGCAGAAAGAATCAGGTATAAAGCATCAAATGGAAAAGGAAGCCAGTCAAAGCACTTCCCTGAGGATCAATACCTTCCTGTTGGAAGCCGGAAGAAAGGTCAGGAACTCATCCACATGCCCTACAGTGAGCCAGTTAGAACAGAGCACAATAGGGGGCTGGACTCTTTGAGCATAGAATCTTGGACAATTTTGACCATTTTCCTGTTGCCAGACCTAAGAGATGAGGCAGTGGTTTTTTAAAAAAGAAAGGGAGGGATGGAGGGAAGGAGAGAGAGAAAGAAAGAAAGAAAGAAAGAAAGAAAGAAAGAAAGAAAGAGACAATAGAAGGTGGGATTAGAACTAGTGATGGGGGGAAATAAATTCAGTTTGCATTTGATTCTCACATGATTTGAGCTTTCCAAATCAACCATTCCTCTAATTTTGCAACACTCTTCTCTGGTCAAATAATGTGCCCAGAAATGCATGGTTGCCAGGCTCTCAGAAGAGCCCAACTGCTCCCCACTCACCGTGTTGTCATTGATGGTGCTGCTGGGTCTGCTTAGAGTCATGACCACTTCTACCACCAAGTCGAGAAGCCACTTTGGTAATATGGTGGCCCTGAGCGAGGACAAAATTTGGCTCACCCCCCTAAATATTTCTTATTTTCATGCCCTCCACCCTCTTGCCTTCTGTTCTGCGCATATTTTGTGCTCCTTCGGCTCGGCGTCCTGTGTGTGGGGGGGAACCACCCATAGCACTTCCCTAAATCCAGCACTGCTCTAACCACTAGGTCCCACTGGTTCTCTATTCCAGCTAGGCAAAAAAACCGCAAACACTTTAGTGCAAAGCAGGCTCAGTAAGAGGTGTCGTTCCCAAATTTTGGGGCCCCCGCTCCCTTGGGTTCCATAAACTCATACCTCGTGCCCGCTACTCTAAAATAAAAAATCATCCAGAATAGCGATTTGCAGGACCCACTAAGGAAGAAAATAACACAATCCAATCCTAAACAGTAACCATTAATGGCATATTTATTCCAGCGCCAGCTAAAACTATTTAGTTTATTGAACTCAACAAAGCTTTTGAACTTGATCCATTGATAGGGGCTTTTTAGAGTCTGATAGGCATTGGCACCTCCATCGCACCAATGATTCGCCCTTGGCCCCTGGGAATCCTGCTGACCACTTTGGGATCCCCTACCCTAGAATTCCCCCTGCATTCTGACTGCATTCCAAATCCAGGATTGTGATGCAACTCTTGACAAGAAGCTTTACACACACACACACACACACACACACACACACACACACACTCCGCATATACATTACAACCTTTCTCTCTGTGCTTCCTCCACCCAGCTTTGTCTATGCCTTGCAGCAGCTTGTAAAGAAAGATATTAACCTGTCAACGCGCGGAATTTAAAAGAGAAGCCGAGGGAGGCAGTAAATCTGGCCATAAACCCATCTAATCGCTCCTTTCCTTGTAGTTGGGCTCTGTTGGATTTACGATCCACAGAAGCACACCCATTAAGCATGACTCCCGGAGCTAGTCATCTTTGGTTGCAAAAAAGAAGGATGGAATGCAGGGGGGAGGGGGGGAATGAAAGCTTCCTTTATGGGCCCTAAATAAGAGCAATCAGTTTCACAGTGTTTTCCATGCAGGTGGAGCAGCCACCTTCGATCTCTTAATCTGCACACACCTAAAGGTCATCCTGGGAGTTGGGCTGGCTGATCACATAGTAGTTAAAGTCTCGAGTCCATTACAGGAAGCCCCTGAGCAGGTCCTGAGCGCAAGAGCAACTCTCCCCCTGGCTTCATTAACCTGCAACCCCGAAATTCAGGATCCCTCCTGAAATATACTCAGAGTCGAGAGTGGATTTCATGCTCTTTATTCAGCTCATAGTGGTGAGGAGGAGTGAATGTCCCCTCAAAGTATCTGCTTTATATACATTATTTACACAATGGGCTGCACGTGATTGGCTAATTCCGGAATTCACCTGTAGGCCAATCAGGTTGTGGATTCACTTGAATCTGGAGCCGGATTGGGTGGCTCCTGCAGACCAATCATACTGCTGCATTGTTCTAGGACCAATCAGACTGCTGCATTCTGATCCTGCTGGACTAAGGCCTGGCAGTGTTTGACCCAGGCCTCTATCTCTCGGTCGATCCCCGGCCACCACACATAACTCCTGGCAAGGGCCTTCATTCTCACTACCCCTGGGTGTGTCTCGTGTAGGGCTGTGAGGACCCGTTTGCGGAGGGGCTGGGGAACAATGACCCTGCTTCCCCATAACAGGCACCCCTTGTGGGCTGACAGTTCATGTTTGCAGGTTGTGTAGCCAGCGAATTCTGGCCCGGGGCTGCTGCTGGGCCATCCTCTCCACACCCAGTCCAGGACCCGGGAGATGACCCTCTCTTTCTTGGAATGGTGTGTAACTTCTTGTACCTGAATGGGGCAGTCGGGAAGCAGCTCCAGGCTCATAACCTCTTGCGCGGGCGCTGGGTCGGTGCCTGTTTCCGGTAGTGGTAGCCTGTTGAGGGCGTCTGCGTGGCCCATTGCCTTCTCAGGGCGGTGAATCAGTGCATACTGGTAGCTGGCAAGGAAAACTGACCACCTGAGGACTCGAGGAGACAGCATTTGGGGGGTCTGCTTTTCGGGGGCAAACAAGCCAAGCAACGGCTTGTGGTCAGTCACCACGGTAAAGGGCCGCCCGTACAAGAAATCATGGAATTTTTTTACTCCCTTCACGATTGCCAGACCCTCCTTGTCGATTTGCGAGTAGTTCCTCTCAGTTGCGTTGAGTTTCTGGGAAAAGTATGCCACCGGCGCCTCTCTTCCATCTTGGAGTTGGTGTCCCAGAACAGCGCCGATGCCATAGGGCGAGGCATCGCATGCTAGCACCACTGGCAGCCTCTCGTCGAAGTGTGCCAAGACCGAGTTTGAGATGAGCAAGTCCTTGACTGTCTGGAATGCGGCCTCCTGGCGCTGGCCCCACACCCAAGGGGCCCGCTTGTCCAGGAGTCTGTGTAGGGGCTCCGCTACTGCCGCCTTATGGGGAATGAAGGAATGGTAAAAGTTCAATAGTCCCAAGAAGGCCTGAAGTTCAGTCTTGCTCTTGGGCGCTGGGGCATCACAAATGGCTCGTACCTTGTCCCCAGTCGGGTGGACCCCTTCTGCGTCCACCATAAATCCCAGGAAGTCCACTTGAGGCACTTCTAGTAGAATTTTTTCCCGCTTCACCTTGAGACCCGCCGTCTGGAAACGGTGCAGAACTGTGCGGAGGCGGTCCGCAAACTCCTCTGGTGTGGGCCCAGCAATCAACACATCATCGAAGAAGGGGGTGACGCTCGGAATCCCTTTAAGGAGAGAGTCCATTAGATTCTGGAATATGCCTGGTGCCACGCTGACACTGAATTGCAGCTGCTTTACCCTGAACGCTCCCCTGTGCATCACAATCATCTGTGCCTCTGCTGTGGCCTCATCTACCGGCAGCTGTTGATATGCTTGGGCCAAGTCCAGCTTGCCAAAAAATTTTGACCCAGCCAGGGTGGCAAGGACATGGCTGACCACTGGCACTGGGTATGCGTGGGCTGTGAGGGCCTTGTTTATGGTACATCTGTAGTCTGCACAGATGCGGACCAAACCATTAGGCTTGACGGGTGTGATGATTGGGGTTTCCCAGGGGGCATTAGGCACAGGCTCCAGCACTCCTTGGTCCACGAGCCGGTCCAATTCCTCGTCTATATGGGGTTTCAGGGCGAACGGGACCCGGCGGGCCTTGAGCCTGACAGGTCGTACTGCGGGGTCAAGCTGTAGAGCAATGGGGGGGCCCCGTATACTGTCCCAATTTCCCATCGAAAACCCCCGGAAATTCCTTGCATATGGCGTCCACGTCCACTTGTAAGCTAGTGCTGTTCACCCCGGTGACGGCTAGCCCCAGTGGTCCAAACCATGCCAATCCCAGTAAGCTAATGTAGGGGCCCTTGACCACAAGCAAGTCCAGTTGCCGCGTTCTCCCTCAATATTGCACCCTGAAGGTCCCCACCCCCATTGTGGAGACTTACGTTTCTGGAAGTCCTGGAGGGTGAATGGGGCCAGCCTGAGTTTGGGACCCCCACTAGGACACAGTTTCCTTAAGGTCCTTGCCGAGATGATGGATAGAGCTGAACCTGTGTCCAGCTCCATGCGGCACGGGGCCCCCTCTATCTGTACCTCTACATAAATTTTCTCTACGTTGGGGTGGGGCAACTGGTATACCTGGAAGTCTGTGAGCTCCGTCGAGTTGCCTTGGTGCGTTGGGCCCCGGGACCTGGGGCTCTTGGATCGGTCATCGGATGCCTGGCGTTGGGTGGGCCGAGCCCGACACACCTGGACGATGTGTCCTCATTCTCTGCACTGCCTGCACTCTGCATTGCGGAAACGGCAGGTCCTCCTCTCGTGACTCTCCCCACAGCTTGCGCAGTTCCTACCTTCTCGTTGAGGCAGCTGTGGTCTGTGCGCTGCTTGAGTGCGCTGCTGTACTCGGTGTACCTCCTCCCTGTCAGATCCTGAGTCGTCGGTGAGGTCTTTGTGGTGGACCCTTGGTTGAGGCGGCAAGCTTGGCTGTGCCTCTTGAGTTGACCTCTTGGCAGCTTCCGTTACCAGGGCCTCCTCCAGAGCGACCTGGAACATTAGGTCCTTCTTAGCGTAGAGCTTCTCATCCTTCAAGCCACTGACAAGGCAGTCATGAAGCATGTTCTCCAACTCTGAGAAGTTGCAGAACCGGGCAGCTTGGCGGAGAGAGGTCACAAACCCAGTTATGGTTTCTCCAGGGGCTTGCCGCTTTGGGTAGAAGGCATTTCGACGAGCCACCACTGAGGGCTGCGGTGAAAAGTGCCCCTTCAGCCATTGCATTATTGTTTTGTATGGAACAGTAGCGACGTCTTCAGGCGCAAGGAGAGCCCGGGCGATTTCAAAAGTCTCCTCTCCACAGATGCTGAAGAATATTGCCCTCTTCCTGGCGTCTTCTTCGTCGGTGACCCCTTTGGCTTCTAGGAGGAAGGTGAAACGGGAGGATGAGAAGCTCTACGCTAAGAAGGGCCAAAAACCCAAGTGACTGACACCAAACTGGTCCCAAAGCAGAGTGCTGGTTTTGTGCTGTTTTGTGCCACAAACCCTGCTTTCCCAGTGATTTAGAAAAATAGCTAAAGAAGCTGAAAACCAAGACCAAATAAACCAAATGAAGACAACCTAAGAGAGAGAGAGAGAGAGATCAATCTTTTCCTCAATTTTGCCTTTCAGTATGCTCTCCTTTTAATCTGCTTCTCCTGTTATTCCCCTCCTTCAAATCTCTTCTTTCATTTCTGTCAAATAAAGCATTTTTCTTTCTTCCCTGCACTGCCCTATTTCCTGAATTTACCCTACCTCTATTTTTATAATTGTTTCCAAGTATTTTTTTGTAATTGTATCCAAGTGTTGTTGTTTTTATAATTGTATCTGGGTAATTTTAAATTGTATCTAGTTTCATTTTTCTTCTAATTGTGTCTTTACTACTTGTAAATGTGAATCCTTTCTGTGACCCTTATGCAATTGTTACATTTGGTGTCTTTGCAATGGAATTGACCCCTTTGTATCCTTATCAGTGTTTGTTCAACTTCTCAATGATTGTAACTACTTTCAGGAAAATAAGAATTGGAACTCATGTATTCAAATTACATCACTTTATTGTAACCATGAAAGTAAAAATATTATTTTTAGCCTCAACCTAATCACTTCCACTCAGCTCCCCTTCATTTTAAAAAGCCACTTGCTTTTTTCTCTCCTTGGTTGGACATCACCCATCTTCTACAACCATAGTGGACCCCTTTGGGACCCCGAACCAAAATTCGGAAATGACAGGGGGCGGTGCACATCTTTATAGTTGTTACAAATATTATGCCTGAATGTATCCTTTCAACTTGACAGCTCAGGGAAGATACCTAGCTTTATAAATTCGTAGAAAACCCATACTTTAACCAACTCTCCTCAGTCCAAGGCCATTTTAACCCTTAAAGAAAGGTGAATTTGGTCCCCACCTCCCTCCATGAACCAAGAAGCAGGAAGTCACGTAGGCAGCAGGAACAGGGCATCCCACCATAATTCCCCAAGCATATGGCACCTCACCCAGGGGGTGACCAAGGGGGCAACAATAGACATCCACAGAGGCAGTTTAGCAAGTCAGGTGTTCTGAAAGCCCATCTCCAGACAAGTCCTGAGGGCAAGGATATGTAAAGTGTTTTATTGCTCTTTCGGTGATGGCTACTTAAGAGGTGTTGGAAAAGGTGTCTGATAAAGTGACCTAATGTTGAATTCCTGCAACCCTTGTATTTGTTGTTGTTTAGTCGTGTCCAACTCTTCGTGACCCCATGGACCAGAGCACGCCAGACACTCCTGTCTTCCACTGCCTCCCGCAGTTTGGTCAAACTCATGTTAGTAACTTCAAGAACACTGTCCAACCATCTCGTCCTCTGTCATCCCCTTCTCCTTGTGTCCTCAATCTTTACCAACATTGGGGTCTTTTCCAGGGAGTCTTCTCTTCTCATGAGGTGGCCAAAGTACTGGAGCCTCAGCTTCAGGATCTGTCCTTCCAGTGAGCACTCAGGGCTGATTTCCTTAAGAATGGAGAGGTTTCATCTTCTTATACCCCTCCTTGTTTGTGACATTCCACTGATGTAGTGATGATGTATCAATGATGCTGGCCAGTGTATTCTGGGGGAAAGAGTGAAGTTTTAAAAGAGGATGTCACCCCATGCTTGGTGTTCTTACTCTTGTGGGGACCTGTTGCACAATAATAAAGATATTGGTCTACTGACCGCTGTTTTGCTCCTATATTTGGCTGGAACTTCCTTCCTTTCTGACTGTATAGACCAGCAGGCTCTGCCCCGATGAGCGGGGCTGTTGAGTAGTCTCTCACCCCAGAATTTTCCTTAACAAAGTGTTTCACATAACCAGCTGCCCCCCCTACATTTGAGTAATTGACACTCAAACTGGGGGCCATAGGCACACCAAACCCACTCCACTTTGGCACCAGTTTGCAGTCAATTGGACAAGGTTTGGTTTGTGGTGTGCTTGACCCACTACCTTGTCCCCAATTAAGTCCCTTTTTTAAAAAATAATTTTTATTAACTGACCAATCAAATCAAATCAAATCAAATCACATCACATCACATAAATTCCGAATTACAAAGCCGAATTTTAAATTTTGTTGAGGGGACCCATATTTCAAGTTCCGAGGGGGGATTCCGATCATCTTCTTGCTGCTGCGTTAATATCCACAAATCTGTCCAAATAATGTTCATAATTCTATCCAGTCTTATCTTGCTGTTTCCACCTCTCATCTTGTTCGTATATTTTTCTTTTTTTCCTTTATGATCTCTTCTGATAATCTCCTTAAGCAGGTAAACACCAATTATAATCCTGTGTGAATTTTCCGTTCGTCCAATCCTCATATCAAGATGGTTTCCATATATCATCACTTTCATAAATAACATCACTCTTTCCATCATTAATCTCGCAAATCTGTCGCTCTTAACCCCCCCTGAGGAGGCTCACCCACAATATAAAAACAACTCTGTTCCTCCTCCTAGGCTTAAGTCTTCCAACAGAACTTGCCAAAATGGCGACGGTATTTTTTACTGCGTCATTCCAAAGCTCTTATACTTTCCACGATCTTCTTAAAACATGCTTTGGTTAGAAAATTATCTCCACACAGTCTTAAATCCACAGCTTAAGTCATTTAAACGGCATTTCTGACTTGTGACTTGTGGGGGGGGGGATTCTTGGTTAATCACATAAAGGAAAGTTTTCCCCCCTCCCCCATCCAGTCCTTGCCGAACATACCGAGCCTTGGTATGTCTTCTCATGATTTATTCTTGTTCCTCTGACCCGTCTTGTTTATCAGAGATCTCTTCCGTTAGCAGTCTTTACTCCCCCTTCTTCCTTGAAATATGTGCATTCGCTTCCTCCTAATTGTTTCTTTTGAAGTTACTGCAGCTAGGGGTGCGGACCAGAGACAGCGTCCAGGAGCGCCGAGATCCACAGGAGGGCTTTCTGCCTAGTGCCCCCACCCCCACAAATTTGGGGGTGGTATAGGGCACAGCAGGCAAGGGCAGTCCCCCCCACAGGCTTGGGGGGGCAGGGAGGCTGTTTACTCCCATCACAGCCTCTTAATTACCTTGTGTGGGTCGGAGAGATGTTATTGTCAGCCATCTTCCGATGCGCCCCTAGTGGCCCCTCCTGTCCCCAATTAATAAGTGGAATCTGCACACGTATAAAAAACGCTGTGAAAATGCTTTTTTAAAAAAACGTTTTGAAGGATACGTTGAATTTTGCATAGCTCACTGTCGCCATCTAGTGTCACATTTGTATATTGCACTTCGCAGCACATTTAAAACGTTTTATTTGCAGCTGTATAGCTGAGTCCCTGGTCTGGAATGAGCGCAGAAACTACGTGACGCTTCCGACGGGAAATCTAGTCTCCGCCCTGCTCAGCAACCAGGCAGCAAGAGGAAATCGAAAGCAATCCTAGTCCAGGCACTGGAACTGCAGGAAGCGACATACCCCCTGCCGCCAATCCTCCTCTTGGGGGGTGGGGTCTCTACCAAGTTCTTCCCCTTGTGGGCTGGGCAAGCAGTGGAATCCCTGCCGGACTGTATTTGCATAAGATGATGCTCCTCCTGGGCCACCACGCCCCTTTCAAGGCCGCAGGCGCTTATTAAGCCCCAGTCTTGCTGCTCCTAAGGTTTTAGCTCAGCCTACAGGAATTTGCTCGGGGCTCCAGGAAGCAGATTTCCAAAGGTGGACTCAGGACCCTGCAGCCTACAAAGCAAGTGGATGCAAAGCTTATATTGCAGGGGAGCCAACTTGAATAAAATATTGATAACTGATCACATGACATAGTGCAGGCACACTATTTGAAGGGCAGTGCCCATGAACATTTTATGGGAGGGAGAGACCCTTCAGCTCCTAGGAGTTGGCTGCTATGTTAAGATTGTGTGTTAGCAAGCATTATGATTAGAACAAAAAAGCCCCAATGTTATGTGTGACCCACTAGGCTGAATTCAGTTCCACCACTGGTCCCCATGAAGCATGGCTGTGGCCCCTGGAAGGTGCTCCATGACCCTCTCTGGTGCATTTATTTTGCTTGGTTACTTCCTCCAAAAGGGTGCTGTACAAATGTTTAAAGCAGTATATATAACATACAACGCACGCAGATATCTTTAACAAATTTTTCAAAAGAACCAACATAAAAACTAAATAAAAAAGCAACAACTCAGATACTTCGCTATGACAAAAAATGAAAATTGTATTATGAGGTTACCTTGAAGAAGTCATAAAAGGTATCAGTTTAAGGGTCTGGAAACTAAGACAGGTGAGACACGGTTGAGGGAGCTGGGTCTGTTTAGCCTGGAGGAGACTAAGAGGGGATACAATATCCATCTTCAAATAACTAAAGGGCTGTCCTAAGGAATGGAGGAAGCTTGTTGTTTTGGTGCTCCAGAGGGTAGGACCCAAATCAGTGGATTAAAGTTACAAGAAAGGGGATTCAGACTAAATATCAAGAACAACTTTCTGACCCTAAGACCTGTTCAGAAGTGGAATGGACTCTTCTTCATTGGAGGTCTTTAAGAAGAGGTTGGATGGACATCTGTCATGTATGATCTAGATGAGATTCCTGCATTGCAGAGGGTTGGGCCAGATGACCCTTTGGGCCCATTCCAACTCAACTATTGTGTGTATTTGGAGGTAGATATATAGATATAGGTAAAGGACCCCTGGATGGTTAAGTCCAGTCAAAGGTGACTATGGGGTGAGGCGCTTATCTGGCTTTCAGGCCGAGGGAGTCGGTGTTTGTCTACATCTGGGTTGTGTGGCCAGCAGGACTAAACCACTTCTGACACAACAGAACACCGTGATGGAAACCAGATCACACGGAAATGCCATTTACCTTTCCGCTGCAGCGGTACCTATTTATCTACTTGCACTGGTCTGCTTTCAAACTGCTAGGTTGGCAGGAGCTGGGACAGAGCAATGGGAGCTCACCCTGTCGTGCAGCTTTGAACTGCAAGCCCAAGAGGCTCAGTGGTTTAGACCACAGCTCCACATGCATCCCAGATATAAATCTGCTTCTAGTATCTGAAATATGCATGGCAGCACATTGGAAGTGGAAAAACCGATTGCTCCTTTGATCTTGGAATGTTACAGGAGGGATAGAGAATGTAGCATTTTCCTCTAAGCTGATGTCTTTAAAAAGTGATTAATGTAAAGAACAGTCAAACACATTTGTTGAAAGATGGACTTTATTTGCCAAGTTTTGTCACAGTAAATGTCAGGGTGGTGCTCAGCCAAATTTCTTTTTCTCTCTCTTATCGTAAGAGTTTGGATTTGAGGCTTTAACTCTTTTCGTATGAGACAGTTCTTTATCCCGTCTCTCTTTTCCTAAGTTCTATGTTCACTGTCACAGTTTACTCTTCAAAGATTATTGAAGGCAGTGTTATATAGCCATGGCAGAAAAATGAATTCATCAAATTCATCTGGCAAAGGATTTGGGAGAAGTCTCAGAGTTCTATGCATTTGTTTACAAGAAGGAAATCAACATCAAGATGTCTGCAGCAAGGATTGCACTGGGAAATGCAGCAATCAGGGCTTCGGTTTAGGGAAAAGGCAGGGGTCCTCATTCCCTCCAGGACAACTTTCTAGGGGCCACAAACCAGCAGTAGGAGCGGCTTGAGGCAAAACAGAAGGCTTCACCCAAACCATGCACAATCCAGAGGTTTGTATACGCAGGTTTCTCCACCCAGGCAAGCTAAAGGCTTTATTACAGCTCAGGGACACATTCTGCTACGCAAAGGCACTCAAGGAAGCAAGCAGAGCAGGGCCAGTGAGAGGAGAACCCTGAGGGCCGGATGGGAGGGCCGCATCTGGTCCCAGGGCTGCAGTTCATCACCTCAAAGTTAGGGACTAGAAGCTTGAATGGTGTCACGGAGGACTCATCTGCAAAGGAGGACAGAGATATGGATTTAGCACGGGGGCAGAGAACCCTTGGCTTGTCACAGAACTACAACTCCCATCAGCCCTGGCAAGCATGGCATGCCCAATATCAAAAGATGACAGGAGTTGTGGCAGGCCCAAGGTTCCCCATACCTGACTTAGTGTAAACCATGGTAATCCTCATAGCTTGCTTTGCTTTGCTGTGATTCCTTTTATAGTAAATAACCCCTCACAGTCAGTTCCACAGAAATATGTCTCTGAAGAGCAGAGAGAAGGAAGGGAGCATCCTACCCCCTCAAAAAAAAAAAAAAAAAAAGTGAACCCAGAAAAAGACAATGTTTGGTATCCAGTTACTATGCCAAACACAAATTAGGCCACGAGCCTAACCCCACTTACTTGACAATAAACCCCACTGAATTCAATAGGGCTTACTTTTGAGTAGACACAGTTAGGACTGCACTGTCTATTCCTATTTTATTAATTCAGGATGAGAGAAAGACCCAGCTCATGAAGAGATACATGATTTACATGTCTCTGTAGAGAAAGACAGAGGACTCTTTGCTACCCAAAATGATCTTTGTTCAAAAGACAGCTTCCATCGTTCTCCCTAACTGGCCAGACTACAAAGATTAGGAAGCCCTGATGGGTCTTTAAAAAAAAAAGTTTTTATTTATACTTTTCAAGTTTATACATTTCATTAGTTTTACAATCAATTTAACATTTCAAAGTTTGACTTCCTTCCCCCTCTTTCTGTGGTTCCTTAAATTTATTTTTCAATATCTTCTGCATATCCAATATCTTCTGCATATCCAAATTCATTTAATTATCTACTTTAAATATATACTCTTATGAAACTGCAGGTTGTTACAATAACCCTGCTAATGTTTTCATCTGTTTGCAATTTATCTGTAAATATTCAATAAACTGTTTCCATTCTTTAGAAAAAGAGCCCTGATGTGTCTTAATATCAAGTAGTGTTGACGGCGCACATATTTAATTATTGCATTTATGCCGCACCATTTTCTCCAGGGGGCTCAAGGTGGTCAACCCCTCCTCCTTTAATCCCCACAACAACCCTGTGAGGCGAAGAGGCAGGGCCCAGGGACACACACAGTGAACTTCCTGGTCTCTCAGATCCCAGTCCCACACTCTAACCACTGAAGCATCATCTAAGAGTTGGCTTCAGACATCTTGTGGGAAATGCATCACTTTGCCCAACTGTTATAAAAATAATCTGCTCAACTGCTCCCTTTCACTTATAGGGTATTCCAGAGCCTGTATAGAGTCCTTCCAAGGTTCCCTATCAGTAGGAGAAAATAACAGAGGCTAACCAGAATATATTGAGAAGCAAAGCGGCTAGTAAGACTGACCTTTATTAAAGGAAATAAACTGTTGCAACAGGGTCCCCACTCACCAGATGCAGGAGGGTGGAGAACCCTGAACAATGGTGCACAAGCCCTTATATAGACTTTTGAATTGCCCACCCTGTAGCCCAAGACCTCCCCCCAAATCATACATACATCAGAAAAGGAGGCAGGTCTACAGCAGAAATCCTGTCTGCCAGGATACCTAATAATGGTCACTGATTGCATTACCTGGGCAGTCTGGCCATCCTTTTGTGATGGTTAATACTTTAGTTCCTGAATCCAGGTCACAGGCTCACCCTATTCATACACAAATATGTCCTTAAGACAGGATTTATAAGCAAAAAGACAATGAGGAGGTTTTTCCCATTTGCCCCCCTTACTGCAGAGGAATATTTGAAGTCATTGGGAGAGTCAAAATGGCTTCAGGATTGCTCTCCCATACTATTTCAGGCACATGGTTCATATATTTAGAGATGTGTGAATTTAAGAATATTTATTCTATATTTGAGGCCATAAAATTCTAATAACACCAAGTTCCTTCCCTGATTATCTGAAATAGACCAAATTTAAAGGGGGAGAGGGGATGAGTGGGCTCCACTCAGGACATAATTACGAGTCAGTGGGGGCTGGCAGTGCCCATTGGCACTGGTAGGGCAGTAGGTAGGGATCCCACCTCTAGGTGGCGCCACGGCCAAAGACAGATGGAGGGAGAGCCAATAACAGGCAGAGCCTCCCCTTGATTGGTTGCAAGAAGACAGGGGGGAGGGTCCTCACCAGTTGCATCCTCTGCCACTAGCGCCGTCTTCGTCATCTGAGTTGGGAAAGGGCTCTATGAAGTCTTCGTCCCAATTAAACGGCCCAAGAGTGACGCTGCTCCTGGTGACTCTTACGCTGTTCTCAGGCGGCTGGCCACTCCCGTTTACAGCCAGGTGTTCAAAGAGGATGTAGCGGAGTCCAGCCTGGCATTCGATAATCCCTTGCGAAATCTGAAGACAGGAGAGAAAGAGAGAGGTGCTGAATACGGGGCAAGGCTGCCGAGCTAGGAGGAAAACTACCCCTCTCAAAGGTAGGGGTCTTTGGGCTGAAAGTGGCCCTCAAGCCTGGCCCCTGGATCTCCCCTCTGGACACTCCACTGCTTTGCAAGTATTTTTAGGGGGCTGGGAGATCTCCTTGACCCCCCCACACTCAACCAATATGTCCTGCCAGCTTACAAGGAATGCACAAATGTTCACTGTGCACTTGGATTCCTTCTTTTAGCATGGCAGCACCGATGTTTTGGAACTCCCTGCCCATGCTGTTTGTCAGGTGCCTTTGCTGTCCTTCTTTCAGTGCCCAGCTAACCCCTTTTTTCTTTTAGGCACGCACACACAGACATCCAGGGACGCGGGTGGTGCTGTGGGTTAAACCACAGAGCCTAGGGTTTCCCGATCAGAAGGTCGGTGGTTCGAATTCCTGCAACGGGGTGAGCTCCCGTTGCTCGGTCCCTGCTCCTGCCAACCTAGCAGTTCGAAAGCACGTCAAAGTGCAAGTAGATAAATAGGTACCGCACCAGCGGGAAGGTAAACGGCGTTTCCGTGCGCTGCTCTGGTTCGCCAGAAGCAGCTTAGTCATACTGGTCACATGACCCAGAAGCTGTACACCGGCTCCCTCGGCCAATAAAGTGAGATGAGCGCCGCAACCCCAGAGTTGGTCACGACTTGACCTAATGGTCAGGCGTTCCTTTACCTTTACCTTTTACACAGACATCCAAAGACATATATATATCAATGTGAACTTTGTTTTATAACATGCATGTCATCTAATTTCGTTCCTATGTCGTGCATTTTGCTTTTTTCATCTTATTTCTCAGTCGTTAGAGCATGGGGCTCTTAATCCCAGGGTTGTGGGTTCAAGCCCCACGTTGGGAAAAATATTCCTGCATTGCAGGGGGGTTGGACTAGATGACCCCCGCGGTCCCTTCCAACTCTACGATTCTCTGAACTTGCTTTATTCATAATTTTGTGTATATCACATACAGGTTTTTAAATTTTGTTGTTGTTTAGTCGTTTAGTCGTGTCCGACTCTTCGTGACCCCCTGGACCAGAGCACGCCAGGCACTTCTGTCTTCCACTGCCTCCCGCAGTTTGGTCAAACTCATGCTGGTAGCTTCGAGAACACTGTCCAACCATCTCATCCTCTGTCGTCCCCTTCTCCTTGTGCCCTCCATCTTTCCCAACATCAGGGTCTTTTCCAGGGAGTCTCCTCTTCTCATGAGGTGGCCAAAGTATTGGAGCCTCAGCTTCACAATCTGTCCTTCCAGTGAGCACTCAGGGCTGATTTCCTTAAGAATGGATAGGTTTGATCTTTTTGCAGTCCATGGGACTCTCAAGAGTCTCCTCCAGCACCATAATTCAAAGCATCAATTCTTCGGCGATCAGCCTTCTTTATGATCCAGCTCTCACTTCCATACATCACTGCTGGGAAAACCATAGCTTTTACTATACGGACCTTTGTCGGCAAGGTGATGTCTCTGCTTTTTAAGATGCTGTCTAGGTTTGTCATTGCTTTTCTCCCAAGAAGCAGGTGTCTTTTAATTTTGTGACTGCTGTCACCATCTGCAGTGATCATGGAGCCAAAGAAAGTATTCATTTCTTACTTTTATAGACCATGTTTTCTCCAATGAGCTCAAGATGCCGTATATAACTCTCACCTCCTCATTTTATCCCCAGGGAGGTAGGTTAGGATTGGAGAAGACATTGAATGGGTTCAAGCTTCATAGCCAAGTGGGGATTTGAACCCTGGTCTCCCAGGTAATAGTCTTGACACTCTAACTACAACACCACACTGGCTCCCTCTTTTTGTGATGACCACAAACTCCTTTAGATAAAAATAAATGAATAAGCACCCACTTGCCCACTTCAACCTCTGCTCCTGCCCATCACTCCTGGAATGTGGCCCCCGGAAGCCTGCATACAAGGGAATGCCGGCCCTCAGATTGATAAATCCTTCCCCCATCTACTGCAGGCTTTGCTTCTGCTCCCCATCCCAAGCATTTCCCACTGGGGCTTACAGACCCGACGCCAGCGTGGAGCTTCCGAACCGCGCCCTTCCGTATGGAGGATGTGGAGGAGCTGAAAGTCTGCGTCCAACATCTTCACGCTAAGTTGATAGCGGCTGCCAGGGGGACAATAATAGCTGTTTTTTGGGGGGGGGGGGAGGAGGGAGAGAAAACATCAGTTTGGGCAGAAACCAAACTGGGCATGATTTGAACACTGAACACCAAACCAAGAGTATATATTTCGTGACCGATAACCTCCAGATAAAAAAATCAAGGCAGCCTAGACCTTTCGATACAAATCTATTCCCATGTACTTGAATGTACAACTTTAAAACAGTTACTTCTAATAAATAATAATAAGTAGTAATATAGCCAATAATGGCGAATGGCTGTAATTTTCATCAATCAGTTTCATGCATAAATGCGGCTTTCAATGGCCATTATTATTATTATTATTTTTATTACAGTCATACCTCGGGATAAATGTGCTTCAAGTTAAGTATTTTTGGGTTGTGCTCCACGGCGACCCGGAAGTAACGGAGCGTGTTACATCCGGGTTTCGCCGCACACACATGCGCAGACAGTCAAAATGACATCATGTGCATGCGCAGATGTGGCAAAATGCGACCCGTGCACGTGCAGGTTGCGTTCGCTTCAGGATGCGAACAGGGCTCCGGAATGGATCCCGTTTGCATCCCAAGGTACCACTGTATTATATTTCTATAATGCCCTATACGTGCAGATCTCAGGGAGGATACAACATAAAATTGCAATATAAAACCACAATACACATACCGTATTTTTCGCACCATAGGGCGCACTGGACCATAGGGCGCACCCAGTTTTTAGGGGGAGAAATCAAGGGAAAAAAATATTTCCCCCCCCCAGATCCCAAAGAGCAGCGTACAGGCTGCGCACAACCTCTCCCTGCCGGAGGGGTTGCGCTCAGCTATGGAGGAAGCCAAGGCAGGGGGCGGGATGGATCCCGCTTGCTGTTTTGGCTTCCCCTTTAGCCCCGTACAGCCTCTCCTTGCCGGGAGACGCTGCGCAGGGCTAAAGAATCCATAGCCCCGTGCAGCCTCTCCTTGCCGGAGGGGTTGCGCACAGCTATGGAGCAAGCCAAGGCAGGGGGCGGGATGGATCCCGCTCGCTGTTTTGGCTTCCCCTTTAGCTCCATGCAGCCTCTGCTTGCCGGGAGATGCTGCACAGGGCTTTCCTGGCTTTACTGGGAGGTGGGGGGATTCCCTCACCTCTCGCAAAAGCCCGCAGAAGCCGCGCAACCCCTTTAAAGAGATCGCGGCTTCTCCTGGCTTTTCTGGGAGGTGGGAGAAGGGACTGATGCGGCCAGTCAGTCCCTTCTCCCTCCTGTGGAAAAGCCCGCAAGAGCGCACGGAGCTTGTGTGCGGCTCTTGGGGGCTTTTCCCGCCTGCCTCCCCCCTGCATTCGCTCCATAGGACGCACACACATTTCCCCTTGCTTTTTAGGAGGGAAAAAGTGCGTCCTATGGTGCGAAAAATACGGTAATCAAAATATATAAAAAAACAACCCAATACATTTTAAAAGGACATCGGGTGTCAGTCAGCCAAAGGCCTGATTAAAGAGGAATGCTTTTGCCTGACACCGAAAGCTGTATAATGAAGGAGCCAGGCGAACTTCCCTGGGGAGAGCATTCCACAGATGGGGAGCCACTGCAGAGGAGGCCCCGTTCTCGTGTTGCCACGCTCCGGACCTCTCGAGGAGGAGGCACACGATGGAGGCTCTTGGAAGATGATCTCAGGGTCTGGCTAGGTTCATATGGAGAGAGGTGGCTCTTGAAGCTACCAGCCATGGGGTCTGTGTTCTCCCTCCACTGTCAAGAGGTGGGACACATTTGAATACCAGTTGCACAAGAACAGGAGGCTGGACTAGACGGGTTGCTGGCCTGATCTAGGAGGGCTCTTCTTACATTTGCATGCAAATATATTATTTGGTGTGTCTACAAAACATAAGAGGAGCCTGCTAGATCAAGCCAATGGATCATCCAGTCCAGCGTCCTGTTCTCACAGTGGCCAAGCAGATGCCCATTATGGGAAACCCACAAGCAGGACCCGAGTACAAGAACCTTCTCCCTTCCTGCCTTTCCAGCAGTTGTTATTCAGAAGCATCGCTATGTCTGACTGTGCCATTCATGTCTGCCTGCAGGCCCTTTCAGAAGGATCTTATCTCAGCGAGGCACAGCTTGCTCAGGAAATTCAAGGCCTGCAAAGGTGCAAAAAGGCTCAGGGTACTAACAAAACAAGGTTATTTATGTATGCTACTACTGCAGCCCATATTTTGTTGGCCCCAAAATGGAAAACGAGCAAGGTCCCAACTAAAGAAGAGTGGCAACTTAAACTGATGGAATATGTGCAGCTTGTGGACTTAACATATAGAATAAGAGAACATATGCTTAAAGAAGATTGGAAAATGTTTGTTGAATATATGGGGGGGGGGGATTGAATACACTTGAAAACATTGGCAGCATTAAGATATATTCAACAGTGCAAATAAGTTTGGATGGATGCAATAAGGGAAAACTGAATGGTTCAGTTTATATAAAATATGCAGGGATTTATGTTATGCAAAATGAACCACGGAAAGAGAAGAAGGGAAGTCATTGATATTTTAAGGTTGTTTAAATGGATATTCTAAACTGTAAAACAGAAAAATTATAGGGGGGGGGAAGGCTCAGAGCGGATGAGCAGTGTTCTATAACCTTAGGTGGTTGGACTACAAGTCCCATCATCCCCAGCACCCCAATGGTGAGGGATGATGGCTGTTGTAGTCCAGTAACACTAGGAGACCCAAGGTTGAAGGGTGTTGGGTTGGAGCACATTGCCAGGCTTGGAGCTGTCTGGAATCCTACCAGATCCTGCTTATCAGATTTCTACATTTCCCTAATTTTACAATCATTTTAACATTTCAAAACTTGACTTCCTTCCCCCTCTTCCTGTGGTTCCTTAAATTCATATTTAATATCTTCTTCATATCCAAATTAACTTAATTTGCTCATTTATTCATCTATTTCAAATATATATACAGCGGTACCTCAGGTTACATATGCTTCAGGTTACAGACTCCGCTAACCCAGAATTAGTGCTTCAGGTTAAGAACTTTGCTTCAGGCTGAGAACAGAAATCATGCTCTGGCGTCGTGGCAGCAGCAGGAGGCCCCATTAGCTAAAGTGGTGCTTTAGGTTAAGAACAGTTTCAGGTTAAGTACAGACCTCCGGAACGAATTAAGTACTTAACTCGAGGTACCACTGTATTTAAAATAGATGAATAAATGAGCAAATTGTATGTAATTGCAGGTTATTTACAATAATCCTGCCAACGTTCTGTTTACAATTTATCTGTAAATATTAAATAACCATTTCCATTCTTTTGTTGTCTTGATCTCTTAGTCTTCCGTTAAGTTTTGCCATGTCTGCATATTCCATACATTTTTGTTCTGTCCTTTGGACCACGCAGCCCCACCCCCCCAATAACCAAGAGTGGATGCTCTGAACCCACCATTCATTCACGGCGATGTTAGGTCTGGCTTCATCTATCAGCTCGTCCCAGTACCCAAGGTCCTTCAGAATGATGAGCTGAGCCTTGCTGCAGAGCCTGAAGCACAAAGGAACATCTTGTGTGAAAGTCTGAAGGCGTTTGGAGGATGGATGGTGGTTGATGGATGGCCTGAGATCGAATCCCGACAAGACAGGGGGGGACATGTGTGTGGGGTTCCCTGGTCCCAAATGGGGTAACTGTGTCCCAGAGGGACCAGATTTGCAGCCAGGGAGTCATTTTGGACTCAGAGCTGTCCACGGACACTCACCCGTCACACGCAGCAAAGCATCTGTTGACCCACTGTGGGGAGGAGTCTTTCTTTTTTGCGTAGGAATTCCTCTGGAGGAAACTTTCGACGGGGAGGGCTGCCAAATCCTCCTCAGACAGCTCCTCGGTTTTCCAGTGGCCCTCGGAAGGGACCCTCATCGCCCAGGAGTCCAGGCCCTCTGCGGAAACCAAACCAAAATGACAGACATTGAAGGAAGAGGCTTTTGAGTCAGTGGAAGCAACAGAGGAGTCAACTGCCAGACAAAGGAGAGGATACAGATCCTGGAGGAACATGCAGGCCAGCAAGGGCAACAGTGGGGATGTTTTAGGCATGATGTACTGACATCACAGGACGTGGGTGGCAGTGTGGGTTAAACCACAGAGCCTAGGACTTGTCGATCAGAAGGTCGGCGGTTCGAATCCCCGCGACGGGGTGAGCTCCTGTTGCTCGGTCTCTGCTCCTGCCAACCTAGCAGTTTGAAAGCACGTCAAAGTGCAAGTCGATAAATAGGTACTGCTCTGGCAGGAAGGTAAACGGCGTTTCCGTGCGCTGCTCTAGTTTGCCAGAAGCGGCTTAGTCCTGCTGGCCACATGACCCGGAAGCTGTACTCCGGCTCCCTCAGCCAATAAAGTGAGATGAGTGCCGCAACCCCAGAGTCGGCCACAACTGGACCTAATGATCAGGGGTCCCTTTTCACACGCAGAAGAAGAAGAAGAGGAGGAGGAGGAGGAGGAGGAGGAGTTTGGATTTGATATCCCGCTTTATCCCTATCCGAAGGAATCTCAAAGCGGCCAACATTCTCCTTTCCCTTCCTCCCCCACAACAAACACTCTGTGAGGTGAGTGGGGCTGAGAGACTTCAGAGAAGTGTGACTAGCCCAAGGTCACCCAGCAGCTGCATGTGGAGGAGCAGAGACGTGAACCCGGTTCACCAGATTACGAGTCTACCACTCTTAACCACTACACCACACTGGCTCTCAAGCATCTCGCCTCCTTCCCTAAGTCAGGCAGAAGCTTCCTGGGCTTTGGAAAGGTGGCGTCAGGGTTTAATACTTTAATACTCAGATATACCAGGAACATTTAGGGGAACAGCCTAGTATCTCTAGTCCACTGACTGACTGCCACCGAACCCTTCCCCATTAGGCTTGGGCGATATATTGATATATCGCCCAGGACCGTTATTTGGGGGCAGACCGCGATGACAGCTTCACTCAGCGATATATCACTGGTGAAACCGTCACCACTCTTGAGTCACTCTGCCTCCAGCGCCCAGAGGGAGAAACAAACTACCGTATTTTTCACTCCATAAGATGTACCAGACCATAAGGCGCACCTAGTTTTGGGAGGAGGAAAACAAGAAAAAAAATATTCTGAATCCCAGAAGCCAGAACAGCAAGAGGGATCTGGCTTCTGGGATAGCCTCTGGCTGTTCTGGCTTCTGGGATAGCTGCGCCAAGCCTCTTCAGGGCAGTGGGATGAATGTTCCCCCTTCCCGGAAGAGGCTGCGTGGGGCTAAGGCAGAAGCCAGGACAGCAAGTGGGATTGCTGCGCAGCGATCCCTCTTGCTGTCCTGGCTTATGGGATAGCCGCGCACCGCCTCTCCCGGGCAGCGGGATGAAGGCTCCCCCTGCCCGAAGAGGCTACGCACGGCTAAGGCAGAAGCCAGGAGAGGTGCTTCGCTGAAGGGCCGCTGCGCAACTTTCCCTCTCTGTGCAGCGCCATTCGCTCCATAAGACACACTCACATTTCCCCTTACTTTTTAGGAGGAAAAAAGTGTGTCTTATGGAGTGAATAATACGGGAGCTGGGGGCAGATATACAGTTGGTGAAACCGCCATCGTACTCTGCCCGGCAGAGGGAGAATCAAGTTGAACTGGCGAGGTGCCACTACAGCCTGTTCCTTCCTCTGCTTCTTTAAACTGCTTGGCTGAGGAGCAAGCTGCTGCCCTTGCCTGAGCCAAGCTGTTTTACAGAGCCCTCGACCCACCAGCGGCTCGCACGAGCCAGCGGCAGGATGGGGGATCTGTCAAAGTGCAACCCCTCCCCAGCTGAGAGAGCCCACACCCCGCCTGGCTGCCTTCCTCCAGGAGGGGGTGCCGTGCCTTTCCTCCCAGGAAGATGGAGCCCACCCTCCTGGTGGAAGGCAGCCAGGCGGTTTGGGGGCTCTCTGATGCTGCTGGGAGGCCCAGCACTCGCCAGCAGCCCCTCTCCACAAGGTGAAGATACCCCACGCCTTGTGCCCGGGAGGGTGGGCTCTGTCATTCCTCCTGGGGTGAACGACACCCCCACCGGAAGAAAGAAGCAGCGCACCCGCATAGGTTCCATGTGCTTGGCTATTGCTGCTAGGTTGGTCTTCGGGAGTGGGGGGTGAGTGCGCAAGATAGCTTGCCTGCCCCCAACGCCATCAAAGGCAGAAGCAGCTTGGGTCCTTGCTGCTACAGCACGAGTGGCAGGGACATTGGGGCTGGCTCCGCCGGGGGCAGTTGTTTTCCAGCCCCCAGCAGAGCCAGGCCAAAGGGCCTCAGAGCTGGCTCCGCTGGCACTGGACTGAAAATGCCTCAGCTCTCACAATGACATCTGTGGTGTTTTCACCCAGCACCTCACCTGCTGGGGCCGATGTAGCTTTTTTCAAAATTGTGGTATATCGTCAAACCCCGATGTTTGGCTGGCAATGAACTGCGATGTTGAAAACCCAGCATTGCCCTGCCCTGTTCTCCATCATTTGCAGCAAAGTGCCTTCACACAAATCATTTGTCAGACTGTGATCATTTCCCTTTCCTTATTTATTAAATTTGTATACAGTAGTACCTCGGGTTAAGAACTTAATTCGTTCTGGAGGTCTGTTCTTAACCTGAAACTGTTCTTAACCTGAGGTACCACTTTAGCTAATGGGGCCTCCTGCTGCCGCTGTGCTGCCGGAGCACGATTTCTGTTCTCATCCTGAAGCAAAGTTCTTAACCTGAAGCACTATTTCTGGGTTAGCAGAGTCTGTAACCTGAAGCGTATGTAACCTGAAGCGTCTGTAACCCGAGGTACCACTGTACTGCCCTTCATCTGTAGATCTTAGGGATGTAAAAATGCAAGGTAACGAACACAAAACACATAATAAAAACAAAGAACAGAAACCAAGCAATAACCCCCTCCTCCCCATTTCTCCCCCAGCTGAACAGGGATGCACCTTTGCCGCAAGGATTCTTGATTAAGTTCTTCTCCCTGTGGGAGTAAATGAAGAAGGCCTTCGACTCTTGGGTCTCAGGTCCGCTCTTTCGCTGGAACTTAATCTTCCACAGCTCAGGGTCGTCCACCAGGCGTCGCCACTGGGAGCAAACCAGCCGGCAGTTGCAAAGCAGGTTCCTCGCTGGTACCCGGGCCAGCACCTCCAGCAGCACATGTTCAGGCAAGTCTCCGATAGTCAGCATCTTTCTTCAAAGTGGTCTTTTGGCCGCTTCCAGGGAAGAATCACAAGAGGGCGAGAATGAGAGAGAGAAACCCCACAAGAACAGCAGCAGTGGGAAATAGTTGTAAAGAGGAACGCTGCAACAAAATGTTGTAGCCACGTGCTTCATTCCTTTCCTGCTTCTTCCCCCTGGTTTCTTTCTCTGCTCTAAGAGCCAGTTAAACATTCTGTGCTCTATCCACATCTATCTGTTGCCCCCTTTCATTCTTAGCTTTCCTTCTGAGTTTTGTGCTGGCCGTCAGGCAATGGCCTTTTCTACCTGCCCTGGCCCACCCTCCAGACCTAGGAGGAGCCTTTCCCAGACCATGCAGAAGCAGCTGGGAAAAGAGGAGTTCAGGGATATTTTTTATTTTTTTTATAAATTGTGTGTCTTTGCTTCTCAGTTTGTATTGTGTTATTTTATGCACTGTGATTTTTATTGATTATAGTTTAGAAACTGTTTATTGTAATTGTTAAGAGTGAATTTGTGCTTAATTCTTATTTGCTGATATTTAATTTCACTGTGCACTACTATATGCCAATGGGTTATCGAAGAACGCTTTATTGGATATAAGTCGTTCATTTTAAAGATGTGTTTTTATTATGACATAACTTTTGTATGTCATAATTCTGGATTGGATCAGATTGTTCGAAGGTGCACGATCTTTTGTCATTTCTTCAGCTTGTAAACCGCCCTGTGTATAGTGATACAGAAAGGTGGGATACAAATTAAAAGTGAACAGAAATTAAATGAAGTGAAATGAAATCCAAAAATCCAAAATTAGCATATTACATTTAGAAACCATTTAAATCAGCCCCACTCCCCAAATAAAACAGCACCCACCCAAGTTAAAACCCCATCCCCCGTTAAAATGTTAATTTGTTGTTGTTGTTTAGTCGTTTCTGACTCTTCATGACCCCATGGACCAGAGCACGCCAGGCACTTTAAGCGGGGTTTTTATCGGGTTATATCCAACAGTTGCCTTCAGAGATGACCCATTAAAATGAGTGAAACTGGCTAATGTAGGCCCATTCATTTCAATGGGCCTATTCTGAGTAGCCCATTACTAACTATTGCATTTCACTGTTCTGTACTGACATGCAGAACCCATTGGCTGTGGGTCTAACAGGGATCCTCTGGATAGCCCAATAAATTTAATTCTGAGCATGCCCACGGACCCCAAAACGCAATTACTCCATGCACGTGGCAACACTTCATAGCGAGGGGAGGGACTCCCATCACAAGTTCACACGTATCTGAAACCCTGGAAAAAAACACACGAACTTATACTTAGAGGGAAGAAAAGAAGGAGGGGTCGCTCTGCACATGCTCAGAGGCCATGCCATCACTTCTCCTACCGCAAACAGGTCCGGAGGGCAGGAGAGGGCGGACCCCCTCCCCAATACAAACTGAACCTCGCAGGCTCCACAACGTCCCCTCCCTCCAAAACAAACAAACAGGCTTACCGGGGCTGGAAAATGCGCAACAGCCACGCGGGAGCCACGCGGTACCCCAAGACACTCAACAGCCTCGCAGGAAAAAGAAACCGAATGTGAACATGGGCGAGGGCGCAGGAAACTCTCGGGGAGGGTCCCCCAAGGGAGCACCACCCCTTGGAGGCCGGGCGAGCAGGGGATTCGTGCCTTTGCGCACGATGATGCGCTTCTCGGATTGAGCTCGTCCCGGTCAAGGGCACAGGCTCTTCTCCAAAGAGCAACTGCAATTCCCAAGTCCACTTTTTCCTGAGTTTCCCGGAAAGGAAGCCTATCTGCCTGAGCTCAAGGAGGCTGACTTCCAGAGCACAGTTGCAGGAGGACCCTATACAGCCTTCGCTACCAGGATGGAGAGCCCCGGTTTAAAAAAGAAGCACTATTATCATAAATACTGTAGCTTCCAAAAAATCCATGCACGCGTCCAAGGCGCGATCCCCAAGTCAGGCTCATTTGCATAATATGACGAGATTGTCCTGTCGCCCCGCCCCGGATTAAATGAAGCCCTGGTGGCCAGAATCAGCTTGGAACCGAAGCGTTGCGCGCGTCTCTGAGCTTTGCATCTGCAGGCGCCTTAAGCCTATTAAACGATTAAAGGGAGAGGGGAGGGACGGGGTTCCTTTGAAGGAGCCAGCTGACGTCGAAGGGGTGTCATCGTATGCAAATAAGCCAGGATTCCCCTCCTCGAGGCGGAGATTGGGTGGTGTTATCTGATATCAGAGCAGTTTCACTTCCTCCTTGCCTTCTGGGCACAGAACCGGGCAGAGACGACTCTTTTCCCCCCGGAGGTGAGGTGGGGCTTCCAGGTACCGTAAGCTGGAGGGCGGGGGGTGTTGTGGTAGATCCGTGGGAGGGTTTAATTAACAACACTTTTAAAAAAAAAAGGAATGGGAAAAAAATAAGTAAAATTTATGATTTCTCTTAAAAACAATTGTAAACAGTTACAATCGTTAGTAGCATTGCAATAACACTTGTAGTTTAATGGTGAATTTGGGATATAATGGAGATGTAAAAGATCTGGATTATTATAAAAGATGCAGGGGGAAATGACTAAAGATAGGACCCACAAGGGAGAGAAGAGAAGTCCAGGAGATTCTTTGTAATCTTGTCTTTATGATGTATGTTGGATAAAAAGGTAAAGGGACCCCTGACCATTAGGTCCAGTCGTGGCCGACTCTGGGCTTGTGGCGCTCATCTCACTTTATTGGCCGAGAGAGCAGGAGTACAGCTTCCGGGTCATGTGGCCAGCATGACTAAGCCGCTTCTGGCGAACCAGAGCAGCACACAGAAACACTGTTTACCTTCCCGCCGGAGCAGTACCTATTTATCTACTTGCACTTTGACGTGCTTTCGAACTGCTAGGTTGGCAGGAGCAGGGACCGAGCAATGGGAGCTCACCCCGTCGCGGGGATTCGAACCGCAGACCTTCTGATTGGCAAGTTCTAGGCTCTGTGGTTTAACCCACAACGCCTCCTGCGTCCCGTATGTTGGATATGTGAGTGTAAAATGTTAATTCGAAAAACCAAATAAATAAATTTACAAAAATAATAATAAAGCACTTTTATTTTATTTTTTTGGGGGGGGAAACCAACCAAAACGTTATTGTTATCATCTAAGTAAGCAAGCTTGCATTTCTGAGGGCAAGCTGTAAATAACTATTTAGGATAAGTCAGTAATAAGCGCCCGCATCAGAAATGGTCTCCGAGAGCACAAGTGGCCACAGTGCCTCTGAGCAGGGAAAGAAGGAACTTCCCCCATGATCAGAAAATGAGAAGCAGTTACGGCCACCAACAGTGGAAGGCTGTGCACTCTCCTTCCTTGGAGGTTTTTAAGCAGAGCTTGGATGGCCATGGATGCTTTCGCTGCGATTCATTCCTGCCTTGCAGGGGGTTGAACTAGATGACCCTCGGGGTCCCTTCCAGCTCTAGGTAAAGATAAAGGGACCAGAGGTACCTGTTTATCTACTTGCACTTTGACGTGCTTTTGAACTGCTAGGTTGGCAGGAGCAGGGACCGAACAACGGGAGCTCACCCCGTCGCGGGGATTCGAACCGCCGACCTTCTGATCAGCAAGTCCTAGGCTCTGTGGTTTAACCCTCAACGCCAATCGCGTTCCCAGCATCTTCCAGCTCTATGATTCCATAATACCTTGGATGGCTTTAAAAGAGGATTGGGGAAACTCGAGGAAGAAGATGAGGAGATCCGTGGCTGCTAGCCAGGATGGCTGTGCTTTGCCTTCACAGCTGGAGGCAGCTATGCTTTTGCATGTCAGTTGCTGGATGTGCTGGGCCCGGGGGTAACCTGAGAACCGCGGTCTAGGTCCGGTCCAGAATCTGTAGGTTCCACTAGGAGTCAGTCCAACAGGGTCAAGGCAGGACACAAGACAGGAACCCAGGCAAGGACAGGTACAGGATCTCAGGCAGGGTCTGGCATACAGCAATGTTGCTGCCGCAACCTGCGGCGGGGTCCGAGAGCCTTTTATCTCTGACGGGGTAACGGCTGGTCCTGATCCCCCGGTGACTCACCTCCCTCTCTTGCCTGAAGGTGAACACTCCTCCTGCAAGTACTCAGGTCTCTCCTTCTCTCAGACCTTAGTCTCTGCAGCTCGCGAGACTTCGGTGGGTTACTAGACCCAGGGGCCGCCTCAGCCTCCCCTGACCCAACTGGTAGTGGAGCAGCTGTAAGTGATGGCCCAGCTGAAGTCAACGAGGTAATCCTCGCATCTGGAGCCAGGGCAGGCTCAGGCCCCTGACTCGGCCCAGCTGGTGTTTGTTGCAGGGGAACCTGTGCAGACTGGGACCCTTCAGGATCAGGACTTATTTCAGATGATGCCTGAGGCAAAGGATCTGGTGCAGACTGAGACTCCTCTGGTTCCAGGTCTGAGCCCTGGTCCCAGGCCATCACATTGGAAACCACAGATGGTTCTCTGGCTTGTGGGCTTCTTTTGGAGGCATCTGTGAGAACAGGATGCTGGACTAGATGGACCATTGGCCTGATCCAGCAGGCTCTTCTCATGTCTCCATTACCTTGTTTAATCCTTATTTATTTTTAAATTTATTTATTTGGTTTTTCAAATTAAAAATTCACAGTCACATATCCAACGTACAACATAAAAACAAAATTCCAAGGAATCTCTTGGACTTCCCTCCTCCCCTTTGTGGGTCCTATTGTTAATCATTTCCTCCAGCATCTCTTACGATAATCCAAAATCTTTTTTACCTCTCCACTGTGTCCAAAATTCACCATTAAAATACAAGTGATATTCCAATCCTACTAATGACTTTAACTGTTTACAATGGTTTTTATGGTAAGTTATAAGTATTACCCATTCCCTATTAAAATTTTGGTCTTCCTGATTTCTGACTCTTCTGGCCATTTTGGCCATTTCGGCATCGTCCATCAACTGGATCTGCCTTTCTTCTCTGGCGGGGACTTTATCTTCTTTCCATCTCTGTCTAATCCTCTTTTAAAGCCATCCGAATCAGTGGTCGGTTGTTGCTGCTTCTCGCGGGAGCGAATCCCAGAGTTTGAGATGCTTTCTCTTCCATTTCTTCCCCCACCTCGTGGCCGCCCTCAGACATTTCCCGAAAGAAGATGGTGAATATTGAGGACCTTCCCAAGGAGATGCTGCTGGAGGTCTTCCTTCGGCTCCCTTCCTGGTTCCTCCTTCGCAGTTGCCGTCTGGTTTGCTCTGGGTGGCGAGACATGGTGGACACTCTGAACATGGGATGGAAAGAGAAGTGTGAGCAGGCCGGCTACCCACTTGGGGTGTTGACTGGCGCTCTCCCTGACTGGAAGACTTTCTACTTTCTCTGCAGAATGAAGAAGAACCTCATCAGGAATCCCTGCGGCGAAGGTGGGGAGCAAGAACTTATTTCAGACTTCTCCCGCACCATAAATCTTAATAATATAATAATAATTTATACCCCGCCCTTCCTGGTTCAAAAACCGGGCTCAGGGCGGCTAACAACAAATTTAAAACATTTAATTATAAAAGCAGCATAAAATACAGTATAAAAACATGAATAACCATAAAATTCAAAATTCAAAAAATAAGCATTAGATAGGGATGCGGGTGGTGCTGTGGGTTAAACCACAGAGCCTAGGGCTTGCTGATCAGAAGGTCGGCGGTTCGAATCCCCGGGACGGGGTGAGCTCCTGTTGCTCGGTCCCTGCTCCTGCCAACCTAGCAGTTTGAAAGCACGTCAAAGTGCAAGTAGATAAATAGGTACCACTCTGGCGGGAAGGAAATAGTTTTGGTTGCCTCGGGTGATTACCTTTATCTGGAGACAGTGTTCGTGTGTAGGGAGTGCAGAAATCCCAGGTTCAATATCTGTATGTATCCTTTCCTTTCACTGTCCTTTTCTTTCTGGATTCACCACAGAGGGCCTGAACTCCTGGCAAATTGGGCCAGATCAAGAAGAGGCCTGGGATGTAGCGAAGCTATCAAGGGATGACTCTCCCTTTGAGGATGGAACATGGTGCTTTGGTGCATTTAGCGGGTAAGGAGCACATTCCCAATCAAATGAATTTGGGGCGGTGGTGGTATGTGTTTAATAATAAATAATAATAATAATAATAATAATAATTTTATATATATCCCGCCCACCCCAGCCGAAGCTGGGCTCAAGGCAGCTAACAACAATAAAATAATACAACATTCTAAAATCATTTCATTATAAAATTAATTCAAATCAAATTAATGGCAACCATTGGGCTAGAGTTCTGTGAAGATTGCCAAAGGAGGAAGTCAGGCTGTGCCTTGGCCAAAGGCCTGGTGGAACAGCTCTGTCCAGCAGGCCCTGTGGAAAGATGTCAAGTCCCGCAGGGCCCTAGTCTCTTGTGATAGAGCATTCCACCAGATCGGAGCCACAGCCGAAAAAGCCCTGGCTCTGGTTGAGGCCAGCCTAACCTCTCTGTGGCCCGAGACCTCCAAGATGTTTTTGTTTGAAGACCGTAAGTTCCTCTGTGGGACATACCAGGAGAGGTGGTCCCGTAGGTACGAGGGTCCTAGGCCGCATAGGGCTTTAAAGGTCAAAACCAGCACCTTAAACCTGATCCTGTACTCCACCGGGAGCCAGTGCAGCTGGTATAGCACCGGGTGAATGTGATCCCGCAGCGAGGACCCCGTAAGGAGTCTCGCTGCGGCATTCTGCACCCGCTGGAGTTTCTGGGTCAGTTTCAAGGGCAGCCCCACGTAGAGCGAGTTACAATAATCCAGTCTGGAGGTGACCGTCGCGTGGATCACGTGGCTAGGTCAGGGCGAGAGAGGTAAGGAGCTTAGCAGTTACTTATTTGTCCAGTGGGAGTTTGCTATGGGGAGTTGAAACTTTGCATGCTTTCGTGGAGGGTAAAAGCTTCTGAGTTAGGTCGTTGAGTTTGTCAAAGTCAGTAGGGCATGGGGTCGGGAAGGGGTTGCAGCCTGGGCCAGACAGAGAGGTTGGGAGGGCTGCAGTAGGTGCTGGGGCCTGAGATTTCCCACCAGTGCTCTCCAACCCAATATCAATGGGTCCACGTGGGTGATGGTGATAATGGCTTTGATCTCTTTTTCAGGCCCTCACCCAAAAGCCAGGTCATCGTCTTAAAGGATCATGGCTACTGGGATGAGCTGATGGATGAAGTCAAGCCTGATATTGTTGTGAAAGACTGGTGAGTGCCGGAGCCGACGAAACCAGGAGTTGCGGGCTGGGTAGTCTTCCTTGATAGCAGAAGCAAAACGAACCCCTACCGTTGGGGTTCCTCATCTGCCATGATTTCTGGGCAAAGCAAGGAACGCAATAGATAGCGAGGAACGCAATAGATAGCAGAACTCAGCTTAATTTGGAATCAACAAGTTCCTAGTCCTCAGGGCTTCAAAGATCTCAGGGCTTCACCTCCTTCCCCTGAATTGTGCCAGCTGGTCCCTATAGGTACAACTGTTTAGAAACTGGTGCCCATGTTTTGATTTTCCTCTCCCTTCCTTGTCCCTTTTCTCTCTTGTGTGGTGCAGATTGCAAGCAAGTGCTGCAGATTGCAAGCCTGTGAGAAGGGGTGGTCTAGTTTGAGTTCTGTGTAAGCTGATCTGGGGGCCTTTTTGGCTTAAAAGCAGGGCACAGATACCCTTTGTTGTTGTTTAGTCGTTACTCGTGTCTGACTCTTCGTGACCCCATGGACCAGAGCACGCCAGGCACTCCTGTCTTCCACTGCCTCCCGCAGTTTGGTCAAACTCATGCTGGTAGCTTCGAGAACACTGTCCAGCCATCTCGGCCTCTGTCGTCCACTTCTCCTTGTGCCCTCCATCTTTCCCAACATCAGGGTCTTTTCCAGGGAGTCTTCTCTTCTCATGAGGTGGCCAAAGTATTGGAGCCTCAGCTTCACGATCTGTCCTTCCAGTGAGCACTCAGGGCTGATTTCCTTAAGAATGGAGAGGTTTGATCTTCTTGCAGTCCATGGGACTCTCAAGTCTCCTCCAGCACCAGAATTCAAAAGCATCAATTCTTTGGCGATCAGCCTTCTTTATGGTCCAGCTCTCACTTCCATACAGATACCCTAAATAAATGCATAATAAGCAGGCAGCTGCAAATTCTCCAAATGTGATCAGCTCTTTTTTGCAGGACCGGTTCCTCCTCAGAAATCGCTCTTGTGTCGTTTTGTGCCCCCAAATAGGTGTGACGTCCTTGACGAGGACCCCTACAACTACACTCTGCACGTGAAACTGTTGTCTGCTGATTCTGAAGTCCTCTGCGAATGTCGCGCTGAAGAGTTGGTCTTAAGTGAGCCTGGAGAGACAGAATGGAGAGAGGTTAGCAGGAAAAAGGCATTGAATCAGCTCTGGGATATTAACGTGGGCCTTGAGTAAACAGTTCTTCAAAACATCAGTTCCTTCCTCTTCCTTTTGTTAAACTGACTCCTAACCATTCCTCCTCCTCTTTCCTCTCTAGGGCTCGTATACATTCCATAACTACCCTGCTGGAGTCCGTTACATCTATTTTGAACACGGAGTGACCGGTGTGGACTGTGGGGGCCTAACTAACAGCAGCATCACTGTGGGACCCAGATTTCCCTAGAAAGAGGAGGAACCACCAGAAGGGGAAACGGTTCCACTCATCTGCTTGAGCAACAGGGCGGGGATACACACAAGGGCTCACTCTGTTGTGTCATTCCACACATGCGCGCGCGCGCACACACACACACACGCTTTCCAGCTAAATGTGTTGCAATCCTGGGTCCTACATCTGTTTCCCCAAAGTTGTGTTTTTGTGTAGTTTTCGGATGATCAGCATTTTTTTTAAAAAACAAATGGGTGTGGATGTTATTTTGTAAGAGAAGGTGGGGGACCCTGCAAACAATATTATACTGCAAAAAAGAAAATGCAACCAGCCACGGTACTGCAGTTGTGTTGAACAAATACATAACGTGGGACTCATCTACACAGCTGCAAATGAAACCTTTTAAATGTGTTGTAAAGTATACAAATGTGACACTAGATGGTGACAGTGAGCTATGCAAAATTCAATGTATTTTTAAAAACGTGTTTGTTTGTTTTAAAAAAAGCATTTTCTCAGCATGGGTTTGTGTGTGTGTGTGTGTGTGTGTGTGTGTGTGTGTGTCTGTGTGTGTAGATCCCACCGTGGTTAAGATAAAAGAAAGTCCTTCTTTACACAGCTCACAGTTAAGCTATGGATCTCTCTTCAATAGGAGGCAGCAATGGCTACCAATTTGGATGGCTTTAAATATGAGATCAACATGGAGGAGAGGTCCAGTGCCGAGGGCCTTCTGGCGGTTCCCTCGCTGCAAGAAGCCAAGTTACAGGGAACCAGGCAGAGGGCCTTCTCGGTGGTGGCACCCGCCCTGTGGAACGCCCTCCCACCAGATGTCAAAGAGGAAAACAACTACCAGACAACTACCAGACATCTGAAGGCGACCCTGTTTAGGGAAGCTTTTAATGTTTAATAGATTATTGTATTTGAATATTCTGTTGGAAGCCACCCAGAGTGGCTGGGGAAACCCAGCCAGATGGGCAGGGTATAAATAAATAAATAAATTAATAATAATAATAATAATATAAGCCATGATGGCTCTCTTCTGGCTCTGCAGTTGGAGGCAGCAATGCTTCTGAAGACCAGGTGCTGGAGACAACAGGAGGAACAAGTTTGTTTTGTGCTTGAACCCTCTTTATGGGTTTCCCATTGAGGCATGTGCTAGGCCACTGTGAGAACAGGATGCTGGACTCGATGGGCCAGTGGTCTGAACCAGCAGGCTCTTTTTACATTCTTATAAGTACCTGGGAGTGATACTAAAGGCAAATGATATACAGTATATACCCCCCCACCTGCCCCCGGTCAATTCAACTGTGTCAAAATAATGAACTGAAGTCAATGAATCTCTCCAGAAAAAAAGTGATAAATGTGCTGTAAGTCAGTGTGGTATAACGGATACAGTGGCGGACTCGGAGCTGGGTTCAAATCCTCTGCTTGGATATGAAGCTGGGGCCGCTCGCTTTCTTCCAGCCTAACCTGCCCTTGCAGGACTGTTGGGATAAAATGAGGAGAACTCTGTATGCCACCTTGAACTAGCTTGGATGAAAAGGTGGATTCATAGAATTGTAGCATTGGAAGGGACCCTGTTTAGGGAAGTTTTTAATGTTTGATGTTTTATCGTGTTTTTAATATTCTGTTGAGAGCTTCCCAGAGTAGCTGGGGAAATGGAGCCAGATGGGTGGGGCATAAATAATAAATTATTATTAATTAATTCCCCTATGGATCATCTCGTCCAACTCCCTGCAATGCAGAAATATGCAGTTGTCCCATATGGGAATCGAACCTGTAACATTGGTGTTAACAGTACCACGCTCTAGCCAACTGAGCTATCCAGAATGGAAGCAGAATGAAAACTGCTCAGCCTGAGGACCTCATTCCCCTCTGGGGAACCTCATGCCTGTGATGGGAGGGGCCAGAGACAAAGGGGGCGGAACCATGAATGCAAATTTTACCTTTGTCCACACACTTGCACGCTGCTCTCTGTTCCTCATCTAGGCAAGCAAGAGGCATTATCAGAGTCCGCCCCCCATATTAAATTAGTATCCCGCCTTCCCTGCAGCAACCTCAGATATGCAGATGACACAACCTTGATGGCAGAAAGTGAGGAGGAATTAAAGAACCTTTTAATGAGGGTGAAAGAGGAGAGCGCAAAATATGGTCTGAAGCTCAACATCAAAAAACGAAGATCATGGCCACTGGTCCCATCACCTCCTGGCAAATAGAAGGGGAAGAAATGGAGGCAGTGAGAGATTTTACTTTCTTGGGCTCCATGATCACTGCAGATGGTGACAGCAGTCAAGAAATTAAAAGATGCCTGCTCCTTGGGAGAAAAGCAATGAAAACCTAGACAGCATCTTAAAAAGCAGAGAGATCACCTTGCCAACAAAGGTCTGTATAGTTAAAGCTGTGGCTTTCCCAGTAGTGATGTATAGAAGTGAGAGCTGGACCATAAAGAAGACTGATCGCCGAAGACTTGATGCTTTTGAATTCTGGTGCTGGAGGAGACTCTTGAGAGTCCCATGGACTGCAAGAAGATCAAACCTCTCCATTCTGAAGGAAATCAGCCCTGAGTGCTCACTGGAAGGACAGATCGTGAAGCTGAGGCTCCAATACTTTGGCCACTTCACAAGAAGAGAAGACTCCCTGGAAAAGACCCTGATGTTGGGAAAGATGGAGGGCACAAGGAGAAGGGGAGGACAGAGGACGAGATGGTTGGACAGTGTTCTCGAAGCTACCAGCATGAGTCTGACCAAACTGCGGGAGGCAGTGGAAGGCAGGAGTGCCTGGCGTGCTCTGGTCCATGGGGTCACGAAGAGTCGGACACGACTAAACAACAACTTCCCTGGAAGGAGCTGAATGGTGGTGCTCACAACTGTCCCTTTGTATTATCCTCACAATGACCCTGTGAGGTAGGTTTGGCTGAGAGGTGATGACTGGCCCAAGGTTGACCTTTGTACCGGAATGGGGATTTGAACCCTGGGCTCCTAGGTCCACGTTCAGCAGCCTAACCACAATGCCACAGTGAAGACACCGTGACAGGGGAAGCTTACCTGGTTGAACATCTGCCTGCCACGCAGCAACTAAGTACAGCAAATCCCTACAAGAATTATAACCATTGCTAACTCCTCTTAACATAATTGTCTAACAGCAATGTACTAAAAAAAAAAAATTAGTTGTGAGAAATAGATGGTGCGGTAACACTTTGGAACTCCCTGCCTGTTGACATCAACCAGTCGCCTTCTCTGTACTTTTTTGCGGGTGTGTGTGGCTTAAACACCTTTTGGGGTGGCAATGCACAAATTTATTTATTTATACTTTTCATATTTATACATTTCACTAATTTTACAATATTTTTTGACATTTCAAAATTTGACTTCCCCCTCTTTCAGCGGTTCCTTAAATTTGTTTTTAATATCTTCTGCATATCCAAATTAACAATTTGCTCATTTATTCATCTTATTTAAATATATACTCTTAAGGCTTAAACGATGCGGGTGCCACTGTGGTCTAAACCACAGAGCCTAGGGCTTGCCGATCAGAAGATTGGTGGTTCGAATCCCCGCGACGGGGAGAGCTCCCGTTGTTCGGTCTCTGCTCCTGCCAGCCTAGCAGTTCGAAAGCACGCCAGTGCAAGTAGATAAATAGGTACCACTCCAGCGGGAAGGTAAACAGTGTTTTCATGCGCTGCTCTGGTTAGCCAGAAGCGGCTTAGTCATGCCGGCCACATACCCGGAAGCTGCTGGCTCCCTTGGCCAGTAAAGCCACAACTCCGGAGTCGTCCATGACTGGACCAAATGGTCCTTTACCTTTAAGGCTTAAACACCTTTTTGTTCACACAAGCCTATCCAGATACATAGATGTTGACATCACTTTTGCTGTTGATTTTGCATGTTTTTAACTGATTAAAAAAACCAAAACTGGTCACATTTCTTGTAAACTGCTAGGCTTTCTTACAATCAAGTGATACGCACATTTTGTTAAATAAAAGAAACGTCATTAAAAACTCAGGGTAAAGTGCACAGAAAATCAAATCCATGTATGCGACCACAGTGGCTAGATTGTTACTTGCTCCCAAAATGGAAAGAAACAGAAGTCCCAGCAAAGGAAGAATAGATAAAAAAACTTATGGAATATGCAGAAATGGCGAAACTTACCGGAAGAATATGAATTCAAGATAACAAACTTTTTTTTATAAAAGAATGGAAATGTTTTATGGAATATTTACAGATAAATCGTAAACAGATAAGATCATTGGCAGGATTATAGCAATAACCTGCAGTTTTATAAGAGTATATATTTGAAGTAGATGAATAAATGAGCAAATTAAGTTAATTTGGATATGCAGGGGATATTCAAAATAAATTTAATGAACCGCAGAAAGAGGCGGAAGGAAGTCAAGTTCTGAAATGTTTTTTAAAAATGTAAAATTAGTGAAATGTATAAACTTGAAAAGTATATATAAAATTTAAAAAACTGAAAAAGGAAAAAGAAAATCCAACATATGGAAAATGCCTCTCACGTCACCTTGGTGGGAGACGCGATTGAACTCTCTATCATTGATTTGCCGCTGGCATGGGAAACGTTCTTTTGGAAGGGGCGTGACGTTGCAGACGCGTCACTGAATGCAAATGAGCTGGGGTTCCCCTTCTCCGCCCCGCCTAGGAAGGAGGCAGCGCCTGGCCGCTGACGCCTCCCTGGGTTATCTTGCCCGCCTTCTGCTTCTGCATGCCGAGCGGGGCGGAGACGGAAACTTCCTTCGTTTTGTCTTTCCAGAGAGCTTGGGACGCTGCCATTCCTTCTCTTAACCGAGGTAAGGCTGGGAGGTGTCCTCAGGGCTTACACTAGCTGCGAGGTTGAACCTCAAGGCAGCAACACTTTGGTGATAGGGTCTCTGAGCATGGAAAGAGTGCCTCTTCACTCCCTCCTTCGCTTGATAAAGCCAATTCTTACCTATCTCCAGGCTAGGCAAAATAGCTGGTGGCATTTAGGGCAACCTCTTGGAGCCTTGGCTTCTGTATTCTGTATTTGCCATCAGCATGGATGAATTTTTAGGGCTTATTTTATTTACCGCATTGATATTCCACCTTTTCCGCCACATGCTAGCTTGCATGCTCATTAACTTCATTAGTTCCACTCTGGGTAGGACTAATATTGGATGCAAGGCATTGTTAGCAAAAGACTTTTGCATTAAAACTTTTGTTCCCTCTAGCAATAAAATGAAGGTTGAGTGTGAAAAACAGGTTGGGGAGTCTAAGCTGTAGTGGAATATATTTAAAGGAGTATGTGTTTTTAGTTCCTATTTCCCTCCAGAGCACCAAATGAGTAAACTCCAAACTTTAAAACAGCTGCAATAGTCCCTGCATGAACGGTCATTAATTTGTTCCTGTACAGAGAAGCTTGTTTTCATACCGTTAATATTCCCTTTGTGTGTGTTTGTTTATCTAAACCATTTTTACCCTGCTCACCAGCAAAAAAAGGGGGAGGGGCTTGTGAATGTAGCTCACAAATGTGAAGGCACTATCCTCATGCTTAACAAGACTAAAAAATAAAAATACACACAGCACAAAAGGAAACAAGGTTGGGAGGGAGGAGGAAGAAAGCAAACTTGGGCCCTTACCAGGATCCTTGTTATGACCAGCTGGAGTGGAAAGATTTCAATTAGAGGAGGAGTCAAAGTTGCTGCTTTTTTGACAAAGATCTAAAAAAGAGGTTTTGCTGGCTTCCTGTCCTGTAGCCGTATTAATTATAATGTTTGACCAGGTCTGATAATACCAATCTGAGTCTGAAACCAAGCAGCAGCTTGAGGGCTGTTTTTGTTAGCACCAAAGCTGGAGAAGGAAGGGTTAAAACTCAGCTCCACCTTCCTGGGATCCTAATTAATCAGGTGATCCCCAGCTGGGGCTCCTGCTTTGCACTTAAAACAAAAAAAAATTCCTGCATCTAGTTTGTCCTTGTATCAGCCCAAGTGAGTTTAGAAAGTGAGCCTAGCCTCTTGCACCCTAATTCATTCATTTGAGATGCTGATTTAAGAGGCCAACTAACATTATTGTTTTACGGGATTTCCCCCCCCTGACTAGCTCAATGATAGAATTCTCTATTTATAAGATTCTAACCTTCACTGGAGGGACGCGGGTGGCGCTGTGGGTTAAAACACAGAGCCTAGGAGATTGGCGGTTCGAATCCCCGCGACGGGGTGAGCTCGGTCCCTGCTCCTGCCAACCTAGCAGTTTGAAAGCACGTCAAAACGCAAGTAGATAAATAGGTACCGCTCCGGCGGGAAGGTAAACGGCGTTTCCGTGTGCTGCTCTGGTTCGCCAGAAGCGGCTTAGTCATGCTGGCCACATGACCCGGAATCTGTACACCGGCTTCCTTGGCCAGTAAAGCGAGATGAGCGCCGCAACCCCAGAGTCGTCCGTGATAGGACCTAACAGTTAGGGGTCCATTTACCTTTACCTAACCTTCACTGGGCACAAGATTCCAAGAACTGGAAGGGACTCAAATGGTTTGGTTTTCTGTTCTTGCCACGACAGGACCTAATGGTCAGGGGTCCCTTTACCTTTACCTATATTTTAACAATCCCAAAGGTTTGAGAGTCAGTAGCCCAGAGGTTGTGACAGTCTCACAGTAAGTTGTGCATATCATCTCCAGAAAAACGACATTGCAGGGAAGCTCTCATAGGATGAAACTGTATGTGAATAAGTTGCTAGAAAAACCAGAAAAGCGAATATTTTGTAAAATGTGCTTCGTGTAACAGAAGGTAATCCAGTACAGCAATTTTAATCAAAACTTGAGATATGGTAGTTATTATTATTATTATTATTTTCTGTGGTGATTTGTTGTGGAACAACCCCACTGAAGAAGATTAACTTAAGTTACCCAGACATCATTGCTGGTTGCGAAGAGGGCTTCATGACAGTGAAAGCTTCTAGGACCCCAAAATGTAGTGTGCCACTGATCCAGATTGACCCCAGAAACCCACAACAGTGTTGTAATTTTCCTACCACCACTGCAAGTTTCCTACACCCCCCCATGCCCACCCCCACACAGTGCTTTTTTCGGGGGGTACGCAGCGGTATACATACCCCTAAACATTTTGTGAATCTAAGTTTGGCCTCATTGAGGGGTAGTATTTCAATATGGGATGTGGGTGGCGCTGTGGTCTAAACCTCAGAGCCTTGGCTTGCTGATTGGAAGGTTGGCGGTTCAAATCCCCATGACGGGGTGAGCTCCCGTTTCTCAGTCCCTGCTCCTGCCAACCTAGCAGTTTGAAAGCACATCAAAGTCAAGTAGATAAATAGGTACCGCTCCGGCGGGAAGGTAAATGGCGTTTCCGTGCGCTGCTCTGGTTTTGCCAGAAGCGGCTTAGTCATGCTGGCCGCATGACCTGGAAAAACTGTCTGCGGACAAACGTCGGCTCCCTTGGCCTGTAAAGCGAGATGAGCTTGCAACCCCAGAGTCGTTTATGACTGGACTTAACTCTCAGGGGTCCTTTACCTTTATTTCAATATGAGTAGGAAAATGAGAGTACCCCTAAACATTTTTTTTTAAAGAAAAAAGCACTCGTGTGTGTGTAAATTTTGTTATTAAATTTTCTGTTTTGCAATTTAGAATATTCATTTAAACAACCTTAAAATATCCATGACTTCCCTTCTTCTCTCTCCATGGTTCATTTTGCATAGCGTAAATCCCTGCATATTTTATATAAACTAAACCATTCAGTATTCCATTATTACTTCCCTCAAAACTTATACACACTGTTGAATTTATCTTAATGCTGACCACGTTTTCAAGTGTACACAATTTCCCCCATATATTCAATAAACATTTTCCAATCTTCTCCAAATGAATGTTCTTCTTGTTCTCTTATTCTGTAAGTTAGATCCGTAAGCTGTGCATATTCCATCAGTTTAAGTTGCCATTCGCTCGTTTTCCATTTTGTGGCTAACGAACCATGGGCTGCTGTAGTGGTGTACATAAATAACCTTTTTTGACACCTGGGAATTTCCATCTGAATCATCCCCTACAAAAAGGGTTTTTTTTTGGAAAGGTGCTATTAAACATATTTTCTTTCAATTCATTATGGCTTATTTCCCAATACCCTTTTACCCTTTTTCAAGTCCACATATGAAAGAAAGTACCCTCAACCTCATTGCATCTCCAGCACTGATCTGATTCAGTCTTACACATCTGAGCCAGTCTAAAGGTAAAGGTAAAGGGACCCCTGACCTTTAGGTCTAGTCGTGACCGACTCTGGGGTTGCGGCGCTCATCTTGCTTTATTGGCCGAGGGAGCCGGCGTACAGCTTTGGGGTCATGTGGCCAACCAGAGCAGCGCACAGAAACACAGTTTACCTTCCCGCCGGAGTGGTACCTATTTATCTACTTGCACTTTGACGTGCTTTCGAACTGCTAGGTTGGCAGGAGCAGGGACCGAGCAACGGGAGCTCACCCCATCGCGGGGATTCGAACCGCCGACCTAGTGATCAGCAAGTCCTAGGCTCTGTGCTTTAACCCACAGCGCCACCCGAGTCTACTTGGAGTTAAATACCATCTATAAATCATATTCAAGTAGCTCTCCTTCAGGGAATAACATGCTGTAAACTTCAGGTCGCTCTGAAGGAGCGAGCCCTTTTGATTCCTAGGGAGAGTGGGTCTGAGTAGCCCGGGACTCCTGTCTTTGCATTTATTTTGCATCTCTAAAACCTCTCTCAGCCAAGACTTCTCTTACAGAAGATGGTGTCCATCAATGACCTGCCACTGGAGATCCTGCTGGATGTGTTTGACTTCTTCCCCTCGTGGCACCTGCTCCGCTGCTTCCGTTGGGTGTGCTGCTGGTGGAGAGACCTGGTGGACTCCTTGAACGCTCAGTGGAAAGACAAGTGCAGACGGGCCGGCTACCCCATTGAGATGCTGACCAGTCCTTTCCCAGACTGGAAGGTCTTCTACCTTCTCTGCAAGCTGCAGAAGAACATCGTCCGGAATCCTTTCGGCAAAGGTGGGTCTCTGTTTGGTGGCAGAGGGCTACCCCTGGCTGCTAGCCTATGGTTATCAGATTTTTTCCAATGAATCCAATGAATTTTTTTTTTTTTTTTTTTTTGAGGCTGAGTAGCAACAAGGAGTCAGTAGTGGGGATGGTGAGGCAAAAGACCCTGGGCCCAAGCACACATGCATACAGTGGTACCTTGGGTTACATACGCTTCAGGTTACAGACTCTGCTAACCCAGAAATATTACCTCAAGTTAAGAACTTTGCTTCAGGATAAGAACAGAAATCGTGCTCTGGCGGTGTGGCGGCAGCAGGAGGCCCCATTAGCTAAAGTGGTGCTTCAGGTTAAGAACAGTTTCAGGACCTCTGGAGCGAATTAAGTACTTAACCCGAGGTACCACTGTATTGTATAAAGGTGCAAAGCCCTTCTTTCGCACCCTGTGAAACATAAATGTGCAGTTGTTTTTTTTAAAAAAACTGGGCAACGCCCACCCACCCGAGCCTCCCCCGATCTGTCAAAACAAAGGAGGAAGGCGGGATATACAATGGATTTCTGCCTGCGCAGTTTTCTTTGATGGGGGTGGGGAATTTCAATGTGAGGTGGTGACAAAAAACAAGTTCCGCCCCAAGTACCACCTGACCATTCTACACCATTGTACCCATTCACCCTGTTTTCATGCTTTGCTCTGATATGACCTTGCTATAGCAATCGTCGGTCGCCATGTTGTTGGGGCCGGGCCGGAATTTTTTCCACTTGGCAAATTTGTACCGGCCATTTGGTTTTCGCCTGTCTCGTAGCAATTGTTGCAACTTTTGTGAGGTTAGGCCTCCGTTTGGTTGCAGGGGATGTTGTTACCTTCGCCTGCCCCTCCTCAGTAAGGGTATCCTGTTAAAGGGATTCATGAATACTGTCCAAAGCCTGGGCGTGGGCTAGGGCCATGTCACAGCCCCTATGGGGACCCCTCAGAGTGGTGCCGCTATCTGACGTAAGTTATAAAGGTAAAGGGACCCCTGACCATTAGGTCCAGTCGTGGCCGACTCTGGGGTTGCAGCGCTCATCTCGCTCTATTGGCCAAGGGAGCCGGGGTACAGCTTCCGGGTCATGTGGCCAGCATGACTAAGCCGCTTCTGGCGAACCAGAGCAGCGCCCGGAAACGCCGTTTACCTTCCCGCCAGAGCAGTACCTATTTATCTACTTGCACTTTGACGTGCTTTTGAACTGCTAGGTTGGCAGGAGCAGGGACCGAGCAACAGGAGCTCACCCCGTCGCGGGGATTCGAATCGCCGACCCTCTGATCGGCAAGTCCTAGGCTCTGTGGTTTAACCCACAGCGCTACCCACGTCCCCGCCAATGTAAGTTATAGGGCACCCCATATTGGTGGTTTACCCTTCTGTGGACTCCCTGCAGATGGGCAGGAGTCAAGATATAGTCTGGCTTCACCCCAGTGCCTATGCCAGACAGCTCACGTTGGTAACCAATAAAGTTGTGGCCTATTTTGAACCCATAAACCAAAATACTCTCCGTCAGTGTTATGCACTGAGTTGAATAGGATCCAAAATGCAGCAGTCTGGTTGGTCCTAGAACAATAGGATCCAAAATGCAGCAGTCTGATTGGTCCTAGAACAATAGGATCCAAAATGCAGCAGTCTGATTGGTCCTAGAACAATAGGATTCAGAATACAGCAGTCTGATTGGTCCTAGAACAATGCAGCAGTATGATTGGTCTGCAGGAGCCACCCAATCCAGCTCCAGATGGAAGTGAATCCACAACCTGATTGGCCTACAGGAGAATTCCGGAATTAGCCAATCACGTGCAGCCCATTGTGTAAATAATGTATATAAAGCAGATACTTTGGGGAAACATTCATTCCTCCTCACCACTATGAGCTGAATCAAGAGCATGAAATCCACTCTCGACTCTGAGTATATTTCAGTCAGTGTGTTTTATTGTTCTCCTGGGAACTTTGTGGCTCAGGTGCCTTGGCACGCAACAGGATACTGGACTTGATGGGCCATTGTCCTGACCTAGCAAGTCTCTCTTAAAGTTCTTACGCCCTCCTTTCTTCCTTCTCCCGCAGAGGAATTTCTCTACTGGGAAATCGACAAGCATCAGGAGCACTGCTGGGGTGTGGAGGAGCTGTTAGCAGACGAATACCCCCATGACAACATCACAAAATGTTTCTTTGCCTTCAATGGGTGAGGACCATGTTAGAGGTTCAGTAAATCCTCAAATGGATTTAGAAGATCGGTCACATGGTAGTGGAGGACCTGCATTGAATGCAGAAGGTCAACCTCCATCCATGGCATCTCTAGGTAGGGCAGGGAAAAGACTCTTCTAGGAATCCCTTGAGAGCTGCAGCCAGAGTCAGAGAGCGGACAACATAAAACTAGATGGACCAATAGTCTGACTCAGCAGGCAGCCCTTCTTTCATGAGGATTGGAACCTTAGAGAAAAGAACGTAGGTTAGATGGAGAACACCTGCTTTGCATGCAGAAAGTCCTGAATTTGATTCCCAGCATCTCCAGGTAGCTCTAGAAGAGACTCTTCTTGTGATAGGATAGATAGATGCTGCCATTCAGTGGTCTGACTCAGTGTAAGGCAAGAAGATCCAGTTTCCTTTTCTCCCCTCAAGGGCTATTTCAGTAGAAGCAGAGAGTAAAATTAAAGATGTCCATAGGTGGCAGAAGAAGGACCAGAGGAAGGCTTAAGGTATCTGGTTTTCCCGCTGCCCTCCTCTCCTGCAGTGCAGGCTGCCTTCTGAGGGCTGGATTGGACTCATTGGCTGCCAGTTGCCAGTCTCCAAGGGCACAAAAGGTTAACAAGCTGGGCTGGTGATGGTGGTACCTTGATTTTCAAACTTAATCTGTTCCATAAGTCCGTTCCAAAACCAAAGCATTCCAAAACCAAGGCACACTTTCCCATAGAAAGTAATGCAAAACAGACTTTTAAAAACAACCCCTAAAACAGCAATTTAACATGAATTTTACTATGTAACGAGACCATTGATCCATAAAATGAAAGCAATAATCAATGTACTGTTCTATAAAATAAGGAAAACAGTATTGTAGATGACACAAATTAAAATTATTATTTTTTCTTACCTGCACTGATGATAGTCATTGCTTGGATGGGGGGATTTTATCCATTTCCGCAGTCACACAATCAATCAATCAATCAATCAAGCAATCAATCAGCAGCTGAACTGGGTTGCACACAGGCACAAAAACAAATTAACCAAAAAGGCCTTAAACCCCCCCCCCCAAATAAATAGCAAAAACAAAAGCACCAAACTTAATATTTTCCAGAAGTCCATTTGACTTCTGAAATGTTTGAAAACCAAGGTGCAGCTTCTGATAGGTGCAGGTGTTCGGGAAGCAATAGCCGACAGCCGCATCAGACATTCAGCTTCCGAAAAACGTTCAAAAACCAGAACAATTACTTCTGAGTTTTCGGCGTTTGAGAACCAAGGTACCACTGTCCTTGAAATGGCTTTGATTTCCTTCCTCACATCTCAGGCCCGACACAAAAATTCAACGCATCACCTTGAAGGACCACGGCTACACGGATGAGTTGATGGACTACGTGACACCCCATATCGTGGTGCAGGATTGGTGAGTGCTGGAACTGGCCTCAGAAGAGCTTGCAGGATCAAACCCCCATCTAGTCCTGTTATTACAGTTCCCAGCCAGATGGGTGGGTTTGGTAGGTCTTGAGTAGCAGGGGAAAAAAACCCTACCAGGGTTGTTTAGGCGTGTTTGAGGATTTATCCTGAACTTCCGAGGGTTATTTAGCAAAATTTACAGCCGGCTTAAAAGTAAAGGTACCCCTGACCGTTAGGTCATCAGGAAACCCCTATGAGTTCATTCACGCTTTTGCATTTTAATCATTTTGTGCACTACAGTGTTTCTCAAACTTAGGTCTCTAGCTGTTTTGGGACTACAGTTCCCATCTTCCCTGACCACTGATCCTGCTAGCTAGGGATGATGGGAGCTGTAGTCCCAAAACAGCTGGAGACCCAAGTTTGGAAAACACTGCCATACAGGTTAATTTCTCCCCGGGTCTGAGAGCTTTTCCCATTGTTCCTTGTGGAAAACTGGATCTTACTCTCTTATCAGGTGCGTGGAAAATCCAGAGAGAGATTTTGCTTTGCTTATCTTGCTCAGTTCAGTTCCGTGAGTAAGGCTAGATTTTTGGCAAGGCTGGAAAAGTGAGAAAAGCTCTCTGACCCGGGGTGGGTGGGAATTAACCGAAACACAAAACGTTCAAAATATGGGTTGGGAGAAAGTGTGGGTGGTTTGCAAAAGAACAATCTAACATATTCATTAGCAAATACCGATTTCAAACCAAACATCAGAAACAAATTGATGTGGTTTTTAAAATCAAGATATAAATCCAAGTGTTTTTAAATGACTGGTTTTACGTGGCCAGAAAGAAAACAACTGCCCTCCTGTAGCAGGCCTGAAATATAATAGAATTGTAGATTTGGGACCCAAGGGTCATCTAGTCTAACCCCACCCTCGCAGTGCAATGTGTGATGAGCTGCCTGCTTTGGAGATGCCCCACTTTTGTTTCGAAGGTGCCGCAAGTGCCTCCAAAGCAGCTGGTTTTGCTTCAGCCTTTGGGCTTCATCTGCACACTTGCTGTTGTTTAGTCGTGTCCAACTCTTCATGACGCCATAGACCAGAGCACGCCAGGCACTCCTGTCTTCCACTGCCTCCCGCAGTTTGGTCAAACTCACATTTGTAGCTTCGAGAACACTGTCCAACCATCTCGTCCTCTGTCGTCCCCTTCTCCTTGTGCCCTCCATCTTTCCCAACATCAGGGTCTTTTCCAGGGAGTCTTCTCTTCTCATGAGGTGGCTAAAGTATTGAAGCCTCAGCTTCAGGATCTGTCCTTTCAGTGAGCACTCAGGGCTGATTTCCTTCAGAATGGATAGGTTTGCAGTCCACGGGACTCTCAAGAGTCTCCTCCAGCAGCATAATTCAAAAGCATCAATTCTTCAGCGATCAGCCTTTTTTATGGTCCAGCTCTCACTTCCATACATACTGCTGGGAAAACCATAGCTTTAACTATACGGACATTTGTTGGCAAGGTGATGTCTCTGCTTTTTAAGATGCTGTCTAGGTTTGTCATCTGCACACTATAAAGCAGCAATTATGATATTGTCTTTACTCTGCCAGTGACTGGGCAGCCGTGATACTTTTTACACTTGGCTTGATTTTGCCTTGTGCCCTTCTCCCCAACAGGTCTGATGTCCTCTACCCAAATCCACGTTACAATTACAGACTGACCGTGAAGCTGCTGGCTGAAGATTTTAAAGCCCTCTATACCTGCTATATCTCGAATGGGGAGGTAATCAAGGACGGCACAAGGAACTGGAAAAAGGTAAACCCAGGATTTAAGGCAGGGGAAGTACTCAGCCAGGGCAGGATTTGGGTTTGATAAGGCCCTAAGCTACTGAAGGTAATGGGGCCCTTTATATGCCCAGCTGTCCTTTGTCAACAACAAATTGTCGTTGTTTTTTGTGTTGAATATTTGCTATAACGCTAGATAACAGGTACAACAGCTTGACCTACATTCAACTGTGCTGCACTGCAGTCTGCAGCTCCATGCTGCATGTTGCCATGCAACCAGTCCATGCAGAATGTAGGCACCCTGTAAGCCTCGGGTTACAGCCACTTCAGGTTCCTTTTTTTGGGTTACAGACCGCCAAAACCCGGAAGTACCAGAACGGGTTACTTCCGGGTTTTGGCAGTCACGCATGCATAGAAGCACTAAATCGCACTTTGCACATGTGCAGAAGCGCCGAATCGCAACCCGCCCGTGTGCAGATGCGGGTTGCAAACATGCATCCTGCACGGATCACGTTCGCAACCCAAGCGTCCACTGTATATAGAAATGAGCAAACCAGTGATATTTTAGGGAGCAGGCTAGCAGGCGGGGCCCATTACTTACATCATAGGAGCCCACACAACACAAAACACTGTTGCTGTGTGTAGGTTTTATTTGTTTTTTATCTTATATTTTGGAAATGTACATCCAGTTGTTGTTTTTCCTTTAATTTTTTGGGGGGGAACCCAAGAGAGTGGGGCCCTAAGCTATAGCTTATCTGTAAATCCGGCACTCTGTGCTCAGCAGTGGCCTAGCTTGAGGGTGGGGTGGGGGCAGTAGGGGTAGTTGTCCCGGGTGCAAAGTTGTGAAGGAGGCGCAAAAAGTCTGACACCCGGTGCTACTTCAATACAGCTGCACCCGCCTGTTGCTGTGCTCTGGTGAAAACTCCTTCTCCCTCCCCATCCCAAATTTCCAGACTGTGTACATCTTCCGCAACTACCCCAGCGGAGTCCGCCATATCCATTTTGAGCACGGCGTGGACTATGGAAAGCTTGCCAACAGCAGTGTCATCGTGGGCCCGAACTTCCCGTAGAAGAAGAGGAAAACACCCCGAAGAGAAAGAAAGGGTTGCTGAGCTGCTTGAACCCACCTCACCTGGGGTTCTCTCGGTGTCCCTATGGATCTTGGATGCTGGTTGTGGTCCCTGCTTAAGAAACCTTTCCTCTGAAGCTGTATGTCTGCATTTTAAAAGTTAGCATTGGATTTTTATTTTTTAAGGGGAAGTTTTAAAGAATATCAATAAAGTACTCGACTCGCATGTATGTCCTGGGTATGAAACAGGATGGGAGAGCTGTGGCTCAGTGGTAAATGTCTGCCTCGTATGCAGAAAGGTCGTGGGTTTGATCCTCAACATCTTTAGGTGGGAGAGCTGCTGCCGGCCAGTGTAAACCATGGGTAGGCAAACTAAGGCCCGGGGGCTGGATCCGGCCCAATCGCCTTCTAAATCTGGCCCGCGGATGGTCTGGAAATTAGCGTGTTTTTACATGAGTAGAGGGACACGGGTGGCGCTGAGGGTTAAACCAGAGAGCTTAGGGCTTGCTAAGGTCGGCTGTTCAAATCCCCGCGACGGGGTGAGCTGCCATTGTTCGGTCCCTGCTCCTGCCAACCTAGCAGTTTGAAAACACGTTGAAGTGCAAGTAGATAAATAGGTACCGCTCCAGCGGGAAGGTAAGCGGCGTTTCCGTGTGCTGCTCTGGTTCACCAGAAGCGGCTTAAGTCATGCTGGCCACATGACCCCGAAGCTGGACGCTGGCTCCCTCGGCCAATAAAGAGAGATGAGCACCACAACCCCAGAGTCAGTCACAACTGCACCTAATGGTCAGGGGTCCCTTTACTTTTACTTTATATGTAAACGTACATGGGCTGCAAGCCAGGGCAGTGTGTCTGGAGGTCCTGGGCTGCCCAGTTGACAAGACCTCCCCCCTCCCCAGCCTCTCTGATGTGGTCCAAAGGAAAGCAGAGCTCAGCATTGTTTATAGGGGTCAGCAAACTTTTTCAGCAGGGGGCCAGTCCACTGTCCCTCAGACCTTGTGGGGGGGGGCGGACTATATTTTTTGGGGGGGAATGAATGAATTTCTATGCCCCGCAAATAACCCAGAGATGCATTCTAAATAAAAGTGCACATTCTACTCATGAAAAAACACCAGGCAGGCCCCACAAATAACCCATTCTACTCCAGAAAGATCACTTCAGTGCTGTTAATACAGCAGTGGGCTTGAGGTGCCCTTGGTTGACCATCGAGCCAGTCACTGTCTCTCCGTCCAACACACCTCGCAGGGTTGTTGTGAGGACAAAGAGCACACAGGGTGGGGAGACTCACATATGCCCACGTTGGAGGAAAGAGGGGATACAAATACATACTGATTTGTCTTGTACATTTATGAACATTTAATTTATATTTGAGGGATGTAGGTGGCGCTGTGGGTTAAACCACAGAGCCTAGGTCTTGCTGATTAGAAGGTCGGCAGTTCGAATCCCCATGATGGGGTGAGCTCCCGTTGCTCCTGCCAACCTAGCAGTTCGGAAGCACGTCAAAGTGCAAGTAGATAAATAGGTACCGCTCCAGCGGGAAGGTAAACGGCGTTTCCGTGCACTGCTTTGGTTTGCCAGAAGTGGCTTAGTCCTGCTGGCCACATGACCTGGAAGCTGTACGCCGGCTCCCTCGGCCAATAAAGCGAGATGAGCGCCGCAACCCCAGAGCCGGCCACGACTGGACCTAATAGTCAGGGGTCCCTTTACCTTTACTAATTTATATTTGAGACCCTAGAATTCTTATAACACTAACAAGGCAAATCTACACACATTTATCTGGATGGATACCACATCAACCTAAGATGGAGACATATAGGCTGTGAGGGGGAGGGGCAGTGTTGTGTATGGTAAGTTTGGTGGATGCTCGAAGTCTTGTTCTGAGCTGGAGCCAGAGCTTTGGCTTGGGGCCTCCCAGGAAACCTAATAGGGAAGCAAGATCGATGGGAGGTTAATGTTGTGAAACCCTCCATCCTCATACATATGTGTAAACAAAGCCTAATAGCCTAAAGACACCACAGTCTTCATTCCAAGGAAACTGGAACCCTGGGTAAGCACAGATACCCCTGGAGTCTCCTGCCACCCAGAGATGTTCACAACAGCCCTTTTCCACCATCCCACACCACTTCCCCATGTGAAGAACAGAAGATGCTCCATCAGTTCTCTCCAAATACATCTTACCTGCAGGAACCAGGCTATTGGGACTGCTTAAAGGTAAAGGGACCTCTGACCATTAGGTCCAGTCATGGACGACTCTGGGGTTGCGGCGCTCACCTCACTTTATTGGCTGAGGGAGCTGGCGTACAGCTTCCGGTTCATGTGGCCAGCATGGCTAAGCTCCTTCTGGTGAACCAGAGCAGCGCACGGAAACACCGTTTACCTTCCTGCCGGAGCGGTACCTATTTATCTACTTGCACTTTGATGTGCTTTCGAACTGCTAGGTTGGCAGGAGCAGGGACCGAGCAACGGGAGCTCACCCCGTCGCGGGGATTCGAACCGCCGACCTTCTGATCGGCAAGTCCTAGCCTCTGTGGTTTAGACCACAGCGCCACCCACGTCCCTCTATTGGGACTGCTTAGCCAAGGTAAATAATTGTTGTCTTTGCCAATGTCTTCCATCCTGTTCATACTTGGAAGCAGGACTGAAAAGGGTCTTCTTGCCTGTGGGAAATGGGGGTAATAGAAAAGCTCAACTTCTTGTCCCTTCAGCACTTAACAGCCCCTGCTGAAAACACAGGGTTGTAGCCAATGCTGCCTGCAGGGACTTCAGCAGGTGCTTTCTGTCTCCTCTGAGCTTCAGTCCACATCACAATGCAGACAGTCATGCACTAGGTGGATATTTCCAGGGGATGGCTGAGGTTTATATAAATCAGACCCTTTCCCTGTTTCCCGTGTCTGTTCCTGAGGCCTCAGTAAAGCCATTAAGCCTTGGATCTTGCTTGAACCCAAATTTCACTTTCAATCTTGCAACTGTGTCTAAATGCAGGAAAGTTAGAAGGGATACTCTCAGTCTAGCATAGGGGACTATCAAGTACAAAATCCTGTGGAAGAAGTACCGTGTAGCTGGTATGGGTCAGCTTTTCACAACTAGTGGTTTATGGATCTGTTTATGGCATGCATATCCTGCCTTTCTTTCAAGGTGAGGTCCATATTTCTCCTTCTCCCTGTCTTCTCACAAGAATCTGGTGAGGCCAGCTAGGCTGAAAGTGAGTGACTAGCCCGAGGTCACCTAGGGAGTCTCCTGGCTGAGTGGGGCTTTTAACCCAGCTTTCCCAGGTCCAAGTCTACTATGACACACTGTCTCTCCTAGAATCCTGACACGGTGGCCGTGCATTCCAGGGCACCAAGAGCTGTTGCCCAGCAACAAAGTGTGCGGCCATTTGAACGGAGGTTCTGGCATCCTCAGCATGTAGAACCTCGCAGAGGTTTGCTGTAGTGACCCTTGCTTCATCGGTATAGAATATGGCATCTGGAAAACTCCTGGCAGTAAGTGAATTGTTGTAAACAAAAACTGCTCCCTTTCCCTTCTGGGGTACACAAGAGCCCTTATAAAGTCCTTTGTAGGTTCTCCATCGGTAGGAGAAAATAACAGAGGCCAACCAGAGAATATTGAGAAGCAAAGAAGCTAGTAATCTTGATCTTTATTAAAGCTGTTGCAACAGGCTGCTCTTCCAGACACAGGAGAGACAAGGAGGACCCAGGACAAAGGTGTGCAAGCCCTTATATAGACTTTTGAGCTGCCCACCCTGGAGCCCAAGACCACCCCCCAATACATCATACATACATCACAGAAGGGGGGTAGCCCAAGACCACCCCCTAGGTACATCAGAGACGGAGCGGACTACAACAGAAATCTGAGTGCGTTTTTTTTATCCTGTCTGCCAGGTTACCTGATTGGATTACCTGGGCATCCTGGCCACTCTTTTGTTATGATAACTACTCAACTCCTGAATCCAGGTAACAGGCTCACCCTATTCATACCTTAACTGTGCCCTTGAGACAGGATTTGTGAGCAAAGATACAATGAGGAGGCTCCTCATTTCCTTCGACCTTGCAGATAAATATTTGAGGTCAATTTGGAAGAGACAAATGGTTTCAGGACTTTTTCTGTGGGGTTTCAGACATGTGGTCTAAACATTTATGTATGTGAGACAAATTGAAATTGCAGAGTTTTGAAAAATTAAAAGATAAAGTGCGAGACTGGCTTCATTATTATCAGATAATGGAGGCATATAATTTGGACAAGAAAATTGGCTTCCAGGTGGAAAAATCAAAATTGGAAACAGGATTGTTAGAATCCAATACTAAGATTTTGTCAAAAATGTATAACTTGTTGTTGAAATGGAATACTCAGGATGAAACCGTGAAATCTGCTATGATTAAATGGGCACAAGATCTAGGATATAACATTATGTTTGCTGACTGGGAACAGTTGTGGACCACAGGCATGAAATTTACGGCATGTAATGCCCTAAGAGAGAATATTATGAAAATGATATACAGGTGGTACATGACACCAGTCAAGCTTGCAAAAATTTACCATGCGCCCGATAATAAATGTTGGAAATGTAAAGAAAATGAAGGTACTTTCTTTCACCTTTGGTGGACGTGCCCAAAGGTTAAGGCTTTCTGGGAGATGATATATAATGAATTGAAAAAGGTATTTAAATATACCTTCTTGAAGAAACCAGAGGCCTTTCTCCTGGGCATAGTCGGCCAATTGGTGCCAAAGAGGGACAGAACTTTCTTTATGTATGCCACAACAGCAGCAAGAATACTCATAGCAAAGTACTGGAAGACACAAGATCTACCCACCTTGGAAGAATGGCAGATGAAGGTGATGGACTATATGGAATTGGTGGAAATGACTGGCAGAATCCGAGACCAGGGAGAAGAGTCGATGGAGGAAGATTGGAAAAAGTTTAAAGACTATCTGCAGAAATACTGTAAAATTAAGGAATGCTAGAATGATGTTGGATAGAAACTAAGTGAACTTTAGCTGAAAGGTTATAAGGAATATGAAAAAATGGTTTATTAATATATAAAAATCTAAAATTATAATACTTGATGATTAATGATTAGGATACATAAAGAGGGGAGGGATTTGCTGAACGAAATAACTGAACTGGAATACAAAAAAGGGAGGTGTGAGGAGGTCCTGGAACTAAGCAAATGAAGGTCAAGAAATGGAAGGAATGAATTGTTTTTAAATATTTTTACTTTGTATTTTCTTTGTGTGTGTGTGTGTGTGTGTTTTGTAATATCTTGAAAACTTTAATAAATATCTTATAAAAAACAAACAATTTATGTATGAGCTTGCTTGGAACATTTACTTTATATATATAAGACCTTAAAATTCTTATAACAGAATACCTGAAGGAGCGTCTCCACCCCCATTGTTCTGCCCGGATGCTGAGGTCCAGCGCCGAGGGCCTTCTGGCGGTTCCCTCATTGCAAGAAGCAAAGCTACAGGGAACCAGGCAGAGGGCCTTCTTGGTAGTGGTGCCCGCCCTGTGGAATGCCCTCCCATCAGATGTCAAAGAGATAAACAACTACCTGACATTCAGAAGACATCTGAAGGCAGCCCAGTTCAGGGAAGTTTTTAATGTGTGACATTTTAGTGTATTTTTGTCTTTGTTGGAAGCCGCCCAGAGAGGCTGGGGAAACCCAGCCAGATGCGCTGGGTACAAATAATAAATTATTATTATTATTGGCATTTTCTGTGGACTTCGCTCTAGAACATAGCATACTGGTCCTGTTATGTACGTTCCTTAGTGTCTCCTGCTCTGAGCTTGAGTCTGCATCACAAGGCAGGCCAGGAATCTCAAACCTGCATTGTGATTCACTGCCTGGCACAAAGCAGCCAGTCATGCCTTAGGTGGGTGTCGCCAGGGGCTGGCTAAAGAGTTTAGAAATCAGACCCTTTCCCCCTTTCTGTTCCTGGGGCCGCAATAAAACCTTTAAGCTGAATCACTGCCTTCAGTCTTGCTAGAACCTGCATATACATGTTTACAAAGCTATTGTACTACCAACCTTACTGTATGCTTGTGAAACATGGACCACTTACAAATGCCATCTCCAGCTTCTTGAAAGATTCCATCAACAGTGTCTCCGAAAAATCTTACACATCACTTGGGAAGACAGGCAAACTAATATCAGTGCACTGGATGAAACAAAGATCACCAGTGTTGAAGCAATGATTCTTCAACATCAACTTTGTTGGACTAGTCATGTTGTGCGGATGCCTGATTATTGTCTTCCAAAGCTGCTGTATTCCAAACTTAAAAATGGAAAGCGTAATGCTGGTGGTCAACAAAAGAGGTTTAAAGACCTTCTCAAGGCAAATCTAAAAAATGCAGTATAAACACCAACAATTGGGAAACACTGGCCTGCGAGCGCTCCAGCTGGAGAACAGACTTTACCAAAGGTGGCATGGACTTTGAAGATGCTCGAACTCAGAACGCAAGGGAGAAACGTGCTAAGAGGATCAACTCCCATCCGGGAACCAATGTCCCCACTGTGGAAGGTCATGTAGGTCCAGAATTGGCCTCCACAGTCACTTACGGACTCATTGTTAAAACCGCATTTATGGAAGACAATCTTACTCGGCTATTTGTGATCGCCAAAGACGAAGAAGAATACTTCAGGTACCACCAGGTTTGGCAAAGAGCTATCAAAGGTCAAAGAAAGTGTTGACCTTTGGGCAAGTTTTGAGAAGAGAAGAATGAATGCCGTTTCCATTTAATGCGAACCTACGTTATCTGCGTTTCCCAGATCAACACTGAAATATACTCGGAGTCGAGAGTGGATTTCATGCTCTTTATTCAGCTCATAGTGGGAGGAGGAATGAAAGTTCCCCCACAGTATCTGCTTTATATACGTTATTTACACAATGGGCTGCACGTGATTGGCTAATTCCGGATTTCTCCTGTAGGCCAATCAGGTTGTGGATTCACTTCCATCTGGAGCTGGATTGGGTGGCTCCTGCAGACCAGTCATACTGCTGCATTGTTCTAGGACCAATCAGATTGCTGCATTCTGAATCCTATTGTTCTAGGACCAATCAGACTGATGCATTTTGGATCCTATTCAACTCAGTACATAACAAACACACAAACAGAAATTTGCTTTTAGGTGCTTCCTTGTCCCCATTTTGCAAAAAGGTTCTCCATCCCACACCCCTCCCAGTGTAAATATTAGCATCTTTAGAAATCTGCTTAAAAAATGTGACATCCCTGCCTGGGGGCCTGATCCATTCCTCACATTCTGACATTCCTGTTTCTTTTCTCTCTATTCTCATGGATGGAGAATTGATTTAAACGAACACAAAATCTCAGAAATCAGCCTGGAAGAAGGGGAGGATCTTCCTCCAAGGTAATGCTGTGCTAACCCCTCCGCCATTATCAATCACTTTCAGAAGCCCCCTGATCCATTTCTGTGGTGCTGCTGCTTGGGTTCTTTGAAGGACAGGAGGCAATGGAAGCTGCTTGGGACTTCCAGAGAATTGAGGGACCACAACTGGGGGTTTGAGAAGGCAGCCATTTCCTTTCTGACACAAGCAGCCCTGTTTCAGTTCTACTATTCAGTGGGCCATGAATGCTGTAAATAACAGTTCGAAAGCATGTCAAAGTGCAAGTAGATAAATAGGTACCGCTCTGGCAGGAAGGTAAACGGCGTTTCCGTGCGCTGCTCTGGTTCACCAGAAGCGGCTTAGTCATGCTGGCCACATGACCCGGAAGCTGTACACCGGCTCCTTTGGCCAATAAAGCGAGATGAGCACCACAACCCCAGAGTTTGCCACAACTGGACCTAAAGGTCAGGGGTCCCTTTACCTTTACCTATTAACATACCGGTAAGTGTACTTTTTATATTCCCTTCCACTCTCCCTAGTAAAATAACATGTCTTTGGGGAAGCCTGATAGTGAATGCTGATTCCTGTCCTGCCCCTCCCCCGCACTTACTGGCAAATAAAGTGCATCCCTAGTGGGTGGGGTATACACTCGTAGGAACTATGTTGTGGACCCCAGGACTAGGTCAGACAAAATGTGCTTGGGAGGAGTCACAAGGTTGGAAGGAGCAGGGACCGAGCAATGGGAGCTCACCCCATTGTGGGGATTTGAACCACCGACCTTCTGATTGGCAAGTCCTAGGCTACAGCCTCAAATATTTCCCTGCAAGGAGGAAGGAAATGCAGGGGTGGGGGTGGGGTGGGGAATCCAGTTGGTCTTTGGATTGTAGGGGCTTACACCTCCCTTTTCAAATACAGTCTGGCAAGTTATCTGTTAAGCTGAGCACACTATCAATATGCTTCAGGATTGCTCTCCTATACTATTTCAGACATGTGGCTTATATACTTATGTATGTGTTTGCCTAAACGGCCTCTGCCCAGTATATCTGAAGGAGTGCCTCCACCCCCATCATCCAGCCTGGACACTGAGGTCCAGCGCCGAGGGCCTTTTGGTGCTTCCCTCCCTGCGAGAAGTGAGGCTACAGGGAACCAGGCAGAGGGCCTTCTCGGTAGTGGCGCCTGCCCTGTGGAATGCCCTCCCATCAGATGTCAAGGAAATAAACAACTACCTGACTTTTAGAAGACATCTGAAGGCAACCCTGTATCAGGACGTTTTTAATGTTTGATGTTTTATTGTGTTTTTAATATTCTGTTGGGAGCTGTCCAGAGTGGCTGGGGAATAAACAATGGGCAGGGTATAAACAATAAATATGATGATGATGATGAACATTTAATTTATACTTGAGACGATGAACATTTAATTTATACTTGAGACCTTAGAATTCTTTTAACACCACCCTCTTCTGAGGGAGTCGGTTCAGCTCTGACCTTCAGATAGTGCTCCCTAAGGTTGAGTCAGAATCTCCTTTTTTGTACAGTGGTACCTCGGGTTAAGAACTTAATTCGTTCTGGAGGTCCATTCTTAACCTGAAACTGTTCTTAATCTGAAGCACCACTTTAGCTAACGGGGCCTCCTGCTGCCGCTGCGTCGCCACCGCACAATTTCTGTTCTTATCCTGAAGCAAAGTTCTTAACCGGAGGTACTATTTCTGGGTTAGCGGAGTCTGTAACCTGAAGCGTCTGTAACCCGAGGTACCACTGTAGTTTGAATCCGTTGGTTTGGGCCCCACCCAAACGAGCTTGTTCCATCTTCCGCGGGACTGCCCTTGGAAGTGTCAATGCAAAGGTTTTCCTCGCAGGGCACGTTTTCCTGGTTTGGAAATGTAAACTGCAAACATTCTCCTAGAGAAGGCGAGCCTCGGTCTTGCAGGGCACGTTTTCCTGGTTTGATGCTTGCGTTGGTTCGTCTGCATGCTCTCTCTCTCTCTCTCTCTCTCTCTCTCTCTCTCTCTCTCTCTCTCTCTCTCTCTCTCTGCCAAAGGGAACAAGAGCCAAAATCTGAAGTTACTTGCCTGCGACAGACAAGATCAGACCAGTCCCGCTCCAGAGGCGGAGTCTGAAGCCCCAGAAAAAAATATCTCTCCTCCTCCTCTTCTCTAACATTGCTGACGAGGCTGGGACACCAGAGACTTGCTGTGTCACGGAAAGGAAAGGGACCACTGCGATGCTGCGCTAGGAGGCAGAAAGCACCAGCTCCTCTCTCTTTCCCACCCCCCTCCTGCAAAATCCACCTTTTCGCCCGCCTGCAGACTCCTTACCTCCCCAAGCTTGAAAGTCCGGACGTCTTGAAGGTACGTGAGCCTTTACAAAAATTCCCTTCCTCTCGCAACTTTACCCCATTAAGAAATTAAAACGTGCAAGTTCGTTTCTAGAAACATAAATAAATCATTGATAGACGAGTCGACGGAGCACGGATCAAATGATCCTGGTTTATGGATGAATGTATTGAGTTGACGTTGCATTTGATGGGTCATTGGATGAACTGACGTTGCTTTTGATGGATCATTTGTTTGGGGTTATCTGCTCCAAAAAGGCAGACGTTTCCCAAGGTTTGGGGGCAGAGATCTTTCTCTAATCTTTTCATCAAGGTAATAATAATAATAATAATAATTTTCGCCTAATGGCACTCAAGGCAGCTTACAGATAGAAACAAGAATGGCTAAACACATAGAAAAACCAACTAACATTAACAGCATGGGTAGGCATACTAAGGCCCCAGGGTCGGATCTGGCCCAATCGGCTTCTAAATTTGGCCCATGGACAGTCTGGAAATCAGCGTGTTTTTACATGAGTAGAATGTGTGCTTTTATTTAAAATGCATCTCTGGGTTATTTATGGGGCATAGGAATTCGTTCATTTCTCCCCCCAAAAATATAGTCCGGGCCCCCACAAGGTCTGAGGGACAGTGGACCGGCCCCCTGCTGAAAAAGTTCGCTGACCCCTGATTAACAGAATTAAAACTTGAATGTGGGGAACTGACTCAAAGGGACAGCGGTGGAGGTGGTAGCAGTAAATACCGGAGTCATTGGAGAAGCACAGCCGGCCAACCTTGCAAGGCAGGCGTACAAAGAAGGGGGTTGTAAGAGGCTGGGTGGAGCCCCTCCACTTTGCTTTGTGACTGAGGGAGGGGGAAAGGTGTGTCTCACAGACAATTTCTTAGGACCTTTGGAAGCTGCCTTATGCTGAGTCAGACCATGGGTCCCTCTAGCTCAGTCTACACTGACTGGTAGCAGCACTCCAGGGTTTTTGGCAGAAGTCTCTCCCAGCTGCACCTGGAGATAAATCTGGGGACCTTCTGCACGCCCAGATTCTTGAGAGATCCGTGCAGGATCTGATCAGATCGTTGGCAGCCAAACTCTGGCTTCTTCTCGTCAATTTTAATAAAACTAGGTAAGAAATGGAGGCAGTGAGAGATTTTACTTTCTTAGGCTCCACGATCACTGCAGATGGTGACAGCAGTCACGAAATTAAAAGACGCCTGCTCCTTGGGAGAAAGGCGATGGCAAACCTAGACAACATCTTAAAAAGCAGAGACACCCCCTTGCCAACAAAGGTCCGTATAGTAAATGCCATGGTTTTCCCAGTAGTGATGTATGGAAGTGAGAGCTGGACCATAAAGAAGGCTGATCGCCGAAGAATTGATGCTTTTGAATTCTGGTGCTGGAGGAGACTCTTGAGAGTTCCATGGACTGCAAGAAGATCAAACCTATCCATTCTGAAGGAAATCAGCCCTGAGTGCTCACTGGAAGGACAGATCGTGAAGCTGAGGCTCCAATACTTTGGCCACCTCATGAGAAGAGAAGACTCCCTGGAAAAGACCCTGATGTTGGGAAAGATGGAGGGCACAAGGAGAAGGGGACGACAGAGAATGAGATGGTTGGATAGTGTTCTTGAAGCTACAAACTTGAGTTTGATCAAACTGCGGGAGGCAGTGGAGGACAGAAGTGCCTGGCGTGCTCTGGTCCATGGGGTCACGAAGAGTCGGACATGACTAAATGACTAAACAACAACAACAACAACAACAACAACAACAATAATTTAGTATTTATACCCCGCCCATCTGGCTGGGCTTCACCAGCCACTCTGGGCAGCTTCCAAAAATATATATTAAAATACCGTAATACATCAAACATTAAAAGCTTCCCTAAACAGGGCTGCCTTCAGATGTCTTCTAAAAGTCTGGTAGTTGTTGTTCTCTCTGACATCTGGTGGGAGGGCATTCCACAGGGAGGGCGCCACTACTGAGAAGGCCCTCTGTCTGGTTCCCTGTAACTTGGCTTCTCGCAGTGAAGAAACCGCCAAAAGGACCCCGGAGCAGGGCCTCAGAGTCCGGGCAGAACGATGGGGGTGGAGACGCTCCTTCAGGTATACTGGACCAAGGCTGTTTAGGTCTTTAAAGGTCAGCACCAACACTTTGAATTGTGCTCGGAAACGTACCTGTAAGCTCAAAGGGGCTAGTAAATGCATTTTGGATCACAACATGCAAGCTTATCTCCAACCCTATATAGCAGGGGTCAGCAAACATTTTCATCAGGGGGCCGGTCCACTGTCCCTCAGACCTTGTGGGGGGCCGGACTATATTTTTTTGGGGGGAAAGAACAAATTCCTATGCCCCACAAATAACCCAGAGATGCATTTTAAATAAAAGGACACATTCTACTCATGTAAAAACACGCTGATTCCCGGACCGTCTGCGGGCCAGATTTAGAAGGCGATTGGGCTGGATCCGGCCCCTGGGCCTTAGTTTGCCTACCCATGCTATATAGATTTGGTGGTGCTGACCATCATCTGTCTGGTTTCCTTCAACAGAGGCTGATTTTTAAATCCTTGAGATTGCAAATTGCTCATCCAGGGGGCTGGGTGTTAATTAAACACCCGCTTGCTAATTTGGTTGTTTTTGAAAATATTTGGCTTCTGTTACATTGGAAAGAGTAGGCTGATAGGCAGAAGGAGGTTCTTTCTATTTGATAATGAGCAGTGGCTTATACAATTGCTAAGTTTCTCTTGCATACCCCAAAGCTAAGTCTGTTTGTCTGTTTACTCTGTCGCATTCCCCATGGAGTCCAATAACATATCCATACAGTTGCGGTCTAATTATTGATTTATTTTAAAGGATCTCGCCTCTTTGCTCTTCATTTTTAAAATAGTTCCCAACAACTGCTTACAGATCTGTTAAAAAGCTCCTTATCAGCTGCTTACTTATCAGTTTTTCAAAAAAGAAGAAGGCTGCCCTCACTTTTATGACTGAAAAAGAATTATCATCAAAGGAAAAAGGGAGGGGGAGGGAGGAGGAAGTGAACAAACTCAGGCATTAACTCTTAGTTACATATTAGTGATAGCCAAACCTTCTCCCTTCAAAGAAGGTATATGGGCTTATTTCTTATTCTTTTCAAAATCCTTAAATGTCCCTGTTAAGTAAATTGGCTGGCTGACTAACTGGTCCCAAGGTCTCTCGAGGAGCTTGATGGCTGAATTGGCAGGGCTAGGGGGGTTTGAACCCAGGCGTTCCTAGTCTGAGGCCAGCCACTCTGAACTAGCATAAACAAAGCACCACTATCGAGGTGTTGGCTGTGTCAGATTGATTTAAATTTGGTGGTATTTTTAAATATATATTTTTTCTGTATTTTTAATTAAATTTTCTGTTTTACATTTTAGAATGTTCACTTAAGCAACCTTAAAATATCAATGAATTCCCTTCTTCTCTTTCCATGGTTCATTTTGCATAACCTAAATCCCTGCATATTTCACATAAACTAAACCATTCAGGACAGTCCTACCTTGGAAGTCGAATGGAATCCGTTCCGGAACTCCGTTTGACTTACAAAACGTTTGGAAACCAAAGTGTGGCTTCTGATTGGCTGCAGGAAGCTCCTGCAGCCAATCAGAAGCCGCTGAAGTGCCATTGGACGTTCAGCTTCCAAAGAACGTTCGCAAACCCGAACACTCACTTCTGGGTTTATGGCATTTGGGAGCTAAAATGTCCGAGTACCAAGGCGTTTGGGATCTAAGGTATGACTGTATTCCATTATTACATCCATCAAAACTTATTTACACTGTTGAATTTATCTTTTTTTAAAAAAAAAAGTTTTAAATGCTTTATTGTTCATTTTCCATATATATACAACACATAATTTTCTTCATTTCAGTCAGTCCAATAAGAATGTCTATGTTCACAAAAAAATGCATACAAATTCAGTTATGCGTTTTCTACACAAACCTATGACTTCCCATCCTCTCTATATTTCTTTTATAATAAACATCTTACTTTAATTTATCATTATTATTTTGTAAAAAATCTCTTTTCTATTTCAATATCATTTTCTTTCATATACATTATTTACAGAAATCATTCAAAGGCAACTGTCATGCTTAGATTTCAACTACTTTTCAAATAAATCTTGAAATTAAGATAAATTCAACAGTTGAATCTATCTTAATGCTGCCAACGTTTTCAAGTGTACACAATTCCCTCCCCCCATATATTCAATAAACCTTTTCCCATCTTCTTTAAACATATGTTCTTCTTGTTCTCTTATTCTATATGTTAGGTATGCAAGCTGCGCATATTCCCGTGTGTGTACTTTTAAATATTTTTTTAAAGTTAGGCATGTTCATTAACATAATAGCTCTGTTCTGAGTAAGACTAACATTGGAAACAGCTCATTGAAATGAATGCGTCTAAGTCAGGCATGTCTGTCACCTTGAAAGGACCTACTCTGACTAGGGCGACAACCCTAGTCCATTTTAGCATAAGGTTACCAGATTTTTTTCAATGAATCCGGGGACACTTTTCAACTTCAGTAAGAATGATAGGATAAGGTTACCAGATTTTTTTTCAATGAATCCAGGGACACTTAAATAAATAAATACTACACGTTCGGGATGTTGATGCTGCAGTGATGGCGGTGGCAGAGGGGCGGCCGCCGCCTTGACCTCAACCGCCACATTTCCCCTTCGTCTGAGGCTTCTATCTCCTTTCTCCATGAGCCTGGGCAGCCCCTGAGTTGTTGGTTCTTTGGTGATGGTGGTGGTGGGGAAGCGGTGCGTGATGGGTCAGGCATGGAAGGTGGAGAAGGAGGGCCCAGAGTGGCGGCGGTGAGCTGGGGATCCCTCAGCTGGGAAGCGAGGCTTCACACTGCCTTTTGGAGCAGCCCCATCCCAACTCCTACTTGCGTGCAAGCAGGAGGGGGCGGGGATCCCTCAGCTGGGAAGGGAGGCTTCCCGTTGCCTAACTGAGAGATCCCTGCCCCCTCCTGCTTGCACGCAAGCTCTGATAGGCAGCGTGAAGCCTCCCTTCACAGCTGAGAGATTCCCGTCCCCTCCTGCTTGCACACAAGTAGGAGTTGGGAGGCTGCCCCAATAGGCAGCATGAAGCCTCCCTTCACAGCTTGGTTGCTGGGGTCAGCGAAGGTGGAGGCAGCCCGGAAGCTGCATCTTAGAGCCTCTGCACCACCATCATATGGGGACTTCTGAGCAGCTCGTGAAGCCAACCTGAGCCAACTGCTCTGGGCTGCTGAGACTGCCGCTGCTGCGTTTCCAGGGGACATTAGATGAAATCCGGGGACATTCCAGGGATGGAATTTGTCCGGGGACTTATTCACAAATCCGGGGACTGTCCCCGGGAAACGGGGACATCTGATAGCCTTATTTTTAGCAAGCTCTCTCCTCCAGGATGGAGACCCTCCCAGAGCCTCTTCTGGTCCGGATCTTCGCCTCCCTCCCTGCAGTCGAACTGGTCTTAGTGTGTCGCCTTGTCTGCTCCCAGTGGAAAAACCTGATTGACGGAGCTGCCCTCTGGTTGTTGAAATGTCAGCAGGAGGGTTTCGCTGGGGAAGATGCAGAAGAGGAAAGCGCCGACAGCTGGCAGACGCTCTACTTCCTGAATAAGAGGAAGCGGAATTTAATCAAGAACCCAGACGGCGAAGGCAAGTGGCTAGAGAACATTCCAGAAAAATAATAGGAGTTGGCAGTAGGGTGGCCCTCTCCACACACCCACCGTGTGTGGCTTTTGGCACCCTCACACCAGGGTGCTTGCGATCTGGCAGCTGAAACTTTTTGCCCATCGCTGTGCTTTTAGGCTGGAAAAGACTGCGCTTGTTGAATTTCTGTCTGACCCGTTCAAGGCATGCCGGGGTGGGGTGGGGTGCTGGTAAATCTACAGGATGAGAATAAAAATAATACACTGTGAGTGTGTGTGGCTAATTTGTGGCCCCCCGGATAATACTGTATTTTTCGCTCTATAAGATGCACCTGACCATAAGATGCACCTAGTTTTTAGAGGAGGAAAACAAGAAAAGCCAGCAAGAGCCACAGACATACTTGCTCGGCGCGGCTCTTTAAAGATAGAGTGGCTCTTGCTGGCTTTTACAGGAGGTGGGAGAAGGGACTGATGGACTGCACTCCATCCCTTCCCCCACCTCCCTAAAAAGCCAGAGCAAGCTGTGCAGCTATCGCTGAAGGCAGCAGAGCAAGAGAGAGAGCTGTGCAGTGCCTCTTGGTCTTCTGGCTTCCCAGTGAAGCAGGATAAGGGATGGAAAGGAGCCCTTACGGAGCCCCTTCTGTCTCTCATCCTGCTTCTCTGGGAAGCCAGCAACCCAGAAACGCTGCGCAGCTCTCCCTCTTGCTGTGCTGGCTACGCAGCCTGCATTTGCTCCATAACACACACACACATTTCCCCTTACTGTCTTATGGAGCAAAAAATACGGTACTTTAAAAAAAAACAGCACACAACAATTTTTATTTGATTTTACAAATATAAATTTATAACAATCCAAATGCGTATCCATATACAGTGGTACCTCGGTTTAAGAAGAGCCCTGTTTACGAACTATTTGGTATACGAACTTCACAAAATCGGAAGTAGTGTTCTGGTTAGTGAACTTTACCTCAGTCTATGAACGGAATCCGAACAGCGGAAGGGCACTGGCAGCGGGAGGCCTCATTAAGGAAAATGCACCTTAGTCTTGGTTTTGGTTTAAGAATGGACTTCTGGAATGGAGGTACCGCTGTATAGAGATTACTCTGGGCCTCGAGACTTCTTCACCCCATCCCCTCCATGGGTCCTAACGTCGACATTTACAACTGCATATTATTCCATAATCTATATTTTGTATCCATCCACATTATAGATTACATTCACATTACAAGTGAAATTAAAATCCTGCGAATGTTTTCATCTGCTTGCAGTTGTCTCTTAAATAAAGGATACATTTTACCCATTCCTTTATAAAGTTTTTTCCCCTCTTGGTTTCTGGATTTTCCAGTCAGCTTTGCCATTTTAGCATATTCCATCAGCTTAGCTTGCCATTCTGGCCCTCCAGATATTACTGAAGTACGACTCCCATCAGGCATTGGTGACGTCACGGTTAGATTACTACAATGTGCTCTTTGTGGGGCTTGCCTTGCACTTAATCCTGCAGTTAGTGCTGTGGCAGGGCTACTGGCAAGCCCTGTCAGCATAAAAACTCCTCCCATCAGAGCTGTGCCCTGCTTGCCAATTTGTTACCAGGCCAAGTTCAAGAAGTTGCTGCTGGTATAGAAAGCTCTCAACAGCCAGCTTGGGATCAGTTTACTTGCGAGATCACCTTACCAAATATATGCCCGTTTCCATCTGTAGAATTGGCAAATACCCATTCTGCACTGGTAAGCAATCGATCCTATAGTGTGGCAGCATCTACCCTTCGGAACCCCCTGCCTTTTGAAATCAGGCAGGTATGTTTGCTGTACTCTCTTTAGTGCCCGCTTAAAACATTTTTTTCTTTAGCCAAGCCCGTTCAGACATGTAGAAGTTGCGTGTGTGTTTTATCGCTTAGCTCCCACTGACTTTTACCGCCTTCAGATTATTATTTTTAAAGCAGCTTTAAAACTTTAAAACCGATAATTTTAATGTTTTATTTTGTATTCTTGTAAACCGCCAAAAATCAAGCGCTATATCAATTTTGTTAAAACAGATAAACAAAATCAGCCCCGGGCAGCATGTTCAATGGTCAGGGATGATGGGAGTTGTAGTCCAACAATATCTGATTTGGCACAATTGCGTACAAAAATGGGTGTGTTAGGCAAAAACTCACACTAACATGCCATTGAGCTTTCATAAGGACTAGTTTTCTTTTCCTTTTTTGCAAAGTGATGTGTAGCTTTGGAGAAATGAACAATAAGACTGTGAAAATGAGAAACTGAGGAAACACCAAATTGATAGATTTCCCTCTAGGAAGAACAGTATTCTGTGTACATGCATGTGTGTGTGTATGCATGTGTATTTAAGGAACTGCAGAAAGAGGGAGAAGAAAGTCAAGTTTTGAAATGTCAAAATTGTAAAATTAATGAAATGTATAAAATTTGTGAAATGTATAAACTTGAAAAGTATAAATATATATTTTTAATGTTGCTGTTGTCATTCTGCCATCCCACAGAGGGTCTTGAACATTGGCAGGATGTGGAAAATGGAGGTGACGGCTGGGCAATTGAGGACCTGCCTGGAAATTTTGGGCAAGAATTCCCCAGCGAGGATGTCCATAAATACTTTGTCTCATCTTTTGAGTAAGTCAAAAGCCCTTTAAGGTGGCCTGGTTTGAGACAAGATGCCTCTGTGGAACATCTGAAATTTGGAGTTCTTTTTATACCTCTGAATGGGAGCAACAATGGAGAGGGTTAATGTCAGTCACCCCCTGCTTATGGGCTGCTTGGTGGCTTCTGGGGTCAGGATGTACGACCCTAGGGACCTCTGCGGCTCTTCTTGGGTTTTCTTATCCAGCTGCAGTATGCCACTTTTAACAGGGACACGGGTGGCGCTGTGGTCTACACCACTGAGCCTCTTGGGCGTGCTGATGGGAAGGTTGGCGGTTTGAATCCCCATGATGGAGTGAGCTCCCATTGCTCTGTCCCAGCTCCTGCCAACCTAGCAGTTCGAAAGCACACCAGTGCGAGTAGATAAATAGGTAGCACTGCGGCGGGAAGGTCAACGGTGTTTTCGTGCACTCTGGTTTCCATCACAGTGTCCCGTTGCACCAGAAGCAGTTTAGTCCTGCTGGCCACAGGACCCAGAAAGCTGTCTGTGGACAAATGGCAGCTCCCTCGGCCTGAAAGCGAGATGAGCATCGCAACCCCACAGTAGCCTTTGACTGGACTTCTTCTCCTTCTCTTTCTTCTCCTTCTTCTCCTTCACCTTCTTCTTCACCTTCTTCTTCTTCTTCTTTATTCATTTATTTATACCCTGCACATCTAGCTGAGTTTCCCCAGCCACTCTAGGCAGCTCCCAACAGAATTAAAAGCACAATAGAACATCATTGGAAACTCAAGGCAGTAGAGACATAAGATGATCAGAGCCTCACCAAACTTGAAGCATGGGAAGTCCCAATAAAAATTTATAATTTGGCAGAATATTTGGACTATATGATATGTATTTGTATAATTTGGAATATTTAATGTGATTTGATTGGATTGTTAAAATGGAAAATTTAATTAAAAATATTTTTTTTAAAAAAACACAATAGAACATCAAACATAAAAACTTCCCTAAACAGGGCTGCCTTCAGATGTCTTCTAAAAGTCAGTTGTTTATTTCCTTGACATCTGATGGGAGGGCGTTCCACAGGGCAGTGGAACCGCCAGAAGGCCCTTGGAGCTGGATCTCAGTGTCCGGGCTGAACGATGGGAGTGGAGACGTTCCTTCAGGTATATAGGACCGACTTAACCATCCAGGGGTCCTTTACCTTTTACCTTTACCTTACAGTTCCCTGGATTGTTTGGGGGAGGGGGAAGTAATGTGCATGCAACCTAAGTGTTGTAGCACAAAGTGCTGCAACTCAAGGTTCCAGTCACTCCATCCGATTCCTCTGCCCTCCCCCTTCTGGCTTCTGAGCATGCTCAGTTATCGTTGGGCTGTTTTCAGCAGGTCCCTTTGGATACTCCTCCAACCGAATACCTTTTTATGGTTCTGTAACATCATTCTTGTGGACGGGTTGTGCTGTTTGGGCCTCATGTGAACCGGCACTCATGACCTGTTGGTGACACAGCAGCACAGATCCTCCAATGGGCGCTGTGTGATGACAACCTTACATTTTTATGTATAGAGAGAATTTTAAAAAATGACAAACTGCTTAATCAAAGAGACTCCTCTAAACGACCTACATAAAAAAAATCTGTGGGTGGTACCATTTTTGGCTAAAATAGAAATGGCGCCAGTAACCTGAGCATCAGAAATAGAAATAGAGGGAAGGATGAACTCCTCCCCATATTATGGGCTGTATTCAAGCCCATATTCACCATTTGATTGAGTGCATATAGCAAATAGCTTGAGGCAGTTTCATACCCTCCTAGTATCCCTATTTTCCAGGATCAGTCCCAGATTTACAGAAGCCATCCCAGTTTCTGATTTGATCCCAGAATGTCCCACTTTTCCTTAAAAAGGTAAAGGGACCCCTGGTCATTAGGTCCTGTTGTGACCGACTCTAGGGTTGCGGCGCTCATCTCACTTTATTGGTCGAGGGAGCCAGCATACAGCTTCCGGGTCATGTGGTCAGCATGACTAAGCCGCTTCTGGGTAACCAGAACCAGAAGTTTCCAGTGCATGGAAACGCCGTACCTTCCCACGGGAGTGGTACCTATTTATCTACTTGCACTTGACGTGCTTTTGAACTGCTAGGTTGGCAGGAGCAGGGACCGAGCAACAGGAGCTCACCCCATCGCGGGGATTTGAACCGTCAACCTTCTGATCGGCAAGTCCTAGGCTCTGTGGTTTAACCCACAGCGCCACCCGCTTTTCGTTAGGATGTCCCTATTTTCATCGGAGAAATGTTGGAGGGTAGGGAGTTATCTGACCCCCCAGCCATCTGAAGGTTTCCCTGTATAGGGAGGTTTTTTGGTGTTTAATGTTTTATTATGTTTTTATAGAAGTTGGAAGCTGCCCAGAGTGGCTGGGGCAACCCAGTCAGATGGGCGGGGTATTGATAGTAAAATTATTATTATGGAATAGGATGTCCCTATTCCATCGGAGCAAAGTTGGAGGTTATGCAATTGCTGTCAAATGAGGAAGAGGAATTGCACCGAGAATGCTACTAGCAGCGAGTGGCCTGAGAGGGAGGATGTTTTATTCTGTTTTTATATATGTTGGAAGCTGCCCAGAGTGGCAACCCAGCCAGGTGGGTGGGGTGTAAATAGTAAAATTCTTATTACAGTGGTACCTCGGGTTACAGACACTTCAGGTTACAGACGCTTCAGGTTATAGACTCCGCTAACCCAGAAATAGTATCTTGGGTTAAGAACTTTGCTTCAGGATGAGAACAGAAATCGTGCTCCGGCGGTGTAGCGGCAGCTGGAGGCCCCATTAGCTAAAGTGGTGCTTCAGGTTAAGAACAGTTTCAGGTTAAGAACGGACCTCCAGAATGAATTAAGTTCTTAACCAGAGGTACCACTGTATTATTATTGAATAGGACGTCCCTATTTTCATCAGAGACATGTTGGAGGGTATGCAATACAGTGGTACCTCGGGTTACATACGCTTCAGGTTACAGACTCCGCTATCCGAGAAATAGTGCTTCAGGTTAAGAACTTTGCTTCAGGATGAGAACAGAAATTGCACGGCAGCAGCAGGAGGCCCCATTAGCTAAAGTGGTGCTTCAGATTAAGAACAGTTTCAGGTTAAGAACGGACCTCCAGAACGAATTAAGTAATTAACCAGAGGTACCACTGTATTATACATTCTTCTCGCTTGTTAACCTTATCAAAATGTTACAGGTGGTGCTGTAAGTCACAAGTCATTGATCTCCGCGCCGAAGGATACTGGGAGGAGCTTATGGACACCACCCAGCCTAAAATTGTGGTGAAAGACTGGTAAGACTGGGGGGTGGGGTGGAGAGACTGTGGAACCTGTTGGAATCTGGCAGGGAAATTGGCAAACACGGCCAAAGTAGAATTGAACCCTGCCTCCATCACTGCCCATCGGCTGATGTTACACCTGTGGGAATGTTGTAGATACTAAAAGAGGATCTCGAGACTCCCCCCCCCCCATCCCCTCCATGGGTCTTAACATCAACATTTACAACTGCATATTATTCCATAATCTATATATTTTTTATCAATCCATATTATCCATAGTATTTGTTATATTGCAAGTGAAATTAAAATCCTGCTAATGTTTTCATCTGCTTGCAGTGGTCTCTTAAATAAATTATAATTTCCCCCCATTCCTTTATAAAGTTTTTTCCTCCTGGGTTCTGGGTTTTCCTGTCAGCTTTGCCATCTTAGCGTATTCAATCAGCTTAGTTTGCCGTTTTTCTCTGGTAGGGACTTTGTCTTCTTTCCAACTCTGGGCTAATAACATCTGGGCAACTGTTGTTCCATACATAAAGAGTATTTTCTGCTCCTTGGGTATGTCAGTACCTGTAATTCCTAATAAAAACGCTTCTGGTTTATTAACAAAAGTTATTTTAAGCCTTTCCCCCCCGTTTCATTATATATCATCTCCCAGAAAGCTTTTATTACCTTACAAGTCCACCACATAAAAGGTACCTTCCTTTTCTTTACATTTCCAGCAGATCTTTGTACTTGTCTTATACATTTTTGCTAACTTAGAAGGAGTCAAATACCACCGCTGAGATTAAAATCTATATTACATCCTATATCTATTGCCCAGTGCATCATAGACAGCCTCAAGCTGCGTTTGGCACTTCCGCTGCCAGCTGGCTTATGCTCAGGTTATACAGTCACAGATGTTGTGGTCTCATCCTGCAGGTATGCGGCCCGGTGTGACGCTGGCTGCCTCTACAACTTGAAAGTGCAGCTCCTGTCTTCGACAGAGGAGGTGCTGGCCGAGTTTGTGAGCGACACCATTGCTGTCCCGCAAGGCAATGAGGGCGAATGGACCGAGGTGGGTGCTGACGGAGGGTGCCTTTTTCCATCATCGGCTTGGCTTGTGGACATTAGTAACTGATCCCGTATATAATAATAAATAATAATAATACATTTTATTTATACCCCGCCCTCCCCGGCCAAAGCTGGGCTCAGGGTGGCTAACACCTATAAAATTACAATAAAAACATAATAGAAAATAAATAAATAAAGCAATTTAAAATACAGGTTAAAATGCAATTTAAAATGCAGCCTCATTTTAAAAGTAGCCCATATATTGTGTACGTCTGTAAATCATAGCTGTCAACCGTCCCTTATTTGGCGGGAAACTCCCTTATCCCAGCGCCGTTTCCCGCTGCTGTCCTGGATTGATGATGTCCCTTAAATTTCCTGGGTTTCAAAGGAAGCAGCTCCTCTCCCTCCCTCCCTGCCAGCCAGGGAGGAAGGAGGCTCCAACTGTGTTGCTTGGCTGCGTTGCTCACCCAATAAAGAGTCTAAGAACAACTGGGGGGTGGAGCTTGCAGGCCTTGTGCTGATCAAATCGGCCGTGTTGCCTGGGGACTCACCTTTGCTCAGCGCTTCCCAGCGGAGAGGTGCCGGTGGTTTCCCTTGCTGCATCCCCTTTGCTGGGTTGCTGCGCTGTGGGAACCACTGCTTGAGGCTTCGTTTGGCTGCTGGTTGACTAAAATCCCTTATTTTGGCTTCTGGTCCCTTATTTTCAAATCTAAGTTGACAGCTATGCTGTAAATCTCAGGCCTGGAGCCTGAAAGTGGCCCTTCAGGCATCTCTGCCAGGCCACCAGGATAGGGCATGACCCCTCTCCAAGCCGCATCTCTCACCTGGAGCACACCTGGAGTGCTTTTGCCTGGCTGTGATGACGCCTCTTGCTTCCTTGAACTACATCTCCCATCAGCCTCAGCAAGTGTGGTCAGTGGCCAAGGGTGATGGGAGTTGTAGTCCGGCAACATCCGGAGGCCCAAAGCTTCCCCACACCTGATGCAGATCCTGCCTTGAGCAGGGAGGCAAATCATGCAACCTCCTTGGTACCCCATCCCCAAATACTCTGATTCTAGGCTTCCACTGTTAGCCAATATTGCTGAATGGATTTTTAGCTGCTTCATTTGGTTGGATCGGGGCTTCCCAAACATGGGTTTCTAGCTCTTTTTGGACTACACTCCCATCATCCCTAGCTAGTGGTCAGGGATGATGGGAATTGTAGTCCCAAACCAGCTGGAGACCCAAGTTTGGGAAACCCTGATGTAGATCGGGAGTGAGGAACCTTGGGCCCTCCAGATGTAGCGGGACTCCAACTCCCATCAGCCCCTGATGCATGATGGGAGTTGTAGTCCAGCAACATTTCAGAGAGCCAAAGGTTCTCCACACCTGCGTGGGCCAGATGTCCTCTTACGTGCCGTACAATTCTTTTTTTAAGAAATATTTTATTGATTTTCCATTTTCAAAACAAATATCCAAAATCAATACTAAACATTAATTTTTCACCCATTGACTTCCCTCAGCTTCCATTTCTGGTTTATTACATCAAATGATACGTTCTGCTGTTTATATACAATACTATATTATCACAGTGTTATATTCCTTGTTTTATGTAAAAAAAATGGTAAATGTTTATTTAAATCCTGCCAATGATTCCATTTTTTTGGGAGGTGTTTCTGCAAATATATTGTAAAAGGCTCCCATTCTTTTTCCAAGCCCCTGTTGTCCTTTTCTCACAGTTTGTTTGCTAAGTTTGCTAACTGTGTAGCTCATCAGTTTTTCTTGCCATTGTTCTTTAGATGGTACTTCTCCAGTTTTGCAGTTTTGTGCTATTAGAATTCTCGTTGCTGTTGCCGCATACATAAATAATGTCCTTTTTCTTTCGGCAGCAGGTGCCTTCCAATTCTATGCTTCACTTTTTTGGGGGGGTCAAATATTTCCCTCTAACTCTCTTGCCTTTTTCTCTTCCTCCTGCACCCAAGATCACCCACACCTTTGCCGACTACGGTCCCGGGGTCTGCTTCGTTCGCTTCGAACACGGCGGTCAGGACACGGTCTACTGGAAGGGCTGGTACGGCGCAAGGGTGACGCACAGCAGTGTGACTGTGGAGCCGTAGTGGTGGAATTGGAGAGCCCTGGAGCCGCTTAGGAGCCTGCGCATCATGCCATCCCTCAGCGAGGCCAGAGTGAACTTTGCATGGTTGTCCTCAGGGCTGGATGAAACCTGGCGCTAAATGCCCAACAGGACTTTTGCACTTCCTGCGATCTATTTCTCTGGAATTTCCCTAAGCGAGAGAGAAAATAGAGTGCTTTCTTACATTAAAAGTATTTCCCTGGGTCTTCCAGCAATGTAGAATAATATAATGCTGGCTTGTGTGTAAAAAAAATATACAATAGCAGTAACCACTTCACCAAGGGTGTAAAATGTTTTAAAATACTGAGAGTTAATTAGACATCACCCCAGAACTGGTCCTACTAAACATATTCCAAGACAACAATGCCCATTTACACCACAAAGCACTCATAACTCACCTACTTTCAGCAGCCAGAAACACCATAACCAGACACTGGAGAGACCTGTCAGGAGTAAACATGGACCAATGGTACCAAATAGTATGGGAAACAGCCCTACTAGAAAAATTAACCAATAAACTGAAACTGACACAGGGACAAACAGAAGAAGACGCCTTTACCCCAGTATGGCTCCCCTTTATCACATACACAGCCCAACAAGACAATGACAATAATCCACCAACAGCATACAAATCAATATGGCTAACCTTGCCCAAAACACCCACCCACCCCATTCACACACGAAAACAAAGATCACCACAGCCAATCACAAACAAACAACCACACCCTAGGCCAACCCCAACCTCTCTCACCACCAAAGAAACACAAATGAACAGCAGAGAACCTGCACGAGCACCTACATACATTAAGCAAAATATAAACATCGCCACCCAACCCCCCCATCTCCCCCCCCCATGTCTCAACAAATGAAACTGATTTGTAAAAATGTTACATGGAAAAAATGCGAGAGACATTACACATGCTTCTGTAAAACAAGACAATCTTTAATTAAAAAAAAATACAAAAAAATAATACTGAGAGTTAGGAACAGATCTGCCTTATACAGACGGTATTAGGGAAGGATGAAGCCATTGAAGTCTGGTCCATTCTCAAAAGAGATAGGATCAGGTCCGCCTGTCATATTTCCAGGTAGATTTTTTAAAAGGAGAAAACATTAAAAAACAAAACCCCAGCCTTATAAACTTGCCTTTATTTGAGGACAAGGCTATTAGTGGCTGCTGTCAGAGGCAGTGTGACAGTTTCTGTTCTGCTCAGGTCCTTTTTGTGGGCTCATGGTTGGCCATGGTGAGTACAAGATGCTGGGCTAGATACCTTCAGGGTAGCTAACATGATGCTCTCTGGATGTTTTTGCACTGCAGCTCCCACCAGCTAGAACCACCAAGGTTCAGGGATGATAGGAGGTGGAATATTTCAACAGCTGGAGAGCTGCAGGTTCCCCAGTGCCTGCATTAAAAGAAGGCAGAGCTGTGATGGAGGGATCTGTGGGCAGTAAAGGCAAGTGATGGTCTAGTTCAGGATTTCCGACTGTTTTTGGACTACAACTCCCATCATCCCTGGCTAGCAGGACCTGAACAAATGTGATTCCGCTGAAAATCACTTTGTTTTGTTTTGTTATGTTATGTTATGTTTTGTTTTGTTTTGTTTTGAGCAGTGGTTCCCACTGAGAGCCAGCGTGGTGTAGTGGTTAAGAGCGGTAGACTCGTAATCTGGTGAACTGGGTTCGATTCCCCGCTCCTCCACATGCAGCTGCTGGGTGACCTTGGGCTAGTCACACTTCTCTGAAGTCTCTCAGCCCCACTCACCTCACAGAGTGTTTGTTGTGGGGGAGGAAGGGAAAGGAGAATGTTAGCCGCTTTGAGACTCCTTCGGGTAGTGATAAAACGGGATATCAGATCCAGACTCCTCCTCCTCCTCCTCCTTCTTCTTCCCAACCTTTTTTCGGCCATGCCCCACCTAAGCATCTTTAAAATCCTGACCCGCTCCCCTGGTGACATATAATTCTTATTATTCAAAAAGTGAACTCCTATTCACATGGAGGAAGCCTAAAAGGCCATTAACTGTTAATAACTCATTCTTGAATTGCCCCCCTTAAAAACCAAATTGCCCCCAAATTTAGAGTGTTTGTATGTTTGTATCCAGCTCTTCAAAGGGACACGGGTGGCGCTGTGGGTTAAATCACAGAGCCTAGGACTTGCTGATCAGAAGGTCGGCGGTTCGAATCCCCGGGACGGGGTGAGCTCCTGTTGCTCGGTCCCTGCTCCTGCCCACCTAGCAGTTCGAAAGCACGTCAAAGTGCAAGTAGATAAATAGGTACCACTCCGGTGGGAAGGTAAACGGCGTTTCTGTGTGCTGCTCTGGTTCGCCAGAAGTGGCTTAGTCATGCTGGCCACATGACCCGGAAGCTGTATGCTGGCTCCCTCGGCCAATAAAGCGAGATGAGCGCCACAACCCCAGAGTCGGTCACGACTGGACCTAATGGTCAGGGGTCCCTTTACCTTTATCCAGCTCTTCAGCCAAACCGGCTCCCAGAGGTGGTTTGCATACAATCAACTAGAGCAGGACAGTTCCTACCTGCGGGCTTACGATATGAGAGACACGACATGAAAGGAAAAAGGGACAGGGAGGGAAGAGGGGAAGAAAAATCAAGCCGAGACACCAGTTCTTAAACGGTTGTACTTATAAGGACCAGCTGGCACAGATGGAGCTGGTCCTTTAGCAAAGCTGATACAGTGGGCTCCACTTTCCATCTCTCCCACCAAGGCAACCTGATGGACTGGTTGCTTCCAGGTGGCTGTTGAGGGAAAGGAAGATGGGCGAGGCTGGCCTATCACAGCTGAGCTGATGGAGCGAACCCTGCTTCCCATCATTTAAAATTATTGCCAAGTTATAGCTGGCCTGCAGCGTCTCCCCCATGTTTCAGTGCAAGGATTGGGGGTTGGGGTGGAATCTGATAATAAATTTTATTCGTTTTCAATTACAACAATTCAATAATAGCCTCATTATAACAATGCCAAATTATAATACAGTTCCTATTGCAAATCATTCAAATACCAAATTATATAATTTAGGTGCCCCCCTGCATGCTAGAATTGATGGTTTGATTTACTTTGTTTCTGCATTCCAAAATCTTATAGATTTCAGTCACGTTTCCTGCTTGGCAGGGGGTTGGACTCGATGGCCCTTGTGGTCTCTTCCAACTCTATGATTCTATGATTCTATGATTCTACGTTCCTGTCATAATAGTAATCCCTTATACTATACAACAGCTGCAATATTTATAACCTCTATTTGTGTTGACAGATAAGACTGCAAGTGACGATCTCTGTCTATGTCATTGTTTTTCCTGTGTGTGACATTTATTCTGTCCATGATGTTTCTTCCCACTCTTATCTGTCAATCCTCTCCCTGCTTTTGCTGCAATCCCTCATGCCTTGAGCGGATCTGATATCCCAATGGTGTTCCGAAAGTTTCTCCCTCACTCCGTCCGGTGCTCTTTGTTTTTGCAACTTTAACAATAGCTGCAAAGGTCCCTCTACCCCAGTCAGTAGCCTGTTTTTCGCCATTCCCCCCGCCCAGCCTCAGAAGAAGAGTGATATTTTATCCTGCCAGTACAGGATGGGGGGAAATCTGACACTTTGAATGTTGCTGGTCTCCCCACTCTCATCTCCCCGGGAATTGTAGTCCTGCAGAACTGGGAGAGCTCCAGGTTTGCCTTCCCTCTTTCAATGCCTTGTGATGCCAAAGTTCAGAGTCTCACGAGCTGCCTTCTCTTCCTGTTAAAAAAGCGCCTTGCCTCTGCTTCCCGAAACATGCCTGAAAGGGTATGTGTGAGCTTATATGCACTTGTCCTGCCCTGTAGCCGCCCTGCTGAAGGTTGGCAAAAATAAATAAATAGGCACTGTGTTTTATATTCCTCACTCAGCTGGTATGATGGGGCCACCCCACTCCAGAGGTTTTTCTCCTGCCTTAGGTTTTGGCTCCCAGGGGCTCATCACAAAATTGTGTATATCAATAAATGTTGAATTGAAAGCAACAGCGTCTCCATGTGGTGAGTTCCTCTTTTTTATAATAATTTTTATTTGATTTTACAGTATAGTCACACTCGGGATGAATACGCTTCAGCTTAAATATTTTCAGGTTGCGCTCCGTGGCGCCCGGAAGTAATGGAGTGCGTTACTTCCAGGTTTTGTCGCTTGCGCAGACGCTCAAAATGACGTCATGTGCATGTGTGGAAGCGGCGAAACGTGACACACGCAGACGCGTCTTATGTTCGCTTCAGGATGCGAATGGGGCTCCGGAACGGATCCCGTTCACATCCAGAGGTACCACCATATAGCAGACGCTCGGGTTGTGAACGTGATCCGTGCAGGAGGCACGTTCACAACCTGCAGTGCCGCATCTGCGCACGCGCAGGTTGTGATTTGGCGCTTCTGCCCATGCGCAAAATGCGATTTAGTGTTTCTGCGCATTTGCGAGCACCAAAACCCGGAAGTAACCCGTTCCGGTACTTCCCGGTTTCAGCACGTCTGTAACCTGAAAACGCGCAGCCTGAAGCGTCTGTAACCAGAGGTATGACTGTAATAAAAAAGTTTCTGGTTTTTGTTTTTTTAAAAAGTTACTTTAAACATTTTTTTCCAGTTCATTATATATCATTTCCCAGAATTCTTTTACAACCTTGCACTTCCACCACATATGGTAAAAGGTGCCTTCTTTCTCTTTACATTTCCAGCAAATATTTGAACTTGTCAACTGTGTGATGAGCCTCTCTGTGCATTCAAGGCTATTCCATGTTCTGTTCTGATCTATTCTGTTCTGTTCTGTTTTGAGCAATGGCCTCAGCAGTTTGAATGCTTCAACAACAAAAATATACCCCACAACCCTGAACGAATGAGATTAGGCAAAATCAACTGTCCACTTTCAATGAACTCATTTACCTACATGATTGCCCACTCGACTGTTTTGAGTGCCACATAATGCCTTTTTCACATTTGTAAGGACTTTATCTTCTTGTGTGGCAGCATCAACACTTTAGAACTTCCTGCCTATTGATACCAGGCAGGAGCCTTTGCTATTCTCTTTTCAGCACCTGCAAAAGCATCTTTGTTTAGACAGGCCTACCCAGGTACACAGGTGGCGTTGTGGTCTAAACCACTGAGCCTCTTCGGCTTGCCGATCAATCAGAAGGTTAGCAGTTCGAATCCCCGGGATGGGGTGAGCTCCCATTTCTCTGTCCCAGCTCCTGCCAACATAGCAGTTTGAAAGCATGCCAGTGCAAGTAGATAAATAGGTACAATTTCCTCCAATATATTCAATAAACTTTTCCCAATCTTCTTTAAATGTACTGTATTTTTCGCTCTATAAGACGCACCAGACCATAAGACACACCTAGTTTTTGGAGGAGGAAAACAAGAAAAAAAATATTCTGAATCTCAGAAGCCAGAACAGCAAGAGGGATCGCTGCGCAGTGAAAGCAGCAATCCCTATTGCTGTTCTGGCTTCTGGGATAGCTGTGCAGCCTGCATTCGCTCCATAAGACGCACACACATTTCCCCTTACTTGTTAGGAGGGGGAAAATGAGTCTTATAGAGCAAAAAATACGGTATGTTCTACTTGTTCTCTTATTCTTTATGTTAAGTCCACAAGCTGTGCATATTCCATCAGCTTAAGTTGCCATTCTTCTTTAGTTGGGACCTTGCTTGTTTTCCATTTTTGGGCTAACAAAACATGGGCTGCCGTAGTGGCATACATAAATAAGCTTTTTTGACACCTGGGAATTTTCAGCTGAATTATCCCCAACAAAAAGGACTCTGATTCCCCCCCCCCCCCCGGGAAACGTACTTTTAAACTTTTTTTTCCAGTTATTATAAATTAGTTCCCAATACTCTTTTACCCTTTTATCCACCACATATGATAGAATGTTCCCTCAGTCTCACTGCACCTCCAGCACTTATCTGATTCAGTCTTATACAGAGGAGCCTCTGAATTTAAAGAATTCCAGGCTGTTAGCAGCCATTGACTCTGATGGTGCAGGGGACGTGAGGGACATTGTGGTTGCACTACTGTATATCTGGAGTTTACACATTCAATGGTTACTACCCACAATGATTCTACCTCCACTGTCAGAGGCATCAGGCTCCAGAATGACAGTTCTTGGGAATCGCAGGTGGCCAGGGTGCTACTACTGAACTTAAAAATGGAAAGCGTAATGCTGGTTGTCAACAAAAACGGTTTAGAGACTATCTCAAGGCAAATCTAAAAAAATGTAGTGTAAACACCAACAATTGGTGTTGTCTGGGATCGCTCCAATTGTAGAACAGCCTTTACCAAAGGTGTCATGGGCTTTGAAGACACTCGAACTCAGAAAGGAAGGGAGAAGAGCAATAGGAGCTCACTTCATTGCGGAGATTCGAACTGCCAATCTTCTCCTCAGCAAGCCCAAGAGGCCTGATGGTTTTAGACCACAGTGCCAACAGCTCCCTTCACTTTGAAGTAAGCCCCATGGACAGAATACACATCCCAAGTTGGGCTTGCTAATCCCAGTCACAGCCACCAGGTGTCATGCTTGATCCACTGGTTAAAAACAACAGCCCAGTTCTGGAAATTAAAATGATGCTGCCCGGTCTGGTTGCATTCAAACTCTAGAGACCTGTACCAGAGTTAGTGGAGGTTTTTTTGGTCTTGATAAAAGGAAATAATGCAATGCATATAATTTATGGAATTCATTGCCAAACAGTGATGACTCAGTTTAGATGGCTGTAAGAAATGCTCCCATTCAATAGGCTGGTCATCAGCCATTAGATATGAGAGCAAAATTAGAGCCTGTGAGCACAGAGTGAGTGTTCCTGGCATGGATGTTTATATATGTATGCTCAGTCCCTGCTCCTGCCAACCTAGCAGTTCAAAAGCACGCAGTGCAAGTAGATAAATTAGTACCGCTCCGGCAGGAAGGTAAACGGCGTTTCCGTGCGCTGCTCTGGTTTGCCAGAAGCGGCTTAGTCATGCTGGCCACATGACCCGGAAGCTGTACGCTGGCTCCCTTGGCCAGTAAAGTGAGATGAGTGCCGCAACCACAGAGTTGTCCGCGTCTGGACTTAACGGCCAGGGGTCCCTTTACCTTTTACCCTCCCTTTAAAAGCAAATTCAGGTGTGTGAGTGCCAATCATTTTGGAAGCCAAATGGGGCCACAATACCAAATATAGCCTGCGTTTGCAACAAGTGTGGCACAGTGTGGACTAGCTGCTCTTATGCCATGCACTTCAATATACAGTGGTACCTCGGGTTACAGACGCTTCAGGTTACAGATGCTTCAGGTTACAGACTCCGCTAACCCAGAAATAGTACCTCAAGTTAAGAACTTTGCTTCAGGATGAGAACAAAAATTGTGTGGTGGCAGCGGGAGGCCCTATTAGCTAAAGTGGTACCTCAGGTTAAGAACAGTTTCAGGTTAAGAACAGCCCTCCAGAACGAATTAAGTTCTTAACCCGAGGTACCATTGTACCTACCCACTTAAATAAGATCAGAAGGTTGGCGGTTCGAATCCCCACAACGGGGTGAGCTCCCATTGCTCTGTCCCAGCTCCTGCCAACCTAGCAATTCGAAAGCATACCAGTGCATGTAGATAAATAGGTACTGTTGCAGCGGGAAGGTAAATGGCGTTTTCATGCACTCTGGTTTCCGTCATGGTGTTCTGTTGCTCCAGGAGTGGTTTAGTCCTGCTGGCCACATGACCTGGAAAGCTGTCTGTGGACAAATGCCAGCTCCCTTAGGCTGAAAGCGAGATGAGCGCCGCAACCCCATAGTCGCCTTTGACTAGACTTAACCATCCAGGGGTCCTTTACCTTACTTAAATAAGATAGCAGTTTCTCTAAATCTGTAGGTTATGCAGAAGTATATATAAATTTGTAATTATTCTTTTTCAAGAACCTTCAGAATGACATGACCAGCTATTGTGCCAAAGGCCCAGTGCTTTTTTTTTTCTTCTTAAAAATGTTTAGGGGTACTCTCATTTGGACTCAAGAAAATCACCATTTTATAGTTTGAATCGGGGAAAATAAATACAGTAAATGCACAAAAGTACAAAGATTCATAAAACGTTCAGGAGTATGCATACCCCTGCGTCCCCCCAGAAAAAAAGCACAGCAAAGGCCCATACTCTTCCTGTGACATCACACCCAGTTGACCTGGCAACCTTCAAAATATCTTTCTCTCTGTTCACACAGAGCAAGGTGTTAGGCCCTCAATGGCTCTGTATCGTTTCTTAATGGCTCTGGTTTGGCTAGGTCGTTTTGCATAGCCTAGCCCAGGAATTCCTTGGCAGCTTGTATGTCCCCTTCATATCCTAATTAATCAAAATCCCACCATTTATTAATTTCTTGGGACTCTCCCCATCCCGCCATTCATAACACAACTGCATCTATCCTGAAATGAACAAGGGTTTTCTATGCCTGCATTTACAACAGCAAGGCCAGTAGGTGGCACTGTGGTATCGCGAGAACCCACCCCAGCTTTCATCTCGTTTCTGATACTCACCAAATCATTTATAGTGGTGCCCTGTGTTCCCCAACCTACAGTTGTCATGCATCTGGAATTTTCCGGACACATACGGAGCATTGCAGTCGGACGCAGTGTCCTGGTGGAAATTGGCAAATTGTCCGGGGAGACGTATGGCAAGCCATGTCGACAGCGTCGTTTTTGCTGATTCTTCTAAAAAAAAAAAAAAAAGCTCAAAATAGCTCAAAACCGGCTTTTTTTTTTTGGCAGTTTTGCAGCTCAACAACTTTGCTCAGAAAAGCTCATACAGTGGTACCTTGGTTCTCGAACTCAATCTGTTCTGGAGAAAAACATTCACAAATGAAGGCACGGCTTCCAATGGGCTGTTTGGTCGCAGGAACAACAATGACATATGAAACAGACATTCAGCTTTCAAAAAACATTCGCAGACCGGAACTTTTTTGTGATGTTGGTATGATGTATCTGAGGGGTGGTCTTAGGTCACACCCCTCTGTGATGTATGTATGATGTTTCTGGGAGGTGGTCTTGATCTAAAGGGTGGCAATTTCAAAAGTCTTTCTAAGGCCTTGCGCACCATTTTTCTGGGTTCCTCTTCCTTTCCTGCGGGTGAGGGGAGCATCCTGTTGCAACAGATCAATAAAGATCAGGCTTACTAGCTGCTTTGCTTCTCAATATTCTCTGGTTGGCCTCTGTTATCTTCTCCTACCAATAGGAAACCTATGTAAGGACTCTATATGGGCTCTTGGATACCCCATAAGGGAAAAGGGCAATTTTTGTTTACAACAGTGGGTTAACGCAGCAATAAATAATAACAGCAGGCACTATGCCCAAGCACTGACATCCTCCCCCCCCCCCCGATCTCTTTTGCAAGGTTATTCCACAGGAAAAATGGATCATAGTTCCTTGAATTTTCGTTCCGCCCAAAGCTTTGCTATAGAATCATGCAGAGGACGATCCGTCCTGGCTTCTCCCCCCCTCCCCATCCCAAGAGGAGTGCCTCAAACCTACCACCGTACAAAGATGGATGTTTGGCAATGGTGCCTAGGAGGTACTGCACACAGTAAAAAAATTAAACTAAAAGAAATTAACCGCCCCAGGCCTCGGGTTGTGTGAGGTCTCAATCCCAGGCGATACAAAGTTAAGGAAAGAGGAATGACATGCCCCTGAGCAAGTGCAGAGTTCATTTCTTTTCCGGCAGAACTACAGAGGGTTCCATCCTCTCTACCCTGGTGCAGCTGGGATTCGCAGGTGAAGGGCTGGAGATCAGACGGTGATGTTTCTAAACACTCTCTCCCCAGAAATTACAGACACCGTGTCTCCCCTTTGCTGGGTGAAAAGGTGGTTCTGTTCAATGAAATGTTGAGAAAGTGAACATCACATAGTGAGGGGTGTTTTTTTTAAAAAAGAGAATAAAAATCTGATTCAGAATAATGGCAAGAGATTTGGAGATTCCCACCCCCCCTGCTTCTGCCCTTTCGTTTTTTTGCTAAATTAAACCTAATCTTGTGTTGACTCTGTGCTACAAAAAGAAATAATGAAGATTAAGATGAGATCTTGTTTGCTCTTGCTCAACAAAAGCCAATTAATTGCCTGGAGTGGATTAGGGGATGCGTGTCTCACCTTAGACAAAAAATGGGATCAGATAAGGGTGACGGCTGGGGAATGGTCCCAGCACAGTTTGAGTGACAACTTGGGAAGATTGACAGACGTTGCAGGAAGGGAGAAGAGAAACTGGCTTGGAGAATCTTGTGGGGAAACTGCGGACGACTCACTGATTCGGAAGCCATCCCAATTGGCTTGTGGTGGTTAGATTGGTCTCAACTAGGGCCAGGGCCTTTTCAGTACTGGCCCCGACTTGGTGGAACGCTCTGTCACAAGAGACTAGGGCCCTACGGGACTTGACATCTTTCTGCAGGGCCTGCAAGACAGAGCTGTTCCGCCTGGCCTTTGGTTTGGACTCAGTCTGACCCTTATGTTTCCCTCCCCTTATGGTTTTGATCCATGATCCCTGTAAGGGACAGAACCTGCAAGCTTGGTGTTATCAGCGCCATGCTCTAACCAACTGAGCTATTCTGTTCAGTGACTAGAACATTTGCTCTCCATCCTCCATCTCTCAATTTTATGGGTGGGGTGGTGAGCCAACCTCTTGAGACCAGGTATCCGTAACCCTCAGAAATTGATGACATTTAGGGAATGCGAGGACAATTTAGCCTCTGTGCTCTGCTTTGTACCTTTCTCATTGGTGCAACATTTAGAAGAAGAAGAATTATATACTGTATGTATTTGTCAACAAAGGCAACCGATCTCCATTTCGCAACCCCACCAGCAACAGACGGAAATGACTTAAAAGAAGAAAGAGGGAAGGGGGTTGGGGGAGCAGCCACGGAAAAGTGATTTTCTGTGCCTGCCTCGCCAAGGGAATTAAATCTTGTTTTCCCCCGTCACCAGCGAGTGGAATAATCCAATATATTACAGTTAATGTGCATCTGGTATTTATTGCTGTGTGGTTGACCTAACAGAGTTTTATTCTTACATTACGGATAAAAACCATTCTGAGAGGCGAGGCTGCAGGCTCCGAGATCAATTATGAGCCTTTGCAACACTGGAAAAATGAATTATTCCTCGTACAAGATGAATATATATATAAATATATAAAACACAGGGCGGAAAACACACACGCCATTTCATGCCACCCCCCAGCTCTTTCTCCCTCCCACTTCTGCACTGCGGATTTGACTGAACCAAGTTTGGGCTCTGAGCAAGATTTTTATTTGGGCAAACTTTTAAGAGTTGACCTGAACCAGCAATTCCCGAACGAGTGGCTAGGAGGACTCAGTGGGGATTTGCGAGTGAGAATTGCTCACCTGGGTTTTGAGGAAGCAGGGACTTAGACTAGACCTGACCCCAAATGCACCCTTCCTTGATTTTTGCACCCTACCCCCATTAGGGAAGGTTTGTAGTTCAGTGGAAGGACACCTGCTTTGCATGCAAAAGGCTGGGAATGTCCCCTGCCTGAAACCCTTGAGAGCCACTGCCTGTCATTGTGGACACTACTGAGATAGATGGACCAATTGACTCTGTATAAGATAGCATCCTTGTCCCTGGATCTTAAGGGAAGGGCTGTAGCTCAGTGGTAGAGCTCCTGCTTTGCATGCAGAAGGTCCCAGGTTCAATCCCATGGTCAGGGCTAGCCCAATACATTTCAGCTCCTGAGGTGAACCACAAATCTGCACAGACGCACACACCCGCAAACAGCAAAGTTTAAAGCAGTCACAGAGTTAAGCAGTAGTATAGCATGGGAATATTGGTTCTTGGACCCCTGTTCACATGTGTGGCGCTGTTGTCTAAACCACTGAGCCTCTTGGGCTTGCTGATCAGAATGTCAGAGGTTTGAATCCTTGTGACAGGGTGAGCTCCCATTGCTCTGTCCCAGCTCCTGCCAGCCTAGCAGTTCGAAAGCACACCAGTGCAAGTAGATAAATAGGTACCACTGTAGTGGGAAGGTAAAAGGTGTTTCCGTGCACTCTGGTTTCCGTCACGGTGTCCTGCTGCACCAGAAGCAGTTTAGTCCTGCTGGCCACATGACCCGGAAAGATGTCTGTGGACAAACACCGGCTCCCGCGGCCTGAAAGCGAGATGAGCACTGCAACCCCATAGTCACCTTTGACTGGACTTAACCGTCCAGGGGTCCTTTACCTTTTTTTACCTTACCCGCTTAATCCGCCTACATTGCTTGACGCTCTCTACCCCTCTGGCAACGAACAGACCACACTCTTAAGTAAGTTTAAAAGTAAGCTTTACTTACAAAATCCAAAGGTCTGATTCATGCATTATTTCATGCAGCAGCAAGGAGAACACTGGTAAAATACTCCTTGGTATGAAATATGGAAAGTTAGCTTTAAGCATGCTGATTGGGGTTCAGTAAAGGACAGTTGTGAGGAAGCCTGAGCAGGTGATTTAATTTTAGATTATTTAGATTTAATTATTTTAGATATTTCTTGATCTACTTGATATAGATACAGTGGTACCTCGGGTTACAGATGCTTCAGGTTACAGACGCTTCAGGTTACAGACTCCGCTAACCCAGAAATAGTACCTCGGGTTAAGAACTTTGCTTCAGGATGAGAACAGAAATTGTGCTCTGGCGGTGTGGCAGCAGCAGGAGGCCCCATTAGCTAAAGTGGTGCTTCAGGTTAAGAACAGTTTCAGGTTAAGAACGGACCTCCGGAACGAATTAAGTACTTAACCTGAGGTACCACTGTATATGCTTGATATTGATGAAGATGATTACCGTATTTTTTGCACCATAACACTCACTTTTTTCCTCCTAGAAAGTAAGGGGAAATGTCTGTGCGTGTTATGGAGGGAATGCCTACGGGTGGCGGGGGGGATCTGCTGCAGTCGTGAGCAGAGGATCCATGGTTCCCCTTCCTTCCCTCCTCCGTGGCTCGCTTTGAAACAGCAAAGCGGGAGAAGAGCCGCTGAGTGGGGAGGAGAGAGGGACAGAGAGCCTGCTTCTTTAAAGGAGCAAAGCGGGAGAGGAGAGGAGCCGCTTACACAAGTGTAAGCAGCTCCTGTCCGGTTGGTTCCTTTAAAGCAAGCAGGCTCTCTGTCCCTCTCTCCTCCCCACTCAGCTCACTACATAGCAGCAAAGTTTTTCAGCTCGCTAAACTGTGGATGAGCGGGGAGGAGGAAGAAAAGCAGAGCCTGCTTGTTTTAAAGGAGCAAACTGGGAGAGGAGAGGAGCCTTCTCCCCTTATACCCCTCTTCTTCATTATTAGCAGCATCCTTCTCCACCCACCCCACACGTGCTCCTTGTCCCTTGAGTGCTTTTCCTTCCCTCCCCACTTAAAATGTGGTAACAAAGCACGGATCCACATGGATCCTCGGGGTTTTTGCACTGGGTCACCCCAAGTTCACCATCAGATCACATAGCATGTCCATGGCTACATCTTGCACCAAAAAAATCACGCACCCACTGTTGCCTGGGGCCGCAGTGGTGCAAAAATGTGGTTACAAAGCATGGATCCACATGGATCCTCAGGATTTTTGCATTGGGCTACTCCAAACTCACTGTCAGATCACATGACTGTGGCCACAGCATGAACCACAAAAATCATACATCCATTGTTTTGTTTAGAATATTTTTTTTCTTGTTTTCCTCCTCTAAAAACTATGTGCGTGTTATGGTCGGGTGCATGCTATAGAGCGAAAAATACGGTATATTCTGCTCATTGCAACGAAACAAAACAAATCGCATGGCTGCCATTCCTCCCCCTGTCCTCTGCCCAAATCCTGCCCCCATTTGCTGGAATAAAACAGCCTTCCAAGCTGCTCAGTTGCAAGGAGACCATCTCTCTCTCTGCCCCTCCAACTTTCCAGTAGAAGCAATGACCTTCCGGAAAACTCCCAAGGCAGCCCGGAGAACCAGATGGCACTGCAGGCCTCAGAATTTTGCCAATCAACAATGTACAGACCTCATCCTTTTCTGGCATGTGTTGGGGAGGGCAAGGGCCTGACTCGGGTCCCCATCAAAAAACCAATGAATCATAAACCTTCTGCAAGGGAATGGAGTCAGGCAGGGAGGAGGGGGGAGCGGACAGCTGGTGGCTAAAGGCAGCTCACCCATACATGTCCGGAGAATGTCGACGATGCCCCCGCCCGTCCTTTGAGCACCTGTTCTGACTTTTCTTTTTGCAGAGATTTGCTCAAAGATGCTTAAATGCACACCTTTCCCAGAAAGATTCACAGCATTTAGCGCCTGCTGCTCGGATCAGAGGGCAACAAGGCACAGAATAAGGAAGGTTGCAGCCGCCGCCACCCCCCCCCCAGTTCTTTTTCACGGTCTCCCCTGCCCCAACTCCAACCCTTCCTGAGCAGCAGGGTGATCTGCCACCTAGCAAGGCCAGTTTCCTTTTGAAGCTGAAGTCGCTGAGTTTGCAAGGACTGGTTGCTTCTCACACACAGGCTGAGAAGGTGTTGTAAACAAAATCTGCTCTTTTTCCCTTATGGGGTATCCAAGAGCCCGTATAGAGTCCTTACGTGGGTTCCCTATTGGTAGGAGAAAATAACAGAGGCCAACCAGAGAATATTGAGAAGCAAAGCAGCTAGTAAGACTGATCTTTATTAAAGCTGTTGCAACAGGGGGCTCCCTTCACACAAAGGAGGACGGAGGAGGACCCAGAACCAAGGTGTGCCCACCCTTATGTAGACATTTTAAATTGCCTTTCCTGGAGCTCAAGACCACCCCTCCATACATCATACATACATCACAGAAGGGGAGTAACCCAAGACCACCCCCCACAAACATCAAAACTACATCACAGAAAAGGCGGTCTACGACAGAAATTTGAATGTTGTTGTTTTTCCTGACTGCCAGGTTATCTGATAATGCCTTATCTGATTGCCTTTCCTGGTAGTCTGGCCATTCCTTTGAAATGGTGATTACTAAATTCCTGCAACAAGGAAGGTTTTTTCCACCTCCTCCCTCCTTGCAGAGAAACATTTGGTCAGCTTGGGAGTCAAAATGGTTTCAGGATGGTCTTCCTGTGCTGATGTATGTATGTGCTTGGTTGGTACATTTATGAACATTTATTAAATATATAAGACCTTAAATTTTATTATTACAAAGGCGTTTGCGATGAGCCTCATTCACCCGCCTTACTCTGAGCAAAGCAATATCCCATGAACTTCTGCCCTATCTGGGCCATAAAAATATAAAGCTTCCTTCTAGGCTGCCTCTGGGGTTCCAGTCCTGTCTGGAGATGCTAGGAGGAATGAAAATGGGATCATGTTACAGCGCTGTACCGTGATGCTTTGGCCCGTCCCCTAAAATGAATATGAGATCCCTGCTTCAATAGGGGAACAGGGCAAAGTCCTCTAAGAGGAATGGGATGCCATCATGTCAGAGGCAACCAGCTCCACAGGCTGGTCTTGTGGGTGGCGGAGGGCTCTCCTCCATTGATGGGTTTTAAGCAGAGATTGGATGACCATCTGCCAGGGACAGGACCGGATTTAGGTTTGGTGAGGCCCTAAGCTACTGAAGCTAATGGGGCCCTTTATATGTCCAGCTGTCCTTTGTCAACAACAAATTGTCGCTGTTTTTTTGTGTTGAATATATGCTATATGGTAATTGATGGACCTAATAGGTATCTAAAGCCATTTGCACATAACAAATAGGAGCCCACACAACACGAAACACTGTTGCTGTATGAAGGTTTTACTTTATTTGTTTTTTTATCTTATATTTTGGAAATGTACATCCAGTCTCTTTTTCTTTAGTTTTTTCACCCCCACCGCAAGAGAGTGGGGCCCTAAGCTATAGCTTGTTTAGCTTATACGTAAATCCGGCACTGGCCAGGGATTATTTAGCTGCGATTCAGGCATTGCAGGGGGTTGGCTTAGATGACCCTTGGGGGCCCCTTCCAACTCTATGTTTCTATGATTCTGTCTACAGCAGGAGGCGGTCTACAGCAGAAATCCTGTCTGCCAGGATACCTGATAGTGGTCACTGTTTGCATTACCTGGGCAGCCTGCCCATTCTTTTGTGATGGTTAATACTTTAGTTCCTGAACCAAGGGCACAGGCTCGCCCTATTCATACAAATGTGCCCTTAAGACAGGATTTGCAAGCAAAAAGGCAATGGGAAGTCTTTCCCCATTTGCCTCCCTTACTGCAGAGGAATATTTGAGGTCATTGGGTCAGTCAAAATGGCTCCAGGTTTGCTCTCCCTTACTATTTCAGACACATGGTTCATATATTTAGATATGTGCGCATTTATGAATATTTATTCTATATTTGACACCTTGAAATTCTTATAACACTGTGAATTGCCTTTGGGCTCTGCCCTGCTTGCAATCCCCTTTCTGCCTCTGGCAATGTCAGGGATGGAACCAGGGACCTCGCTCCTGAAGAGGGAGAATCTGTTCCCAGGATCCTGTCCACATCCCAGCCCTGGAAGATTATAGGAGCAGCCTCGTCACCGTCTTGAGTCCCCCTTTCTCTTAAATTCATGCTCTGCAGTCAAATAAACTCCCCCCCCCCAAACCTCGTGCATGCGACTGTGCCCTCTCCTCCCGCGCTGAAAAAGAAAATCAGCATTAAATGGCAGGGGTCTGCCAGAAGGCTCCTCCAGAGCGCATCCGCTTTCTGGCGCCTGCCTCAGACATCGATTCCCTCTTAACCTGCCTCCCTTGGCACTGGGATCAAGTGCCACCGTGTCTCCGGTTCCTGCCTGCGCTTTGGAAGGAAGGGTTAAGGGGGGCGCCCGCCTCTAATGATGCTTAGAGCAATCGATTGTGTTCTACCTGTTTAATTATGGAGATTGGGGCTTAAAAGCTTACTCAGGCCACGGAAGGGAGCTTTGGAGAACAGGGAATTGGATAACAAGTGAATTGCTTGGCAGGAAACGAAGGTCTCTGTGTGTGTGTGTGTGTGTGTGTGTGTGTGTGTGTGTGTGAACCCGGTCTGCAATCAGTTCGAATCTAAAAAAGAAAGAGGTTCCAAAACCCCAATCGCCCAGAAGCCGACCTTCTGAAAGAAGTCTGTAACTTTATCCATGGCACAGAGAAAGCGGAGGAAGAAAAGTCCCCCCCCCCCCCGCCGACCCGCCTCTGAAAACACTAGTAGCTCATGGACATCCAATGAATGAATAATTAAAAAAATTAAAAAATAAATTTTTAATTTTTTTTTAAATTTTTTAGATTTTTAAAATTATTTCGACTGCATCAGACCAACACAGCTACCTACCTGAATCTAGATCCAATGAATGAGTGTAGGAAGATTCAGGAAAGAGAAAATGAAATCCTTCTTTGCGCAATGCATTGTTAAACTACGGAACTCACTGCCACAGGAGGCAGTGACAGCCACCAACTTGAACTAGGTGGGTTTAAAAGAGGATTCGGCAAATCCACGGAGGACAAGGGATTCATTGGTTATTAGGCACAATGGTCATACCAATTATAGGAATCTGTATGGAAACTAAGAGAGGATATGTTTCTTAAATGTTATCCTTCCTTCCTTACGTTTGTGAGTTCAGCAGAGTACATCCCTTTGTCAGCAAAAAAGAAAGAAGATAACTTTAGCCTTTTAATTTAAGTAATCCAGGATGGAGACTGGATTTCCTGTTATTTCCCCCTCTTCTCTCCTTTAAAACAATAAGCACGCAAAATGATCTTCTTATAAGATAGATTTACTCTCTATTTCACACCAGCAGTCTAGAGGCAGACTTATATTGTAGTTACAGACATATATTACATTTTAGAATGGGAATCTGAGCTGTGACTCAGACTCAGCATATGTCCTATGTCCCTAGTCACTGGTGGAGCTTTTTAAAAGACAAAGCCTTATTATTTATTTATTTATTTATTTATACCCCACCCATCTGGCTGAGCTTCCCCAGCCACTCTGGGCGGCTTCCAACAAAATATTAAAATACAGTAATGCATCAAACATTAAAAGCTTCCCTAAGAGTTGTTGAACTTTTTCTTTCTTTCTTTCCAAAAATGCCATTTTTCAACTGACTTCTCTAACATTCAGGACAAAGTGCCGCCTTTCAGAAATTCTCCCTGGATGTCAATCCCACCTTTGAAATCCCAACAATGTCTGGGAAAATGCGAAAACATGACCCTAGAGAACTAGCAGGAGGCTGGACACAGGGGGAGTAGCTCTCACAGAAAGGATTTCCTGTAGATCCTGGGAGATCCAACTTAATAATAATAATAAATTATTTATATCCCGCCCTCCCCAGCCAAAGCTGGGCTCAGAGCAGCTAACAACAGTAAAATAATACAGCATTCTAAAATCAATTCATTCTAAAATCAGTTCAAATCAAATTAATGGCAAATAACTTTCTCTCTGTGTGTGCTTTTCTAGCAATCAGAAGTAGTTGAATTTGATTGCTTTATTTCAGATATCCCACAACAATTTCTGGAAACCCCAGGAGGGGAGAGAGCTCTTGTGCTCAGATCCTGCTGTGGCCACAGGATGATGCCCTAGATGGGCCACTGGCCTGATCCAGCAGAGGTCTTCTAATGCTCCCAGGAGCCATATTCTCTGACCTGTCTCAATGCTGTGAGTCTACAGATGCTGCCTCAAGTCCTGGAAGCAGCGAGAAGCATGCTGTGTGTCTATGCGCAACAACATATTGAAATACTGCAGCCGAGGCCAGATCACCAGAACACTTGAGCATTCATGCACAGTGCTGTCGGAAGGCGTTGCTGCTACATTTGGGGTGGCCAATGCGGTATTCTGAGCACACATGCGCATGCGCGGTAGCATATGGAAATGTGGCCAGGAAGTCTGGGGCGACCACAGAGCTTCTATGCGCACATGCGCGGTATCATAAGAAGATGTAATTGCTAGGGTCAGAGCATTCCAAGCATGAGGGTGCATGTGAGGCTTTGTGTAGAAATATGGCGCCTGGGTCTCAGGCACCAACAGAGAACCTGCACATGCATGCACAGCACCACAATAAACTATATTGGTTAGAACAGAGACACTTTGTCAGGAGTCCAGTTCCCAACTTGATAACACAGTGAGCGTAGTTAATTAAAAAGGATGCTTTATTGTCAAAACAAACAGATAGCTCTGGACGGCTTTAATACAACCTGCACCACCATCAGTCAAGATGACCCTTCTGAAGACTGCTTCCTGCGTGACCAGAAGCAACTGAACTTTCGCTTCATACGTCTTTTGTTTTGCTTCCTGTCTTGCAGCCCTCCCATTCATCGAGACCTTGGAAAGGTCAGCTCCCTCCTCTTCCCCATTCTCTGAGAGGCTGTCTCTTAACTCTTTCATGTCTGTTTGTGCTTCCAGCGAGCTTTGCCTGCGTTCTAACTTGATCTCAGCCACTCCCTGATCAGCCCGCATTCCAAGGTGTGATGGCCTGGGATTCGGACTCGGATGCTGAACCTGAGGGGTCCCGGCCTGCACAGAATTCTCCGCCTCCAGAACCAGCTGAGCCGGGGCTGGGGCATGAGCCCGAAGGGTCCTCACCTGTGCTGGATCCTCATGTGCAGATACCAGCTGAGTCTGCTCTGGCTCCTGAGGTGATGGAGGACCCATTGCCTGCAGGTGCTCCACTCTCAGCCCCGTCAGAAGAAGCTGAGGTTGCCTCTGGGCCCGGTAACCCTCCAGCCTCTCCTGAGCTGCAGAGGCTCAGGGCAGAGAGGTGGAGGGAACTAAGTTCCTGCAGGAGGAGTGCTCACCTCCAGGCCAGGAGAGGCGAGTCACCAGAGGATCGGGGCCGCCCTATGCCTCGGGGCAGATAAAAGCTGGCCAGCCCCAGTCCCAAGTTGTGGAAGCAACATTGTTGGTTGCTAGTTCCTGCCTGAACCCTGTCCTGCTTTCCTGCTTGAGCTCCAGACCTGCCCTGGCTCCCTGCTTGCATGTCTGTTCCTGACTTCACCTGACTCCCTGCCCTGCACCCAGCTTCAGCTACTACGGACTGCCTCCACGTTGCGCCTTTGACCACGGACTGGACTTGGTCCTCACCTCTCAGGTAACCCACGGGACCAGCACACAAGGGGTAGGGGAGTTGGCACTATCTGATGCTCATCCTGAAGGGCAGTTAACCCTCTCTGTTCCTGGCTGCTTTCTTCATTTGGCAGCAACTCTTCCCTGGGAGCTGGCTGCAAACCTTCCCTGGGAGCTGGCTCATTCCTGACACCCTTGCAGCCAATGGCATATTCTGAGGGTGGCATGCATGCACAGCAGTCAAAGGAACGGCCCTCCTCCATGTCATCAGATACCCCAAGTGCTGGGTCGCCACCAGTGGAGGTGAGGCACATGCCTGCCCTAATTGTGTTTCATAAGATTTCGCTGTGCTGAGCTTTCTTACCTGGCACAGACACGGAATGAGAAGCAGCTCCAGCGATTGCTTTGCAGTCCAGGAATGACAGCAGGAGATGACAGCAATCTCTCCAGAGCTGCATGTGAGGCGACGACGCCCACACCTGCCTGGTACATGCGTGGGCGCCGGAGCCGAGTTGCTGAATGAGAAAGGAGGAGGCTGGGGGAGGAGGGAGGCATCGAGTGCTGTTACTGCCACCCCTGCGCCACCAGGCGAGCTAGTTTATTCCTGAAGCATGAGATTCAATTACCTTTATTGTTATCTTGGCTTACGTAGCGGGGTAAAGTTATTAGCCACGACAAAATTATCTGGTTCTGTGCTTGTTGTTTTCTTTCTTTCTTTCTTTCTTTCTTTCTTTCTTTCTTTCTTTCTTTCCTTTCACGCTGGAAAGATAGTGCACTGGGGCAGCCAGGCATGGATGCAAACGGAAGCTCGGGACGGCTGGGCGGATGTACATGGATGTTCACGCCATTGAGAGCAGAGAGTCAGAGAGTTGGAAGGGACTGTGAGGGCCATCGAGTCCAACCCCAGCAATGCAGGACTCTTCTGCCCATGTTGGACTCGAACCCACAACTCCAAGATTAAGAGTCTCATGCTTTTCTGACTGGGCTATCCCAGAGACAGACAGAAGAGTGTGCAAATGCCCTCATTTCCTTACCACACACCTCTCCTGATGGGGCAGAACTTCCTCACCTGCCAGTATTCCTTACATTCCTTATCTGATATCTGGGCTATGTGAGATCAGCTTTGCTTATGAGTACATTTTAAAAAATGTAGCATAAGCACCAACAATTGGGAAACACTTGCTTGCGAGCGCTCCAATTGGAGAACAGCCTTTACCAAAGGTGTATTGGTCTTTGAAGACACTCGAACTCAGGACGCAAGGGAGAAACATGTTAAGAGGAAGGCACATTTGGCAAACCCTCACCATGATCAGCTCCCGCCCGGAAACCTACATCCCCACTGTGGAAAGATGTGTGGATCCAGAATGGGCCTCCACAGTCACTTATGGACTAATTATTAAAACTGTGTTTATGGAAGACAATCTTACTCGGCTATGAGTGAAGAAGGATGTCAGATCCTCTTTTAAAGCCATCTGAGTCGGTGACTATCTCTGCCTCTTGTGGAAGTGAGTTCCACAGTTTAACTATTGTGTTGCGTGAAGCCCCAGGATCAGGGCCTTGGGAGCCAGGGTATGGCAAGAGCAAGGGAGAGAGTGAGCAAGCAAAAGGCAGTCAGTGGGAATTATTAATTGCCAGAGAGCAGAGCGCTACATGCTCCATTTCAAGCGTTCTCTTGTCTGTTTTGAAACTGTGAAATGAGGTGAAGCAATCAAGAAGGGGCTTTTAATAACCATCCCCGGCTCTGACATTTAAATTACAGATGGCATTTTCAATTAAACGGGCACTCTCGGCAGGTTTAATTTAGCTATCAGTTCTGCTCTAGGTCTCGAAATTCATGTAAAAAATAATAATGCAGGGAGGGGGGGTAGAATGAGCTCACAGATGAGCAACGACGACAGAACAGGTGCCTTCTCAAAGGAGGGAGCGGGGGGCTCCCGAGTGTAAGCAAATGTCTGGACAGGGGACTCATTCTGAGATCGGACCAGAAACTGGGACAGCTTCTGTAGATCTGGGACTGTCCCTGGAAAATAGGGACACTTGGAGGGTCTGAAATGCCCTGGACCAACAGCAGTTGGCTTGACAGCTACGGCCATTCCTGAACCAGGGAAGCCACGGCAGTTCATGCATTGCTTACTTCAAGACTAGATGGCTGCAATGCGCTCTACGCATGGCTCCCCTCGTACTTGCTCCAGAAGCTGCTGTTCGTGCAGAGTGCTGCAGCACCATCGCTGACAGGAGCGGGGCCTTATCAGCATACGATGTTTGTGCTTAGAGAACTGCACTGCTTGCCAATTTGGTACAGGGTCAAGTTCAAGGTCTTACTCTCAGATCATAAAGCCCTTAACAGCTGGCCTATGAGATCGCCTTACCCCCCAAAAGCAACTCCACCTACACTTCGGAACTCCCTGCCTATTGATATCAGGCATGCCCCTTCTCTGTATAGTGAAATTGATCCGTGCGGGATGCATGTTCGCAACCCGCCGCATTCGCAACCCGTGTCTGCGCATGCGTGGGTTGCGATTCGGTGCTTCTGTGCATGCGCAAAGCGTGATCTAGTGCTTCTGCACATGCACGACCACCGAAACCTGGAAGTAACCCGTTCCGGTACTTCCAGGTTTTGCCGGTCTGTAACCCAAAAAAAGGCAACCTGAAGTGGCTGTAACCTGACTGTACTCTTTTTGGTGCCTGCTACAAACATTATTATTTAGACTAGTCTATCCACGTGGGTGGTGCTGCGGTCTAAACCACTGAGCCTAGGGCTTGCCGATCAGAAGGTCGATGGTTCGAATCCTCGCGATGGGGTGAGCTCCTGTTGTTCGGTCCCAGCTTCTGCCAACCTAGCAGTTCAAAAGCACATCACATTTCCATATGCTGCTCTGGTTCACCAGAAGCAGCTTAGTCCTGCTGGCCACATGACCCAGAAGCTGTCTGTGGACAAACGCCAGCTCTCTTGGCCTATAGAGCGAGATGAGCGCCGCAACCCCAGAGTCGTCCGCAACTGGAGCTAATGGTCAGGGGTACCTTTACCTTTATCCAGGTGTTTAGAAAGTTGATACGCAGCTCAGTCTGTCCTCAGCTACCTTCCAGGGGTGTCAATCCAAATAAAATATTGGAGAGGCCGAGGTAAGTCCTGCCCCGCAGAATCGAACATATGACACAGTGCACACACCCCATTTGTATAGTAATTCCCATCAATATTTTTTTTGGGGGGACCTCAAATATTTTATTGTGGGGGCTGAAGATGCCTCGACCCCTAGGAGTTGGCTCCTATGTTACCTACCTAGAGTGCCATTAATAATAATAAAAATATTAAGCTAGCAGAGAATGCAACTTGCAAGCTTCAGCCCAGCAGAAGCTGATTGCAAATGATAGAATGGATCTGTCTATGCTCCTCTCCCCCTTTTTAAATCCATTTTTATTAATTTGTAACATATTAATTAACATTCATACAACAGAACCTCTCATCTTATACAATATTTTTTGGACTTCCGTCAACACCTCTGATGATTTTCCGTACTTATCACTTATTATGCATTTCTTAATTTCATATTACTTTTAAATATCTTTAACTAACAATTATCTATGCTCCTCTCCCAATTTACCTCCATCTCCAGGATCCACCCCCTGTGATATCACTAGCGGCCACCCCTAGGCCTCAGGTTTGGCCCCCGAAATCTCAATATCCGGGGTTGGACTTGGAAACCCTATAAAGCAGGGGTTGGGGAACCCCAGGCTCACAGACTGAATGCAGTCTGTCTTTGGTTCTGGCGCCACCTACTGTTGACCTCCTTGCCTTTTGCCCTACCAGTCTCCATGGTCGACAAGCCACCGCTGTAAGCCACAGCTGCTAAACCAGCTCTTCCTCTGCTGAGCTGATTTGGCAGGTTTCTCCCTGAGAAGGTGGTGGGAGGGAAAAGCAAATTTCGTTGGCGTGCACGGGGTCGGCAAACAGCAGCTCCCCGTTAGATGACATCATTGTCGCTGCTGCAAAATAAGTGGCAGCCCTTGCTCACAGCCTCGATTTACGCCCAGGCTCCTTTCCACTCTGCCGACACCAGCTGCCGAGAACATCACGTCCGCTGAGCTGAGAACAGTGTGTGAGAGAGAGTGGGAGATGGGGAAATATTGGCTGTAATTAGATCGGCATCGTTTTGAGGAGGTCATCCCAGACAGAAAGCGCTTGGCTCATTAGAGGCAACAGTGTTATTGACATTCTGATCAATTTGCATAGCTTAGGCGCAATTAGGTGAAAACAGCACCGGTTTCTGCTTGCCAGCGATTCAGGCTGTCAGCGTCTCCTTATCTGACACGGATCCTCTGCCTGACACGATGCTACTTGCAGTGTAGCGACACAGGGCTTGGCGACTTGTGGTCCCTCTACTTCAGTATCGTCCACACTGACTGGCAGCAGCTCTCTGGGGTTTCAATTTTCCCAGCCTACCTGGAGATGCTGAGCACTGGCCTTAGAATCATAAGTTTGGAAGGGGTTCCGAGGGTCCAGGCGCCTTCTGTGTGCAATGTCACTGAGTTACGGCTCTTCCCTTAAGACACAGAAACACAGAAGGCTGCCTTCTGCTGAGTCAGGCCAGTGACTCATCTAGCTCAGTATTGCTGACACTGACTGACAGTGGCTCTCCAGGCTTTCAGGCAGGGAACAAATAAATAAACAGAGCAGATCAGCCTAATCCCCTCTGTGAACAACGTCTCTATTTATTTATTTTAAGGGGGTGGGAAGCTGTAGCGTGTAAGATAGAGAAAGAGATCAACATTCTGCTTCGGTTGTGGTTAGGAAAGGCACAAGTCAGCCGACCTTCTTGGCTGATTTCAATTTTATCCCCCTTAAAATCCATAATGTAAGGAGATAAAAAGGGAAATAATTAGAAAATTAGCAAATGCATCTGGAGAGAAGAAAGAAAGGGCCCCGGGGCAATTAATCCCATCCCTCAGCTAGCTCCATTAAAGTTCACTGTAATTAGATTGTAAACTACCGCGGTTTACATTAATGTAAAAGAGAAAAGACCAAATTGAATTATAGGACTAGAAGCCGGCTCGTGTTGGGGGAGGAAGGAAAGGGAAAAAGGAAAGACTGTAATTAAAACCAGTGATAAGTTGAACGGAACCCTCTTCTAATCATGCCCACAAGCACCTCGTTCCTGCCACAGCTCCTGGAAGTGGTGCTGTTCATTTTGCATGAGAACATGAGCGCCCTGCTAGGTTAAACCAAAGTTCTGTCTAGTGGCATCAACGCATGCCATTGTTTCAGAGCTAAATTGTAGGGTGGGAGGGCAGAGTCAAGGGGAGGAAGCTGCAGGCTGGGTGAGCCTGCAGCCACTTCACCTCCTGCCCCCATATGTAGCCCCAAACACCTCCTTTCCTTCAGTGCCTCAGAGACATCACCTTGCCAACAAAGGTCCGTATAGTTAAAGCTATGGTTTTCCCAGTATAGAAGTGAGAGCTGGACCATAAAGAAGGCTGATCGCCGAAGAATTGATGTTTTTGAATTCTGGTGCTGGAGGAGACTCTTGAGAGTCCCATGGACTGCAAGAAGATTAAACCTATCCATTCTTAAGGAAATCAGCCCTGAGTGCTCACTGGAAGGACAGATCGTGAAGCTGAGGCTCCAATACTTTGGCCACCTCATGAGAAGAGAAGACTCCCTGGAAAAGGCCCTGATGTTGGAAAAGATGGAGGGCACAAGGAGAAGGGGACGACAGAGGACGAGATGGTTGGATAGTGTTCTTGAAGCTACCAGCATGAGTTTGACCAAACTGCAGGAGGCAGTGGGAGACAGGAGTGCCTGGCGTGCTCTGGTCCATGGGGTCAGAAGAGTCGGACATGACTAAATGTCTAAACAACAACAACATGTGGAAGCTCTGAGCCTCCAGGTTCTTTTGGACCACAGCTCCCATCGGCAACCAAGACATCATCTTCACCATTAATGCAGAGTTTCCAAGTGTCCCTATTTTCCAGATTTACAGAAGCCATCCTGGTTTCAGATTGATCCTAGAATGTCCCACTTTTCTTTAGGACATCCCAATTTTCATCAGAGGGATGTTGGATGGTATGGGCTATGCGACCCCTGAGCCAGGAGATAAGTAACTATACAACCTTTAGAATGCATGTTACGGGCAGCCCTGTAAGGTTTTTGTAAATGTTTTATTAGGTTCTTATATACAGTGGTAAAAGGGACGCGGGTGGCACTGTGGGTTAAACCACTGAGCCTAGGACTTGCCAATCAGAAGGTCGGTGGTTCGAATCCCCACGACGGGGTGAGCTCCCATTGCTCGGTCCCTCCTCCTGCCAACCTAGCAGTTTGAAAGCACGTCAAAGTGCAAGTAGATAAATAGGTACCGCTCTGGCGGGAAGGTAAACTGCGTTTCCGTGCACTGCTCTGGTTCGCCAGAAGCGGCTTAGTCATGCTGGCCACATGACTCGGAAGCTGTACACCGGCTCCCTCGGCCAATACAGTGAGATGAGCGCCACAACCCCAGAGTCAGTCACGATTGGACCTAATGGTCAGGGGCCCCTTTAGCTTTATATAGTGGTACCTTAGGTTAAGTACTTAATTCGTTCTGGAGGTCTGTTCTTAATCTGAACCTGTTCTTAACCTGAAGCACCACTTTAGCTAATGGGGCCTCCCGCTGCCGCTGTCCTGCCAGAGCACAATTTCTGTTCTCATCCTGAAGCAAAGTTCTTAACCCGAGGTACTATTTCTGGGTTAGAGGAGTCTGTAACCTGAAGCATCTGTAACTTGAAGCGTATGTAACCCAAGGTACCACTGTACGTTGGAAGCCACCCAGAGTGTCTGGGGGGCCACCCAGTCAGATGGATGGAGTATAAATTATTAAACCATTCTGATATGGAATAAGATGTCCCTATTTTCATCAGAGAAATGTTGGAGGTTATGTTAAGGTGGACATGATCCTTTTGTCCCTCTCTTCTAACTCCAGGACACCCAATGAAGGTGACTGTTTTGTTCGATGATTCAGGGCAGATGAAAGAAAGTCCTTCTTCACAATGCACAGAGTTAAACTGGAACTCCCTCCCACAGGAGATGGTGATGGCCACCAACTTGGATGGCTTTAAAGGGACTGGGCAAATTCATGGAGGAGAATCAAGCTACTGATGGCTGATTCTGTGGCTGGAAGCAGTAGTCCTTCTGAATACCCGTTGTTGGAAACCTCAGGTGGGGAGAAGGCTCTTGTGCTCTGGTCCTGCTTGTGAGCTTCCCATTGAGGCATCTGATTGGCCACTGTGAGATGAGAATGATGGACTAGATGGGCTATTGGACTACTGCAATGCACTCTACGTGGGGCTACCTTTGAAGATGACCCAGAAACTGCAATTAATCCAGAATGCGGCAGCTAGACTGGCGACTGGGAGTGGCCGCTGGGACCACATGACACCGGTCCTGAAAGATCTTCATTGGCTCCCAGTACGTTTCCGAGCACAATTCAAAGTGTTGGTGCTGACCTTTAAAGCCCTAAACGACCTCAGTCCTGTATACCTGAAGGAGCGTCTCCACCCCCATCATCCAGCTCGGACACTGAGATCCAGTACCGATGGCCTTCTGGCAGTTCCCTTGCTGCGAGAAGTGAGGTTACAAGGAACCAGGCAGAGGGCCTTCTCGGTAGTGGCACCTGCCCTGTGGAACGCTATCCCAGCAGATGTCAAGGCAATAAACAACTATTTTACTTTTAAAAGACACCTGAAGGCGGCCCTATTTAGGGAAGTTTTTAATGTCTGATGCTGTATTGTTTCTGATATTTGGTTGGAAGCCTCCCACAGTGGCTGGGGAGACCCAGTCAGATGGGCGGGGTATTAATAATAATAATAATAATAATAATAATAATAATAATAATCCAGCAGAACCTTTCTTACATTCATACCAGTTCAATCAGAAAGCTGCCAGATTCTCATGATAAGCGAGAAGGAGAAAAATCTGCAGCCGTTCTCTCCGCAGTATTCATAATTTTATTAACCTTTCCTCGTGCCTTCTCTGCCTTGCTTCTAACAAGCTAAAGAACTGTCATCAAGCTCTCTCTCTGCTTGTATCTAAACATGTATAAATTGATGGATTCATTATGCTTCATTTGGTATATAGGTTTTTTTCTTCTTCTTTTAGGCATAACTAAAAATATAAAATAAACCCAGCAACCCTGAATGTGTTATAAATATGCATCTCCTCTAATAGTGGGGGAGAAAACAGTTTTGAAAAGCTCCATAATGATGAATTTAATGAGCTGTTCCTTAATTGCCCCAAAGAAAAAGAAGAAGGAGGGGTGCATGAATGAATCGCGGGGATGATGAGATAATTACACCCAAACCATGAACTTCTTTTGGGTTGCTGGGAAATAAGGAACAGGAGCTGTGGAGGGAAGGGTGGAATTAATCTAGGTTGTGTGTTTTTTTCAAAAAAATTTTTTTGAAGTATCACAAAATGAACAGTAAGCTAATGAGGACAAGGAAAGAAGTTTAGCTGCTACCAGACTCTGATGCTCATAGAAGAGGCCTGTCAGCTTTCACTAAGGTATTATTTCCACCAAAATAACTTCTTCCCCAAACCAGAGACCCAGCCAATTAGTCCCCTTAATTAATCAGCTGCCTCAAAACAGCTGCATGCTTCCATAGCTGGTCTCCATCAAAAACACATTCTCCATGCAAACCAGGAAGTGACCTCTCTGGACAACTGAAGGACTCGTCTTTTCTTATATCTGTGGCTATGGTCTCCTGGGTGACACAGACACCATTAGGCAGTTGAATGTGCATGTGTACTCCATCCATTTCCCTCCCTCCCACCCCTACTCCACATGGCCCTGGGCCTGGCAACCCACTCTACGTCACTGCCCACCTCACTTGTATGGTTTCTCCCCTTCACTCCTCTTCCAGCTTGAGGCTGAAGGGATCAAGTTGTATGGAGGAACTGTCACCTTGACTATGGAGGTAGCAAGAAGATCAAACCAATCCATTCTGAAGAAAATCAGCCCTGAGTGCTCACTGGAAGGACAGATCCTGAAGCTGAGGCTCCAATACTTTGGCCACCTCATGAGAAGAGAAGACTCCCTGGAAAAGACCCTGATGTTGGGAAAGATTGAGGGCACAAGGAGAAGGGGACGACAGAGGACGAGATGATTGGACAGTGTTCTTGAAGCTACCAGCATTAGTTTGACCAAACTGCAGGAGGCAGTGGAATACAGGAGTGCCTGGCGTGCTCTGGTCCATGGGGTCACGAAGAGTCAGACACAACTAAACGACTAAACAACAACAACATGTCCTGGAAGCCAACTTGGCCAGACTCCTTGATGGGGTCACAAAATAGCTCTCACTAGAAAGTCAAGCATATTCTCAATCTCTTGTATGGGACAGCCCAAGACATCTTGGCACCTAAGGCAAACCACAAAATGGCACACCCCCCCTCCCTGCCTGGGAAGGAGGGGTGAGTGAAGATCTACATAATGAATCATACCACCTGAGGCAGTTACCTCACCTTGCCTCATGCATGGGCCGGCCCTGCTCTTGGAGGCCAACTCAGCCAATCTTCTTGATGGAATAAAGACATAATCCTCTCTAGGAAGTCATAGAATTGTAGAGTTGGAAGGTGACTTTCAGATCATCTAGTCCAACTCCCTGCAATGCAAGAATATGCAGTTGTCCCATATGGGGATTGAACCTGCAACCTTAGCGATATCAGCACCACGCTCTAACCAACCGAGCTATCCAGTCAAACATCTCTGTTTCCGGGAGGCCAATTCAGCAAGTCTGCTTCTTGAGCAGGTTGCTGGACTAGATGGGCCATTGGCCTGATCCAGCAGCCTCTTCTTATGTTCTTAAACTTCAGGCATGCCATGAGAGGATGTGTGGTCCTGTTTGGCAACAAAGCAGAGAGTCTGTAAGGCCTGGCTCACATTGTGACCTAGAAGGAGGGATGGTGGAATAAGGTTTGGGTAACAGGGCTTTTTGAGGTACAGTGGTACCTCGGGTTAAGAACTTAATTCATTCTGGAGGTCTGTTCTTAACCTGAAACTGTTCTTAACCTGAAACACCACTTTAGCTAATGGGGCCTCCTGTTGCCCGCTGCGTCGCTGCTGCACGATTTTTGTTCTCATCCTGAAGTAAAGTTCTTAACCTGAGGTAATATTTCTGGGTTAGCAGAGTGTGTAACCTGAAGCGTTTGTAACCTGAAGCGTATGTAACCCAAGGTACCACTGTATGTGTGTGTGCTAAGTTGCAAAATCCTGCACCCTTTTAAAAAAGCCCATTGTATATGACCTCTCTCCCCCTACATCAGCGAGGGCATTGCAATTCATAAACTGTATAAATGGTGTCTCTCTCTCTCTGTGTGTGTGCTTGGCATGCGCTCTTTACAGGAGCCAGCTGCCTCTATCCATGACACAAGCGTAATTCATTAGGCTGGGATTGTGTAGCTGGTGCGTCAATGCTGGATGTGGGTCAGTCAATTAACTGCATAAAAGGAAGGCAGAGTTAATACCACTGCCCTTCCCGGGGGCCCTGGAGCAATCTGCGTATTACAGGCTGCTGAGAAAGAACTTTTTTCCACCCCGCCTCAGAAAGACAAGCCATTTCTTTTCACATTATCCTTCAGTTTGGTTTCAACCCTTTGCTGTCCAGGCTGGAGGTCTGGGGTGAGTTGAAGAAAGCCTAGGGTTGCCAACTTTATCTATATATATTGTCTTCTGCTCCTGTGCCTTTTTATGGCACAGGATTAAGTTGCAGGGGTTATTGGGAGAGGAGGTTCAGCTCAAATCCACACTACAGAAAGAATATTCAGTTTGCTGATTTTTGTGGGTCAAGACAGAGAGCACGTGAGCAGGTCAGGATAAGCTGGCAATCCAAAGCAAAACAGATGGGGTAGCAAGGGGTTGGGTGGGAAACCAGGGAGCAGAATGCTGGAGGGGCAAGGAAGAGAGTTTTGATCATAACAAACAACTTAGCCATGATTTCCGTGCTGCAGTTGGTTAGATTAGATGACTAGCATGGTGTAGTGGTTAAGAGCGGTGGACTCGTAATCTTTTGAACCAGGTTCACATCCTCACTCCTCCACATGCAGGTGCTGGGTGACTTTGGGCTAGTCACACTTCTCTGAAGTCTTTCAGCCCCACTCACCTCACAGAGTGTTTGGTGTGGGGGAGGAAGGGAAAGGAGATTGTTAGCCACTTTGAGACTCCTTAGGGTAGTGATAAAGCGGGCTATCAAATCCAAACAACTCCTCCTCCTCCTCCTCCTCCTCCTCCTCCTCCTCCTCCTCCTCTTCTTCTTCTTCTTCTTCTTCTTCTTCTTCTTCTTCTTCTTCTTCTTCTTCTCCTCCTCCTCCTCCTCTTCCTTGGGGTACCTTCCAACTCATTCATTCATTTGTTCATTCATGCCTCTTTTTCACACAAAAAATCATGCTCAAAGTGGCTTACAATAAAGAAGCGGGTGGCACTGTGGTCTAAACCACTGAGCCTCTTGGGCTTGCCAATCAGGAAGTTGGCAGTTCAAATCCCCGCAATGGGGTGAGCTCCCATTGTCTGTCCCAGCTCCTGCCGACCTAGCAGTTCAAAAGCATGCCAGTGCGAGTAGATAAATAGGTACTGCTGTGGCGGGAAGGTAAACGGCATTTCTGTGTGCTCTGGTTTTCCTCATGGTGTTCCATTGCACCAGAAACAGTTTAGTCCTGCTGGTCACATGACCCGGAAAGCTGTCCGTGGACAAACGCCGGCATCCTCAGCCTGAAAGTGAGATGAGCGCTGCACCCCATAGTCGCCTTTGACTGGACTTAACCATCTCGGGGTCCTTTACCTTTTACATCAAAGAAACAGGGATGCATTTCAAACAAACATTACAAAAGCAGTTTCTTAATAACATTGCACAACAAAAAATATAAAGGTAACGGTAAAGGGACCGCGACCATTAGGTCCAGTTGTGGCCAACTCTGGGGTTGCAGAGCTCATCTCGCTTTATTGGCTGAGGGAGCCGGCGTACAGCTTCCGGGTCATGTGGTCAGCATGACTAAGCTGCTTCTGGTGAACCAGAGCAGCACACGGAAACGTCATTTACCTTCCTGCCAGAGCGGTACCTATTTATCTACCTGCACAAATCGCGGGGATTTGAACCGCCAACCTTCCAATAGGCAGCTCCTAGTCTCTGTGGTTTGACCCACAGTACCACCCGCGTCCCTAACAAAAATATAATAACACACAAAAACCCACATTTCAATACTATAAATATAACTTAAACAACATACAGAATTTGATAGGAAAACTAAGAAGAGAGCTTCACAGTTTCACCTTAGAGCTAGAAACACCCCTCCCATGATGGGGCTCAGTATCTCTTTCCTGCAGCAACTTCTTAAAAGGCTTCCAAGGGCAAAGAGCGGGGTAGCTGAAAACTCCTTTCTCATTATGTTTCTCTACTGTAGTACTCTACAGTTCTGTAAGTCCACAACTCAGTGTTTTCCTTTGGCTTCCTTTTAAAAAATTAATCCCTTGGGTCAACTTGTAGTTTGTAAGGAGGGCCGGTGACTGGTCAGGCTTGATATTTGTAAAGGACCACAACCGTAGATTGTGCTATCATCTTGCTGACTATCTCAGGTACGGGGACCTGTGCCCCCCACATAGTTAATGATAGTGATGAGATGCCATCACCAAGCACCAGGTAGAGGCCCACAGGTTCCTCTTCTGTGGATTAAAGGTTGGAGCCCACTGTGGTTCTCAAGGGGTTCTTGGAACTGTCCAGGGTGCTGAATACTTGTACTGGACACAGCACCTGCTTGCTTGCTTGCTTGCTTCCACACCCCACCTTTTTCTGCAAAGAGCTCAAGGTGGCATATATGATTCTCTCTCTCCTCATTTAATTACCACAACAACCCTGTGAGGTAGCATAGGCTGAGAGGCACTGGGTGGCCCAAGTTCACCCAGCGAGCTTCATGGACGATGTGGGGATTTGAACCCTGGCTAAACTTGTGACTCTTACATCAAAGATGGAGAGCTTGTGGCCCTCCTGATGTTCTTGGGCTCCCAACTCTCATCAGCCCCTTCCAGCATAGCCAGTGATTGGGGGTGTTGGCAGTTGTGGTCCAGCAAAATCTGTAGCATGCTAACATCTGTCTCAATCTTAGCTCGGGCGATCTGTCTCTCATATAATGCCTGCATCCTCAACCTCCTCCACCCTTTCCAGCATCCTTTTTGAAACTCCAGTATGCAATTCCCGTGACATCTCACTCTAGCAGATCAGATTGATTCATTTTGGGAGTTCTTAAATTGCAAGCTCATCTTTCAAAAGCAGCTCTGGTGACTTCCCGGGGCAATCAGGAGTGCTAATATAAACGGAGGAGCTATTTACATCAGGCTGGCAGGGGAGACAGTGGGGTGAATATGGATGAGCAGGAGTTTCAGGGAAAGGAGGCTGAGCCACAGAAAGTTGTGCGGATGGCATGGGGTGAAAACAGAATGGTTTTATGTGGAAATGGTTGGCTAGCAATAAGAAAAAAAGAGATTTTTTTTTTACAAAAAAGAAAATTCTTTCCTTCTTGGAAATACATGAAATGTATTCATTGATTGATTGATTGTAAGGTCTAGTTTAAGAGAAAATAAACCTCGCCCAAGGAGGGTTATAGGTCAAAATGAACACACTTAACATAGGGATGGGGAAGGAATTTGGTTTGGTTTGCTGTTGCCTAAAGGTAGGGTCAGCTGTACCTAATTTGCACTTCCTGAAGTGATACACAAAGCAAAATGCAGCCATCTTTTAAAATTTGCAGTTCTCTGAATTTTATGATGCTACTCTCTGGCCCCCATACAGTTCAATATCAGCAGAAACATTTAAATGCGAAACAACTTCCAAAAACAAGGACATTCGGAGAAGTGAGCACTCAAATGCCAGTCAGTTTTCGTAAGGACCCTTTTCTTAATACATAAATGACACACTGTGGCAGAATAGGGTGAATTGAACTTAGGACTGAAAATGAGAAAGAAACATGAAGCTGACAAATTTGCCCATTCCTACATTTAGAATTGAAACCTGAAGTAAATTAATAGAAAACCAGCAATGCACACAGATACTTAGACATCTGTATTCAGTACTAAGAACCATCTTCAAGGGCAGCCCTAGGTGGACAGCATTGTAGTAGTCCAGCCTGGACAGCACCAACGTATAGATAACGAAGCCTCCCCAGCAACCGAGTTCCAGGAACAGGAAATTTTGGCACAGAAAGGTAGGCATGGGGAGGGAGACAAGCCCACACCTCCCTTCTGCAATGAGTTATCCTGGTCCTCATTTTCCAGCAGCCCAAGTCTCCTTTCTTTCACCCATGAAGTGCAAAGTAATAAAAAAAATAAAATAAAAGAGTGCTGTTATTTTGCCAGTCAGTTGAATTTCATTTGTACTGTACGAAATGTATTTTCTAGTTAATGAACCTGCCATGTTTTTATGACCACCCATTTCCAGTGGTAGGAAGAGAGTGGGAGAAATGAGGTAGGGGGATGGGGAGAGGGGCGGAGAAGGAGTGCAAGGCTGCAGTCTTTTAACTCGACTTGCAGCTGAGATTTGTTTTATAATGGTAGGGAAAAGGCTGCGCTTTGAGAGGTCTCCTCCTCGGGTCGCTTCTGGGTCAGACCATCGCCTGCTTTCAATGCAAGGCCACGTCTGATTTATACGGACATTAAATCCCCTGAAGAAAAGTTGCTGCAGTTGCTAAGAATGAGAGGAGGAGTTGTGAACTT